TTCCAAATCAAAGCTTAATATGTTTTTAGAGTTTCTCTACTGTTTTCCAATGTGTCACGGTAACACCGGACAAGAGATCAAAAAGACTAAAAGGGACAGTCACGTGGAACGTGCCACCCTGATCCCCCTGATCCCAAGGAATCCCCCTGAACCCTATATGGTGCAAGAGCCTGTTGACTTACTAGTCGATGTGGCAGATGCAGGAAAGGGTTAGAGATATATGAAGGAGCTGGTGAGCTCAGTGAGTGCTACAAGTGGTAGACGAGAAGAAACAATCTGAGGTTTCATCCCCTACATGGCTGGTCTTATATACACATACAGCGGGCTATCTTACCTAAGCTACCTATCTATGAGTATAAGCAAATGGCTGTACATGAAACAATGGGATGTCCGGAAGTAGAACAATAAGTGGGAAGATCGATGGTTGCTGCAGTAATGCATGTGCACATCGTGCCTATCTTGATTTCTCCTTTGTTCTCCAGTGTGAACATCGTGCCTATCTAGGCTTCTGGCTAAACTAATAGGAAGTGGAAGGCCGATGCATAACAATAGTCCTTGTTCCCTTTATTCCCAAGTGGGTGCCTCTATTGTATCCTGGAATAGACAGGTCCGACTGTATCATCCGCGGGTCTGGACCATAACATGTGATGTGGACTATCACCTAATCTCTACGTGTCGCGTCTGTGGCTGAGTGGCATGAGATATTGGTGAAGCACGTGATCTGTGGTGTGAGGAAAGTCACGTGCGGACTTTGTGGCAAAAATCTGTGACACTACCCCCCTCTCAAGGCTCATTGTCCCGAGGAGCCAAAACCTTTATTACCCCTTTTAGTTGCTCGCAACGGTTGGTAGCTTCGGGAGGGAAGCCCTTCTGCATAATATTCGAAGATTATTTGGGCTATCCTATCTCCCGGCTTGACTGAAAATACGAAATCCATTATGTTGATTAGTACGACCTTGAGTTCCCCAGTGTAATCTGGATCAACGACTCCTGCGCCCACGTCAATTTCTCATACAGCCAGTCCGCTGCATGGAGCTATTCATGTATAGGTACGTTTGGGAGGGTCAATCGCAACTCCCGTTCCTACCACAGCTCGTGAATGCGGGGGGATTTCATGTGTTTCTGCTGCATAAATATCCCATCCTGCTGCTTCATTTGAGGATTTTTTCAGTGATTTGGCGAGATCTGTCATCTTATGATATAGGAAGAACTCGTCTGGATGGTCGGACATGTTGATTCAGTGTGTGGAGATCGGTGCAACTTCATATGAGGATAATTCGAAGCGTTTTCCATCAAAAGTGACGACCCTGATTGGTGCTTTGGCTGCATCTGGGTGTTGCTGGTGGAATTCTTGAAGAAGCTCGTCGGCATTGGTAAGATTTGTTCAGGGTTCCCATGTATCATCAGAATGGTCATAGCCTTTCCATTTGATGAGGTATTGGACCCTTCCCCTTATGACCTTAGAGTCTAGTATTTCTTCAACTTCCAATTCTGGTTCTCCTTCGATTTCTATAGCTGGGGGCTTTGGAGGTTCGTGGTTTGTGACCGTGTCTTGATGGTACATGATCAACTTGCTAGCATGGAAGACTGGGTGGACCTTCATTTGCTTAGGCAGTTCCAGTTTGAATGTGACTGGGCCTAGCTTCTGAAGTACTTTGTAAGGTCCGAAGTTTTGTGTGCCTAGCTTCACGGACTTGACTTTTACTCTGAGATCCTTTCCCTTGAGTAGTACTAGGTCTCCGACTTTGAATGAGACTTCTCCCTTTTTCTCGTCGAAGTACCATTTCATCCGTGAAGCTGAAACTTCCAATGCTGCCTTTGCCTGTTCTTGCGCCTCGAATCGGTGGGCGAATAGATGTTCCAATGAGGGATGACATATCGATTCATGTATGTCTGGTGTCATTTTTGGATGTCAGCCATATTCGACAAAGAATGGGGAAAGTGCGGTGGATTCATGGGTCTGGTTGTTGTACGAAAATTGTGCTGTTGGCAGGTAATAGACCCAATCGTTCTGTCTGTGGTTACAGTACATTCGTACGTACTGTTCCAACACCTGGTTAACCCTTTCTGTCTGACCGTCAGTCTGGGGGTGATATGCAGTGGACATTGTTGACTTTATACCGAGCTTCTGGCAGAACTCCTGGAATAGTTTGCTCACAAATTGAGTACCTCTGTCTGAGATAATCTGGCGCGGCAATCCATGGAGTTTGAAGACTTCATTATAGAATACGTTAGCAACTTGCGATGAGGTGACTGTGTCGTCCGTCGCATAGAAGTGCGCCCGTTTCATGAGTCTGTCCATGACGACAAGTATTGCCGTCTTCTTTTCTCCCCTAAAGTCCATGGCTGGAGGAAGTTGTGTGATGAGATCCACTGTGACAATCTCCCATGGTCCTCCTGGTACCTCGTTTGGTTGTAGTAGTCCGTATGGTTTTTCTCTTGAGTACTTGTTACGTTGACAACTGTCGCAACCTTGTACATATTGTTTAACCATTACAGACATTCCTGGCCACCAATAGTTCTGAGTGATAAGCTCCAACATCTTGAACCTGCCGGGGTGTCCAGCTGGTAAGGTGTCATGATGGAGTTTTATTAGGTCAAGGTGTAGCTGTTGATCCTTGGGGACATAAACCTTTCCGCGATGGAGCAGCAGTCCGTGCTCAAAGTTCCATTCTGCGAGGTTTTTCCCAAATTCGCACTGTCCTGTAGTCAAAAGTGCACCATAATCCTTGGTCATCATGTCATCTGTGAGTGCCTTCTTGATCCTTTCCAGTAGTTGAGCATCATCAATTCAGATGCGTGAGTGGGTCGAATCGCATTGATAGCGAAAAATTCGGGTTTTAACAGCATTTGATTCGAATTGTCGCTGTCTATCCCCCTCTCATGGTCTGGCCTCCTGGACAGAGGATCAGCACGTAGCATTGTCTTTCCAGGTCAGTGACTGAGTCTAAAATTGAAACATGTGAGGAATAATGACCAGCGCACTTGGCGCCGGGATAATTTCTATGCCTGACGGAAGTACGTAAGATTGAGATGATCAGACCAAATCTCAATGGGTTCTGGGTGGCCTTCTAAATAGTGCCGGTATTCTTCTAGTGCCCGGATAATGGTGAGCATCTCTTTGTCATAAATCTCGTAGTTTCGCTCGTGTTCATTGAGCGACTTTAAGTAGTATGTGACTGGGTGCCATAGCTTATCTTCTCCCAGTTGTTCCAGTACTGCACCGGTTGCATAGTCTGAAGAATCTGTCTCCAGTCGGTAAGGCGCAGTATCATTGGGGAGTTGTAGGATCGGGGCTGAAGTGAACGCCATTTTGAGTGCACTGAAGGCTTGGTCTTGCTCTTCCTTCCATTGCCAGGGCACATCCTTACAGGTGAGAAGTGTTAAGGGTCGTGCGAGTTTCGCAAAGTCCTTTATAAATCGCCTGTAGAAATTCGCGAATCCTAAAAAGGCCTGTACTTGTTTGACCTTTGTCGGTGCGGGCCAGCCAAGTACACCTTCGACTTTAGCAGGGTCCATCTGTACTGAGTTCTTGCTGATGATCATGCCAAGATACTCGATTGAGGACTGTTCGAAGAAGCATTTCTCCAGTTTGGCATATAAGTCATTGTCCTGGAGGTGCTGTAAAACTGCTTTCACTTGTCGTCGGTGTTCATCGAGATCATCCGTAAATATGAGGATGTCGTCTAGGTAGACTACCACCTTTCCAGTGCGAATTAAGTCTTCGAGGACTGTATTCATCATTGTTTGGAAGGTGCTAGGAGCATTGCAAAAACCGAAGTACATTATGGTGGGTTCGAAGAGGCCACGATGTGTGATGAAGGTGGCTTTCTCTTCGTCTCCTTCCCTAATCCTTATGTTGTTGAACCCCCATCTCAGATCAAGCTTCGTAAATATACTAGCATGTGAGAGTCTGTCGATGAGGTCCGAAATGTGTGGGATTGGGAACTTGTTCTTCTTTGTGACTGCGTTGAGGTTCCTGTAATCTTGTACGAGCCTCAGTGATCCATCTTTCTTTTTGACGAAGAAAACGGGTGCTGCAGTTGGACTCCTTGATCTCTTGATGTAACCTTTGGCTGACTCTTGGTCTATCCACGTGTCGAGCGAATTTCTTTCCTGTAGGTTCATAGGATATAACTTTGCCGGGCGTGGTAATGATGCCTCTGGAACAAGTTTGATTGGATGATCGTAGGGCTTTCTTGTGGGCATTCGTTCTGACTGCTTCTTGGAGAACACATCGCCATACTCGTGGAAGTGTTTGGGGACATAGGCTGACCAGTAGTCTTTGTCCTGTTTTCCTTTTTGCGGTGCTCTATCTGGGTTCCTCTTGGTGTCAAGACCCATAATGAGTGATGCTATGGCCTGTGCATCAGGGTCTTCTGATAATGACACCCATCTGATGAAGCTGTCCATGTCATTCCAGTTGTCACCTAACTCCTGGGAACCGACGAACTCCATCAGGTCTTCGATGTGGGGGATGTTTGTGTCTTCCAGATCCTCCTCCTGGATTGCTACCTGTGAGGGTGTGCATCTTTGTGGGCACCAGGTGAAATTGACTGTGAGTTTTCCCCAATCCACTTCGGGATTATGCTCCTTAAGGAAACTCATGCCTAGTATAACATCTTTATGTCCTATATCGGTGACCAAAAGGCTTTGCCTGCTTGTGTGGTTTCCGATGGTTATACTTAGAAGAACCCTTTTCTTAATGGTTCCACCCTTGTTGTGAGATGCATCTGCGTTGTAAACCCTGATCTCCTTCTCAAGTGAGATCATAGCGAGATTCAACTGATCAACCAGCCGTGGGTTGATGTAGCAAGAATATGCTCCTGAATCGAGGAGCGCCTCAGTCTGGACTTCCCTTACTCCCTGTTTGAGGTGAACAGATAAATCGATTGCGTGTTTTGACGAACCAGTAGATGCGATGTATAAAAAACTTGATACTGGTACATGCGAGAGCGAGTAGGTACTATTACATTGTCTATGGGAACTCTGGCCAGACCTCAGAGAACCCGCCAAAGAAAATCCTCATCATCTTCTACCTCCGTGATCCTAGCGGCTTCAACAGCTGGTTCCGGTTCTGCCTCCTTTTCCTTTCCCTTCGCGTCATAGCTGGCGATGAAAGCACGAACTGCTTCGTATCTCACCTTGCTGTCGTCGGAGATGTCTGAGGCCGTGTTTGAAGAAATTGCCCTTGTTGCTTGGCCCCGCTTCAGCATTTCGAATTTGCCTTTGTACTTGAGGTCTGGGCATCGCTGTTTAAAAATGAAGGGGTGTTTCCCACATCCTACACACAGCTTCTTCTCCAGCCATCCTTCTTGTTCCTTGGTGAGGGTGGATACTCGATCCATGACCATTGCGTTGAGGTCTTTTGGAGCCCGTGGTGCCGATGATGATGTTGCTACTGTTTCGCACTGTCCTGCCTTGTCAGCTCTGAACTTGGACTCTAATTGAAGACATAGGTCGAGATATTCTGGCCATGTGATGGGGTCAGAAATTCCTAGACTGTCTCGTGTGACCATTCCCTGGCATACGTCCTTGCTTCGGTGTTCAGCGATGTAACTGATGAGTGCAGTGTGCCCTAAGTTGATCTTAGTGGCCCATTGGCAGAACTGTTCTGCAAAGGATACCATTGTGGGATACGTCTTGCCACAGATATCCTTCAAATGCTGCTGCGCATCCTTGTCTGGGTCGAGGGTCCTGTAGTTCACTTTGAGAATGTCGACGAAGTCTTCCCATGTGCCAAGTGCCTGCCGTGCTGCTGCCCCTGGTTGCATATTCGGACATGTATGTGAACGCACCACCTTCCAAATGCAGTAAGGCTGTGGTAATCTTGTGTTCATTGTCGTTGATCTCGTTCCACCACATCCATATACTGAGTTGTTGGAGCCAGTCCTCCAGACTTCCTTTGTCCGAGTAGTGTGGAGGTTCAGCAATTTTGATGTGGGGCTTGTGCGATTGGACCGTGCCAGATGTTTGACCTTGCATTGTAGTGACACCGCTTGCTTTGAGCGAAGCTAGCTCGTGTCGCAGCTTAACATTAGCTGCCTTGATTTCCATCATTTCTTTGCCTGTGTCGAGCATTGCCACCTGGGTCCCCATGAGCTCATCATTTAAAACCGCCATATGTGCATCTTGCGCAAGGATCCTATCTTTGAGCTTCTCGATCTCCATCTGGAGAACTGCCTCCTTAAGTCAGTGCTCGCTTTTGTTGTTTTGGATTCTGCGATTCAAAGGCTTTCTTATGCTCGTACGTCTTGTTTCCAAGCACATTGTAGACCTTGGCGATTTCAGCAGTGACCGTCAGCTTCATTGCGATGATTACCCATTCACGTATGTGGTCCGGGACTTCTCCAGGAGCAGACTGTCTGAGAGCATCTTCCAGGTGCTCGAATTGGTGTCCATCAAACTCTCAGATGGGTGAAACGTAGGCGGGTACAAGTGATGGTGTCGGGGATGCTGGTCCTCCGACTTGTGATGCAGAATCCTGCGGTCCTAGCACAGGTTCTGGTGAATTGCACTGTGAGGCGCGTGGGGTGCTTCCATCATGTGCTGACTCGACATTTGTGTGCAGAATGTCATCCATTCTTTGCCTGAATGTGGATGCATGCACACGATTGGCTCCTTCCATTGTGATGTAGTTAAACTAATACAAAAAGTTGAGGTATCGCTTCTCTGCGATGAAAACCAGAGCCTTGGCAATCTCCTGTAGTCTCTCCTCTTTTCCTATCTGTTTGAAACTGATCCCTCCTATCTCCAAACAGACCATGTTGATCACCTGCTTCTCGATGAATGTGTAGGTACGTGTTCCAGTGTATAGGTCAGCGCAGACCTTGTCGAGTTCTGTAGCGAGGCTGTAGATGGGTCCTTGGTGCTGGTCCTTGAGACGATATGAGAATGCTCCTAAGATGGGTTGGAGCCTGAAGCGAGTAGCGTCTACTTGCTTCTTAAGGGTCTCGATATGAATCGTCAGCCTCACTCTAGATGGGAGTGGGCAGATGGGATGGGCAACCATGTTTGTTTTGATAAAGTTCAGCAGTGACTGGACTGGGATGAGTGCAATGACGGGGGGAGGAACTGCGTTGGATGTTATGAGCTCTGCTGGTGGTGCCGGCTTGTGACTACCAGTGGTAAGACATCCCTTTCTGGGCTTGTAGCATTCGAGCAGTGGGGTGTGATCGCGTGGCTTGCAGATGATTCTGCACTTTATGATGTGTGTGGTATCTACAACCCTAGCTGCTGCTCGCTGCCTGTCTGTGGATGATGCGCCTAGTGACGCAAGTGTGAGGAGCCTTCCACGCTCCTTGTTGGTTTTCTGATGCTTGTAGTGAGTGTTGAGGTCAATCCTGGGAGTGGCCTTGTGCTTTGAAGCTTTGGGCAGCTCAGAGTCTTGCTGAGGCTCACGCCGGGTAGAGATCGGATTGGAATGTTTGTCAAAAAAGCTGCGCGCTACGGCTGAAACTGCTTGTGCTGAAAATACGTGGCCACTTGTATTAGACACTAAGCAGGGGCACAGAAAATGTCAGATTGTTTCTAATGTCACGGTAACACCGGACAAGAGATCAAAAAGACTAAAAGGGACAGTCACGTGGAACGTGCCGCCCTGATCCCCCTGATCCCAAGGAATCCCCCTGAACCCTATGTGGCGCAAGAGCCTCTTGACTTACTAGTCGATGTGGCAGATGCAGGAAAGGGTTAGAGATATATGAAGGAGCTGGTGAGCTCAGTGAGTGCTACAGGTGGTAGACGAGGAGAAACAATCTGAGGTTTCATCCCCTACATGGCTGGTCTTATATACACATACAGCGGGCTATCTTACCTAAGCTACCTATCTACAGGTATAAGCAAATGGCCGTACATGAAACAATGGGATGTCCGGAAGTAGAACAATAAGTGGGAAGATCGATGGTTGCCGCAGTAATGCGTGTGCACATCGTGCCTATCTTGATTTCTCCTTTGTTCTCCGGTGTGAACATCATGCCTATCTAGGCTTCTGGCTAAACTAATAGGAAGCGGAAGACCGATGCATAACAATAGTCCTTGTTCCCTTTGTTCCCAAGTGGGTGCCTCTATTGTATCCTGGAATAGACAGGTCCGACCATATCATCTGCGGGTCTGGACCATAACATGTGATGTAGACTATCACCTGATCTCTACGTGTCACGTCTGTGGCTGAGTGGCGTGAGATATTGGTGAAGCACGTGATCTGTGGTGTGAGGAAAGTCACGTGCAGACTTTGTGGTGAAAATCTGTGACACAATGGAAAAATGTTGCTATGCATGCTGTGCAGACAGCAGACATGATGCGATTTATCAATGTGGGAAAATAGTGTGGGAATGTTGGCTGATGTCTTACACATGTGACAAATATTTGCAACCATGGCATTTCATGTCGAAAATGTTTTCCTTTGGCTGCAAATGTGCGCTATTTGCCGTTTAAATGCTACATTGGCAAACCTTTATCACAAGTGTAAGACATCAGCTGACATTCCCACACTATTTTCCACATTTTTAAATCACATCATGTGTGCCGTGTCTCACTACAAACATGATACAATAAAATCGCACACGAAAGTCTGTAAAAAATCTTTGGGTAATTAGTTGAAACCGTGGAAGAATAGATGAAACTGCGGATAAATAATGAATCGAGATTTTGTTCAGACTTTTCGGACTGAATTTATTGTACCATGTTTGTAGTGTCTCACGGCAGACATGACACAATTTATCAAGGTGGGAAATTGTGTGTGAATGTCGACTGATTTCTTACACATGTGACAAATATTTGCAACTATGGCATTTCATGCTGAAAATGGTTCACTTTGGCTGTGAATGTGAACTATTTGCGATTTAAATAATACATTGGCAAACCTTTGCTGCAAATGTAAGACATCAGCTGACATTCCCACACTATTTTTCCACATTGATAAATCGCATCATATCTGCCGTGTCTGCCGTGTCATTGCATCCGATCACGAAGCACGTGCGCCCCGTGATCAAAACGCGTGAGTTCACAACTTTTGGCCTGCAGAAATAAGCCTCCCATATAAGTATACACTCTAAATAAAATTTGACTACAGCCAATCTGTCTTTTCGTGAACACTACTGTCTGCTCGCTCGAAGTGGCGCTAGGAGGGAGAATTACATGTATATGAACAGTGGCAACATACCCACTGGGCCAGTGAATATCCGGGTGACATGGTTTGCTGTGTGGGGCTACTGATTGTTAGAGTTGGAGAGTCCGTCGTGCCCATGATGGTAAGTTCCTTGCACGACACCTGGTCTCCAAAATGATTTTGGAACATTTCATATGCAATCCTCTCGCATTCACACATCTTATACGCCGTACATGAGTCAGATCAAGCAAAGCCATGTTAGATAGTTACGTGAAGGTCGATCAGGAGTTTGTACAAGTGACGCCCACGGGTTTGCTTCTGTTCTCATCCTGGCACCACCATGTCATCGATGTCGGTCGCTCGTCATTCTAATCTCATCTTGACAGGGGGTCACTGGTTTGAAGCAAATACCTCGACATCTATATTACCGAAAGCCTCGACATGATAACAAGAATTACAAGAGCTTGCAAACTGCACTACTCTAATCACAGCACATCAGCTGCAATTAGGTTGAGATGCCGCGTCAAAGTTACACAGATATTGGGCGTGGATGCACCATTCGCGCAATGGTGGAACATATCGACACTATGGGATCCTTAAACTTCCAGTCCAGCATTTGAACTGACGATAATCTGCACGACTTTGTCCGAGCGTGGGCGAATCTTGCAAGGGAATGGGCGCGGGTGCTTGTACAATGGCTGAGCACATGAAATCTGTCACATTTGAGAGAGTCCTACCTGACAGTCCCCGAGGAAAACTTTGGTACTGGAATGATTTCCTGTCCCGATGAGTCATGATCCCTTCCGATATCCATGGTTGCTAACAGATTGGCCGCTACTAGCCATGCATTTGAACCAGCCAGCAAACGGCCAGGACAGACCCTGCGAACAAAGAGATGAAATCAAGCAAAGTATGTAGCACTACATTACCTTCTTCTGAACCCGAACGCAAATGTACACGGGTCAAGTAAGTCATCGGTGTCATCGGTGGTCTTGAGAAATCGATCAGGGTTGAAGACTTCAGGATTCGGATACGTATCTGCATCTCGCGTCATAGCCCTGAGAATTCGTTCAGACATCTGTCATCCCACAACGTTGGAGACCCTACCAGATTATCATGGTTCCTCCCGGGATGTAGTAGTCACGATATTGATCATCTTGAGAGACGTAGTGGGGTACGCCTCATCAAAAAAGAGCATGAGGGTATTGTTTCCCCTCGGGAAATGTGCCATACTCACCAAGCGGTGCGGAACAGCACCATCTGTAGTGCGTACAATGTCAGGTAGAGCCAGACGTGCATAATGAGGGACATACTGGAAGACCTCCTTCAAAATGCATTCTAGATATGGTAACATTGGTTGATCGTCTGGGGTTGGAAGCCTTGTTTGTCCTACTACAGCGTCCATCTCCACCTGAGCTCTTCGGTACACCTCGGGATACAGTACCATGGCAAGAACAAATGATGTCAGGAAAGCACCAGTCTGGATGGTTTGCATAAGAAAGACAGTATTTGGACACAACACAGTGCCAACCGTGTCAATCCCAGCTAGAATGACCAATGAGCTCAATGGATACTCAGCGGGAGTCAGAACGGACGCAAGTCATACCTTGATATATGACAGCAGCACCTGCTCTGATTCGAACCTCATCCTCTATTCCACCCGCAGTCTGGGAGATCTCCTGCAAAAGGTTGCTTACATATGAGGGCTTAGCAGATCCGGAAGCCTGCAGGCGTGTGAGCGATGATAAACGACAAACAACGATTGTGCAGCACCATCTTGGCTTTAACATTCTCATACGGAAGACTCATTGTTTCGAATGTGAACCGTTTGAGCTCGAGCGCTCTGCGCTTGAAGCTCCCTGGGCCCGGTAACCACGTTGGTACATACTTGACTGTTGTATCAATTACCGGCAGGGTTGTCAGCAGGTCTTAGTAACAATGCGAAGAAAATTGCACTCACAAATGGGGAAGAAGTCCACCAGGGTAGAGCCTAACTCTCCAATTTCGAGAATCTCAGCCTCAAGTTCGTCCGCCATGCGGACAAAGTCATCGTCTGTGGATGTGAAGGTATGGCCGTAGCTTATCTCCATGAGCACTCTGGCTGCATATCTGTCTGTCTCAGAATAAGCAGCTATGGTCATTACCGGATGAGATAGTTTACTGCTTGAGGTGCGATAAAAAGTCTTGACGCATTTGAAGCATGTTTGAAAGTAATTTAACCACTTCTCACCACTGCATGGGGCGATAGCTGTCGAGGGAGACTCTGGTGGAGAGCGCCGTCTGGAACCACTTTCGATGCTTCTGCCATTCATCTCCAACGAACATCAGAAGTATGTTGGGTTTGACGGATTCAATTCTTATATACCAGAAGTTAGTTGCAACAATTCAGCCGATGCTAGGAATGATAGCTCACAATTCACTGAGCAGCACAAAGCACGGCCTGTCTGAATACGTTGCGCCGTGCTTCTCCAAAAGGTCTCATGCAGCGCGCACCGAGTTCAAGATGACGATGTGCTTCTGTAAGACACGTGCATATATGATATCCCCTGAAGCCGATTCAGCATGTGCACGTACTTCATCAGTAAAAGCGTGCACCATATTTGACCCCCCATTCAGTAAACGTATCCTGTTGGTACTCCAATGGCATCTGTAGAGCATTTCCTACCAGAGGGAGCCCCTTTGGTCTGGGCGGTAGATATTTACCCACTCTTTGCTTTGAAGTGCGAGTGATGACGAGCCACAGAATGGTTAGACAGCATACAGTCACTCCAAGATACGGTGTCAGGTCAAGCATCATTGTGCAATGCATCGGCGACACTGCTCTCATGTCCTATTTGTACTTGAGATGTGAAGAGCTCTGTAAAAATCACTTCGCATAAGGGTGCTATTACAGAACGTAATGCGCCTCACCACATGGGGGCCGAACGGCTCCGCTGACAGCTAACCGGTGACTTATGGACTCCATACTGCAGCATGGAAGCCAATGTGCTGATGAAGCAACTGACCCGCATGTGGTTCGGAGAAGTGGAGATAATTGGGGTTCTCACATCACTTTTCGAAGTCTGTACAAGAACTCGCGAGAATATATCACGTAACAGTCATCAGATTACGCCGCTGAGTGATTCTTGACCTTTGGATCGGTAAAAAGTGTTCCCATATGACCAACATCCATTGGTCGAAGCAAGAGTGGACACTAGCCTGGCTGAGCCTGGATAGGAAATTTTCCCATTTCCCATGTCCCGGCTGAGCCTGGTAGGAAAATTTCCTATCTTCTAGCTGAGCCTGATGGGAAAATTTTCCATGAACATCTACTTTTCTTTTCATATTGTATTGCTTAATATGATGCCTAAACAATGAGCCTGAGCATGAGCCTGCAAGTGAGCCTGAGATAATTATGTAAGCCTGAGGTAATTATATGAGCCTGAGCATAAATCAGTTCAATCCACATTCATATGTTTCTGTCTCCATTAACCAGACAGATCTTTATAATTTCAAGCAATGTCATCAATACTCTATAGAGTGACAGTCCATGTCCCAGCCCTGCAGATTTAGTAAAAAGAGATGAAAAATAATGGATTTTCTTTTACTTTCTTCTGCTGCAACATCCTATTATTTTCTGAGCCAATTATGGCTGTTTCATGCAAATTTTTGATCAGAACAGGTGCAGAACGTGCCTTTTCTAAGCTTTTCTGAAAAACATTTCTTTAATGAGAAAGGCTGATTATTCAATTAAATTCTAACACCTTTTCTGCAACAGAATCAGTACTTTCTTTGCTGTGATTCAGGCTTGCTCAGTTGTAAGTATGATATGGCTTATTGTAGGCTCATGTTCAGGCTCACAGTCTTATGTCAGGCTCATAGTTTCATATCAGGCTCACTTTTGGGCTCATTTTCAGGCTCACTTTTGGGCTCACACTGTCACAGCACACTAAATACTTACTGATATAGTTGAGGTCAAGTGCTGGTGTAGATACAAATGCTAGAGTGGCTGATTAAGCCTAAGTGTATTGTCATGGTGGATGAAGAAGAATAAGACTGAGGTTCATCTCCCACCCACCCTAGTCCTTGTATATATGATTGCTATGCTACTGTATAGTAGTTACCTAAGCGAGTCACACACTGGCTACTGGTCCATGCTGCAATCATACAACTTGTTCTAACTGCCATGATAGGCTGCCTAAATATAACCGGTGATAACGGAACTCTGGCTAAGCACGCAATATGGCAACATGGTGATTGCATCATATAGTGTCAGTGCAGCATTGTGCCACTTAGTCCGCTGACTACACATCTTTGTGTCAGTGCTGAGGAGTCTGAAGATCACATGATATAGCTGAGGATTGCCTGAGATCACATGACTGTGTGTTTGGATAGGTTTAGCTCGAGTCTATTATACTTGAGTGGAGTTGGCGCAGCAGCACCGGTTCCAAATAACATTGCTGCATAGGGTTATATGTAGTGATACAAAGGAGTACATGTAAACTAAGGAAGCCGGTGAAGCAAGGAAGATGATGAACATCACCTAGACATTACCATCAGATGATGCGAGAAGGCGAGTAATGATTGCGGTACAGTGAGGTCCACAAGGTGCTTCTGCCAATCACCATGACCTGAGCAGGTTCAGAGCCATGGGAGCGGCATGATCATCATCGAAGGTGAGACAGAGGCAGATGTCATTGATGAAAGAGCGTACTCTGCAGCAGCAGAGTTTAGGGTGGCAACGCGAGAGGGGGTCCCAAACAGCTGTAAATGGTGCAAAGGCGTATCCCCGTTCAGAATTGAGGTGGAACTTAGGCATTCAATACAGGACTTCCGATAGCCGCAAAGACAAAATTCGAAGTGATAATGTTATGATCTTGACCAGTGATTGTTGATCGATCAACCAGTCAGTGGAATCCATCCGAGGAGGATCTGATGACAAATACGGCTGCAGTTGCTTATTTAATAATAACAATCTGATAGTGGTGACTTGACTCTTCATGTAGCCAGTCCTGTTCTCAATTAGTTATTAAAGACAGACATCAACAAGAGTGACTTGCAGCAAGCTCAGGGCTCAGGCCATGCTTGTGATTCTGGCAAGCCTGAGCCTGCTGAAGCTAAGCTCAAGCCTGGGCTTTCAAGCTAAGCCAGGCCATGGACATCACTATGCACATGTAAATAGCAGAGGTTGTGGCTTATGAAGATTGAGCTGGACTTAGCCATGTTATCTAAAGTCATTTATTATGATTGAGCATGCCATGCTAGCTTAGATCTAAGACAGATGCATAGAGCAGTAGGCTCATGATTAGGCTGACAGTTCTGCATTATGTTCACCTCCAGACTCATGCTTATAGTTCTATAGGATAATCTCATTTTCAGGCTCACACTTAGACACATCAGGCTCATACTTAGACTCATGCACAAGCTCACTGTCAGACTCATGCTAGTTCTACATCAGGCTCACTTTCAGGCTCGTAGTTTATGTCAGGCTCACTGCAAGACACATTTTTATCTTCAATTTAAAGATGGTCATTTTAGACACCATATAAGCCATAGAATATGTAAAAAAAAAAGAGTAGATGTTCATGGGAAATTTTCCCACCAGGCTCAGCCGAGACATGGGAAAAGTTCCTATCCAGGCTCAGCTGGGCTAATGTCCACCCCTGGTCGAAGAGGATTGTTGCACGAAAGAGGGCGGGGGGTTGGTGAACGGCGACAGAGACGTTGCGACTATCAGAAAGACCGACACCTATAAGATTCCTGCCACATGATTAGATTTCCATAGAGCAAGCTGTAGAAAGAATGATACTGTGCGTGCTGGTGATGCATCCAAGGCACTGCTTGTGCGTGTTAGAAGATCATAAAGTATGAATAACCTCGGTATCTCAACAGACGATGTCTTTCAAACGCAGGGCCTATCTGCAGGTCAACAACGTGCAAGTAATGATGATTACTCATTTTGACTGCAGCCGATGATACTCTGACTAAACGTCACCACGATGATCTGAACAGCCTGGAAGCTGTCTGTCTTGGATGCTGGAAGATTTTAGGTTTCGTTGTTCCGTACTGGAAGGCAGGCAGATGAACAACCCCATCGTGAACAAACGACGAAATGAAAGTGAAAGACCTCCGCGATATATGTTATACGGGCGTATCAGTGACAGGAGCCTCTTCAGATAGCCACAAGTATCTATACGTACCTATCGATGCACGCTTTTGCTCTGTATGAGAATTGAGTAAAAATGTGAGAGTACCATTGTGACGCTAGCTTGATGAATATAGGACGTGCAGCGTTCAAGCTGCGCGTGCTGGGGATCGAGATTATAGGGGCCTATAGACAGCTCGATATTCAAGCATGAGAACAGATCGAGACTCAACGGCAAGGTGTGAAGCATGTGATGACACACGAGACCAGCTCCTCACGAGCACCAGTCTGCATCTATTGATAGCACATCGATGTAAAGCTTCCTCCGATGCGGAATTCGTGGCATAAGCAACCGTCCTCTGTATGGAGAGTGAACCGTCCCAACTTCAGTTCATCTAAAAATTAAGTCTCGAGCGGCGAATGCAAAATACAGTCCGAAGTGGGGTTGATAGTAGTCTCCATCTTTCGCAATACAGTATAAACAGACACCAATAGCCAGAACCTTCGGTTCCATTCTTCCTGGCCTTCATCTGTATAATCATCTGTGAGATTTGCTCTGATAGTGCCTTAATGTTACACGGGAATGTTTTCAGTGTCTGAAATTGAGTTCGATAGACATGCGAAAGATCCTTTACCGGCTTTTTTACTTACTTGACCTATGACGGGCACTGGATCAGAAATAATTTCATCTCCCGCTAAATTGTGAGCCCTAGCGATAGCAATGGTTGCCATCGACTTCATCGCTATCAGCGACGTATGTCTCGTATATAGACCAGTTAAGTGCTCATAGAGCATAAAAGAGGTTCAGTGTAGAAGTAGACAGCCCGAGCCGTAGTTGACATCGATGAACACTTCACTGTTTGCGTATTTGTCAGAATCATTTATAAACGATGCGATGGGGCTCAAAACGTGAGAGACATACCTCTTGGGATGAGATGCAAAGTCTTGCAGTTTTTGGGCAGGTTCATAAGAATACCTTATCACTTGTCGCTGCCAGTGCGTTGGAGGCTGATAGCTATCAAACACGGCCCTGGTTGGCAGGGCTATTCAGAACCACTTTTGTCTAGGCCACTAATTCTTCATACCGCATAAGATGAGTCTGCGGCTCGGCCGCTTCAACCTGAAGATCAGAATGTTTTGGCCAAAGTAAGGGGTCTCTTCCATTATGCACGCTTCATTTATCAGTATACATTGTGGTCGACCCAGGTTTGTAAGGCTGAATTTATCCAGCAGCTGTCATGCAGTGAGTGCAGAACTCAACTTCAACTTGATGATCATACATTCCGAGAGAGGCTTGCGTAGTATGTACATCACATCTTCTGTCATTCATTGAGCAGAAAATTGGCCCCAAATGCTCACCTTAGTCTCCGCTTTGCGAAAATGTCCTGCTGACACTTGAGTAGAACACGATGTGCACTTCGTATGATGGCAAGTTGCTTGAGGCAGTAGCCAGCATCTGTAATCATGCTTTGAAGCAGTGAGAGACAAGTGAGAGCATGAGGAGTACGATGGCGTAATTAATGTACAGCATGAGGTGTGGAGAAAAACCATGATCGAAATGAGAAGGCATCTTCAACTGGCCATCGTAATCTATATACTCGAAGCCATTAGGATATCAGAAAGTACCGACCCAGTCATCGTGATCCTCTCACTCAGGTAGGCATAAAAACCTCTACTATCATCTATAAACGGCCCAACAGGAAATGTGACCACATTTGTAGCAGTTTTGTGTACCGCATAGCATTTGACAATCATCTGCAATTTGAACAGCGTGAACTTCGGGACTATAGCACGGGGCACGGACCGTGACGGTGTACGCGCTAGGCCGAACGCTTGCTTACTAAGCAGGCGGACAGCGCTCACCTAAAGGCGTCTCTTCTCTCCGCCACCACCTCGCTATTTGCTCGCTTTCGAGATTTCTCACCTCACTTCCCGTCCGTAATCTGTGCCTTAGGTAACTTCCTGAACACAGAATGACTGAAGGCTGCAGATCCGGACCCCGAGCACCTGTCTCGTGCGGATGCCGATGTGCGCGCACCCGGCCGAATCCTCTCCCCCCACACTCTGTCGTCGTACATTACGCTTCACATATTACACTCCTCCTTCCTCTGGAGGCGTCCGCAGCCGTTAGAAGCTCTCTAACGTGCTATCATAGAGAATACTGCGTAGCCTATAGTACGTGTTGTCTAATCGTGACTGAAAGATTACAGCAAAAAGCTGCAATACGCTATCTCACCGAAGGGTGAAAAATTAGACATAAACAATGTAGTACCGTAAAGCTTATTCATGATATGTGATCTAGATTATCTTTCCACTTCACCATAAAACGGAAAGGGTTCCTGTGCAATGACTCCATTCATCGCGTCTCGGACCATAAAACTACAGTATGTAAGGGGCATCCACTTGGCATTAAGCGCCAATATGGCGTCACGAAGCGGTATTTTTTCTGAGCCCGTTCCGCAAGAATCTAAGTTCGTACCTTGCCCCAGCCATCGCAAGCGTTTCCCGGAAGCACTTCACGTATCTCATGAATGGCGGCTGTGACAAGTCTCGCTATACAAAACAGGTGGCATTCAAGACCGCGGCCACCTTTCTGCGACGATTCCCGTATTCGTGTTTATTAAGAGCCTATCATAACAATCATATCTGCTCGTAAGGTACTCACGAACGCTAGCAAACCTAATAGATGCCCTAACATGATGGACCTGATAGAAAGCTCTCTGTAAAATTCGGACCCTGCAAGTGCGCGGCGATCCCAATTGATCCTTGTCACTTCGGCAACGGGCTGCCTTTCGACGATCCATCATCGTTTTCGATGGATTCGACAATGACGGTCTGATGCGCCTTCTCGGCAGCGGCAAGCTCGAGATACGCCGACGTCACAGCTGCAATGAACGTCCCGTCAGTCTACTGATATGCAATTAACGAGACGGCGGAGGGCTCACTTCGATTGGAATCGTTGAAGATGCACTCGTAGAACAGGCCCGCGAGTAAAGTCGCAGGGATGTTCGTGAGTGCGGCGATAGCCGCGTACCTGCTCCCGGATGCTTTCAGACCCCAAAGTGTGAGAACTGCAAGGCGGCCGCCGATGTCACGCGCTGAGTTTGCCGCCAGGCCTGGTGGTGAATAGCCCCAGATCACGACAGCGCTGGAATAGGATCAAGTGTCGGAGACGCAGAAGAATGAAACGGACATGAGCCGGCGTCAGAGGCGGCGAATAAGAGGAGACGCACTAGGTCAAGGCGATGATCCATGGCGCCATGACGGGCGGCGAGAACGCGTTGGTGGGTTCGATGGCGCCGAAGATAACCAGAGCGAGAACGAAGTCCTGTGTGAGAAGCGCAATCTATGAGTGGGAATGCAGGCTTTCTCGGAAGCGACTTACGCAGACGAACTCGTTGAAGACGACGTATCCGAGATTTTCATTAGTAACGTAAAGCCCGAAGATGCCTGCTGGCCCTTGGACAGTGAACATGACTGCATCGTATACGCCCTTCTCAACCAATACTGCAGTTGCTTCCTGAGAGTTCCCATGACTACGATGAGCTAAGGTCACTCGGAGATTCGAAAAACTGAGTGCTGACCTCAATTAAGTTGTGATATTGTACGTAGATTACCAGGCAGGCGATGTAGGCTCCGACAATCTGTGCCACAATCAGCCTGCACGCTAGTCAGTCTTTCTGCTCCCAATGTGCTGACGTGCAATCCATACCTAAGAGCCCTCGTAGGCGAGCATTTTCCTGCGATCATGGCACAGATCGTGAATGCTGGATTCGCGTGGCCATGCGATGTGGTCTGACGCAGCTCTCAGTCGATAACAGTAAAGGCAACAGCGGATGAAGTGACTCACAAGGCAGATGGTGAGAGCCATTACGATACCGACAGCATATGCGATACCGACTTGCAATACACCTGCATACTTTGAATGGACGCTGATTAGATTTTGCAAGGAGATAACTCACTGCTGAGATTCAAGCCAAGTATATTTCCCAAGACATATCCAGCTGTTGAACCTGTACCAGCAAACGTGTAGAAGAAAGTAGCCGTCTGTTCGCGGACTCATCAGGTGACCGAAAACAGGTCATGAAGACTGCACTTTACCGCTTCAGCCACGAACTCGACGACCCACCGTCCGCGACCGCGCCTGATTTTCTCCCAACGGGTCAACCAAGCGGGTCGCGGGCTGAACTCAGATAAGTAAACAGTATGGTCAGCCGACATGTTGGTTCAAACTCGTGCAAGTGAAGTGCGAGTGGCACTGCAGTGTCCAAGAAGAGCGGAGGGAGGCAAGGCCTGCAAGGACACAGAAGCGACCACGAGCAGTTTTATAGCCGCAGAGCGCTCAAATGTCGTCTTCGCCTGGGACTGTGGATCTGGTGGCGTCCCTAGCCTTTCAGCCGAAGAGGACGAGCCTTACGCGGGTAGCACGGGGATATTCAAGTGATCGGGTGCACTGGCCAGGAGTGCGATGCAATAGCGAGTCCGACCTCGCAAAGAGACAAATTCCGTGTCCCAGCTGTGTTTGCAGCATGGTTCCTGGGCTAGGCAGTGACAGGTGAGCAACGCAGCAGAGCTATCGCCTCCCATGTGAGCGTCCTCCCGTCACATGGACATGGAAGCATGATGCATGAGTTCAAGCGGCAATCTAGCATCACGGAATCGGAAGTGAGAACGCCCCTGTCGGCTTGGACCAAGATTCCGACGTAGAGAACCATGCAGTTTTGCAGATGCTGTGGGATCCGCCAGCCGGCGTCCTACATGGTGCGGAGAAGGAGTCGAGCACAGCATTGATCTGCGACTGTCCTGCATTGCGTCGTGTCTCAGCATCGTAAAACTACCAAATTGACGAGCCAAGAACGTTCCCTTAGTTTCAACAGCATTAAATAAGTGGTTGTAGCCTGCAGGATGATAATTCATTTGTTGTTGTTCCGGTCAAGAATGTCGGAGGATGATCGGAATGTTTTGATCGTGAAGCGACACTAGAGACATGGAGGTATTTTCGAGCGTGCTGTATGCTGTGACAAATGTTAATTAGATAGTCAACCTTCAACAATAATAAGTGGACGTTACATGTGCCGCCGCAAATCTAGAATATGATAGCCACAATGAAACTGTGGTATATTACAAACCATAGTTTGGGAGTATTATACTTCCCATAAGAAATTCAACATAACGGATTGGCGGGGGGTTGACATTTATATTTTCATATTTGTGACTACGCGCACAGCAAAGAAATGACCCTTTCCCGACACAAGAAAGGCATTAGATCTGAATTGATAATTTAAGCCTTTCTCATCAAGTAGTTGGATTTGTAAGAAAGCTTTGTAAAAGGCATATTTCATGCCTTCTCTCCCCGTTGATAGGCTCTACAGTGCCTTTACATACTCAGGAAATGTCAAACTGTACATAGCACTAAGCACTTGAATAAAGGTATGAGAAATATCTCACTTTCTCTCACCTTTCTTATGTAGAGAAAGGGTGTTTTCTTTGCAGTGGCGCATTCTGCGAAGTTTGAATTTGGCCTGTAGGATTTTGCACAATCCCATGTATGGTCTCAAATGTTAATTTTACTAGACAAATTGCGACCAACACAAATAATGAACTAGAATCTAATTATTATTTGCTAAGCATATTACATGCTTGAAAATGGCACCATGTCTCCCGTGCGACGAATGGCGATGCAGATCAAGCGAGTATCTCGGCAGACATGATTGTGAATGCCGACTGATTTCTTCGACATGCGAGACAAACATTTGCAACCATGGCATTTCATGTTGAAAATGTTTCACTTTGGCTGTGAATGTGCACTATTTGCCGTTTAAATGCTAAATTGGCAAAGCTTTGCCACAAATGTAAGACATCAGCCGACATTCCCACATGATTTTCCACATTTATAAATTGCGTCATGTCTGCCGTGTATGCGCGTCACAACAGAAAATGCTCCTCTCTACACAGCTGATCGTGTTCATAATATCTAACCAAATCATCGACGGTCGTCCAGCAATTCACGCGCGATTTTCTCTCAAAGACATCGCAACTGAGCCATTGATTTCAGCGCGGTAGCATCATTCAACGTCTTCAACTGCCTTTTACAATTCTCTGTCTCTTACTTCCAATTAGGCGTGTACTCCTTCAGAGTCGTACGGTTTCCAGGGAACAAACGGACTGATTCAATGCATCTCTGGTCCAACACATATCGACAGCACAGATTGACCGTTGCAGCTAGCCAACCTCCCGAACAACTTCCATACCGTGCTCTGAATTGACAACCAGTATATCCTAAGGACAGCTTAAGGGTCCACAAGAGACGCGTCACGTCAGATCAGGTACATAATGCCGTGGGCTTTGAGTTTGCATGATTAAGCACTCTTGGCAAACTTTCTGCGACAAGCTCCAGGTGAAATAAAAGGACGAATTTGCGATGCATCAGAAAGTCAGTCTGCTTGGTAGTCATCATCGGATGTTCTCGGCGAGATCACGAGCACGAAACGTGAGATGGGTCTTGAGTTGTTCACAGATGCGAGCCAACCGACTGCATTGTGGCATAGTTGCCTAAGAGACTAATTGGCCAACCGGAAGATTGTTGCGAATGAGACACGGTGAACACTAGTCATCTTATACGAGGTCCTTCTATCAGAGTAAGATCATAGTAAGATCATAGTAACAACAGGACTGTCAACGTGGAAGTGCAAAGTATTCGTCAGAGTTGCCAGTGGTGGCTCTCATCCGACGCGGACCACCACTTAACGAACGGCAAACGCCGAGTTGTTATTGGGCGCCAAAGAGCCCAGATGAGAAAATCTAGAGGGACTTTCGTATTTGACGAATCTTGTACCTCACCATGCAAACGAACTGCAAGAGTTCACGTTCAATATTCAATGTTCAAGATCTTATGAGCCAGCGTACTGGTCATACGTTCTTTTACAATCTGCTACCACGGCACATGCCGAGCCATCATCACTAGGCGCTAAACGTAGCACGTAACACATGTTCACCAGTTCTTCTGCTCGCCCTCCCAGATTCTCAGCCACTTGTGCAGTCGATATTTTGCCATTTCACGAGAGATAGAGGGGCGGGTTATTTGCTCACGAATATTTCTCGACAGATCTCTCCAGGTCGCCCGCTTAATTCTAACTAGTCGGCTATCTGCTTTACTACAACTCCCTAACGACGTATCATGCCTTCCACGGAGAACAGCTGGGCCGCATTAGACTCTCCACGACTAACTAATGTGGCCGAGGACGTGCAGTACGCAAGTCCCGGGCGCGCGAGTCCCTATTACCATGCAGCGTTGTCCGGGTCCACCGCGACGTTCAAGGCTGCAGCGAGCTCCAGCAGCCTGGCTAGCGCATCAGGGTCGGGTTCGTCCTCGTCCGCTCATCGCGCGCCGGTAGGGCCGCGGAGCCAGTCCAATCTGGTGCGCTCGTCAACCTCGCGGTCTGCGAGCGAGGCGGGAGGGAGCATATTCAACGGGAGGAGCACGCCAAATCTGCGGGCACAGGACGAGTCGCCGACCCCGGTGAAGAGCAAGGAGAAGGCAGTGAACGGGGACGGAAGCGCAGCTGGGGAGGAGAAGCGGGAACGCAGTGAGAAACATAGGGACAGACATAGGGAGAGGGAAAGGAATGGTAAGGCTGCCAAGGTGGCGGCGGCGGCACCCGCTGGTCCTCCCGCACCTCGGATACGAAATACGCCTCATCTCCCACACGCAAAGGACGTCGAGGCTGCGCCAGCGACGCTCATGTACTGGAGTCGTGCCCCCGTCTACGGCGTGCTCCCAGAACACGGCGTGCGCGCACACAGCGTGACGCTCGTCGACAGCGTCGCCTGGCTCTTCGGCGGGTGCGACGAGCGCGGCTGCTGGCGAGACGTCTATCTATTCAACACCGGTGCGTGTCCGCCTGCTGCATTCGCGGAGTTTCACTGACGAGTGCACCCGTGAAGTACAGAAACGATGCAGTGGTCGCACCCAGACATGCTCGGCGACGTTCCGCCGCCATGCCGTGCACACACCGCGACGCTCGCCGACCGGCGAATCGTAGTGTTCGGAGGTGGAGAGGGGCCGGTATACTACAGCGACGTCTACGTGCTCGATACAGTGACCCGGCGCTGGTCTCGCCCGGTGTTCCCTGAAGATGCACCGGTGCCTCCGCCAAGAAGGGCGCATACAGCCGTGCTCTACCAAAGCAAGATTTGGGTATTCGGAGGAGGAAACGGGATGGAGGCGCTCAACGATGTGTGGACGCTGGACGTGAGCGGGCCGACGGAGCGGATGCGATGGGAGCAGGTGGAGACGCGGGGGAAACGACCTGCTGCCCGAGGCTATCACACGGCGAATCTAGTAGGGAACGTGATGGTGGTCGTCGGCGGGAGTGATGGAAGGGAGTGTTTCCAGGATGTGTGGTGCTTGGACCTTGGTGCGTGTCTATTCGTTGCGATTTTGCGCGATGTGGCCTGATGTTGGTGGCAGACTCGTTGCAATGGAGCCAAGTAAGGCTCGAGATGACCCATCGACGGCTGTCGCATACCGCCACGCAGGTCGGGTCTTATCTTTTCATCATGGGCGGACATGACGGGAACCAATATACATCGGAACTACTCCTATTCAACCTCGGTATGTCTCCCACCCATGGTGCCATTGCCACAATACATCTCAATTCTTCCCCCATCACATAGTTTCGCTGACCTTCGAGCCACGGCCGACCGCTGGCAAACCGCCATCGCCGCGCGGGTATCATGTTTCTTTCCTCGCTGACAGCCGGCTGTTCGTCATTGGCGGGTTCAACGGAAGCGACGTGTACGACGACGTGCACATCCTTGATCTCGCCGGCGCGGCGTACCTCCCGCAGGTGACGAGCTTCAAGATAGAGGTTCCGTAGACTAACTTGAAGGCTGCTCACAACGCCATCATCCCGTCCCCGTTTGGCGAGCAGCGTTGCAATTCTCGGTCGCCTTCGGCGACGAGCATGGGCACTCGCGATGGAGTGTTAACTTATGACGGCCCGTATCGGTACGGATTGCATAATCTCTGTTGTATCTGACTTTGTTGCGTGCGTGGTACTCATGCCGTTCCGGAGTATAATGGATGGTCGTTTCTCTGCCTTTCAAGGCTCAAGCTCAAGGCGCAGGGGCCGCGTATGAACAAGCTCGTTCCCGAAAGGGCTCATTCTGGCACCCGGTCCTATCAGCCTATTGGAGCCATCCACGCGAATCGCCGACTAGCAAGTGCGTGGTGGTGGCGCAGCCGCATATCACATTAGGTGCTGCCTGTGGAAGGCCGACACGCGTGTGCGTGCAGGTTGTTCGGTACCAGGAAGATGAATTCCGTCGGTGCGGTCGGTGCGATGCGGTGCATCGGTGGAGCCAAGACCCATATCTGCCTCGTGTACATGTATTGCCATTGTAAGGTACCCACGCGGCCAGAGGAAGCTTGTCCGGCGGTTCTCTTGAAATGAAATGAAATGAAAGGACCACTGCCTTGTGCTTGTATCGTCATTGTTGGAATCCATAGGTGTGGTACGTGCATGGCCACGTTGGTGAAGGCTGATGTAGATTGTAGATACGGCGATGGTCGAGGAGGTGCGATGTTTGTCGTGACGAGTTTTGGCGCGGACGCCAAAGCGACCTATGTGAGATGCAGCGGCTTTGAAAGTTGGCCAATCGTTGTTGTCTTTCATCATCCTCAGGCTTGGCATGTAGCGATGTCCGAGCTGAACTTGGGTGCGGTTTCCAACAGATAACGATGATGTCGATACGATCCCTTGCATCTTTCAAATGTTCAAAAATAAGAAGATGCGCCGCTTACCCCGCAATAGCAAAAGCTCAACCGGCTGGCTAACGTTGTAGCATCACGAGGTATCAATGGGTTGCAATTTTTGACAGTTGGAACGTAAGTATCTGAACATGGGCGACGTTTTGGCCTGGCGGGATACAATACACCCAGTGAGGCTTAAAGCTTGACGATTGGTGCACACATGACTGCACCGCATCAGAAGGAATTGCACCGGTTGCGGCCACAACGGGCTTCTCGTTGCCACCCGCCATATCAAGCTTCGTGCCAATCATGAACGAATACGATGGGCGCAATATGCGATTGGATACGGGGCAACGAACAGAGACGCAGGTGCAGGATTGGACGCGACGGTGCTCACCCGTGTATCTGATAATGCAGAGACGACCGTACCCATGAGACGAACAACCTAGGACGACATGGTTCGATGATTATCTTCATCAGAAGTATGCGGCGTGGCGCGTTCAAAGTCGTATCCATGGGCAGGATTGAATTTCGGTTGGTATGCCTGTCAGTACGGTGATAATCCGCCATGCACGGGAGCGAAAGCGGGCGACGTGCGCGGAGGTCCCCGCACCTAAGAAGGTTATCACTACTACCGGCATCATGCAGCCTCTGCATGATGGGATGCCTATCCAATGGAGTGTGGTCATCGCTGGTTGCTTGCGCGACAAGGGCCAACTCATTTCTCTCAAAAATGATCAGTGGGAGCTAATGTTAGTAGAGTGACCGTAGTGCACTCCGAGTCCCCTCGCGATCAGAGGATACCATTACATTCCGATACTCAGCATGTAGCCATCTTGTCATCCTCTGCCTTCAGCTTGCATAGGCTATAGTGACCAATCTCAGTCCAAAATTTTCGCTTGTTCAGCCACCACTCGTCTGCCTACCCGTCATGATCCGGCGATCAAGCTCAGAGTTCTAGCATTGTGAGGACTGTAAACGAGTTGACAGGAATTGACGACCAGGCCACACTAGACGAGTAGCAACCGCGATCGTGGCCAAAGCAGGTGCCTGATCGGATTCGACATCTACAGAGTCCAGACTCTTGACTCCCATCGTCCACATCGCTTGTTACGTCGCGCAAAATCGGCTGTCAATGCGCGATCACGAGCTTCGAGGAATGTTGGATTCGGGCCAGAATCCACGGTCAGCCTATGGCGGCGCGAGAGGCGGGCGTAGAGACCGCTTGTGCAGTGGTCGACGAACGCACGCTGGCCTCGGGCTTCTCTGATATCCAAGACCTCATGGCAACGGTATGCATTGGACGAGCGTCATGTTCCCCGCCCTGTTTGGCAACGTTTTCTTCTTGAAAGATTTCGATTAAGGTTGGCGCACAAAGACCACGACCAATGGTGGCATCCGCAGCGTTGTTGTATTGCCTACTGGCTCCTGATCATCTCAAAGTCAACATGCATTCCCCGCGCGCTTCCTCCATTATGAAGAATTGCAAAGCCAATTGGAAGGCCACGACAATGCAGACCAGATTGCCCTGGCGACGGCTCTTGTCGACTTTCGCTCAGAAGACGGTTGGCACGGCAATGCTTCGCTCTATCTGATTCGCTCAAACGTGCCATCGTCAGCGGGTCATGCGTCGGAAGATTTCGTGCACGAGCTCCCTGCACGATGTATCGGTACCTGATGCCGAAGAGCTCCGCGATTGAGCATAAAAGCAAGCCAAACACATGCGGTATGCCCTTCATCTTCCTTCTTCATCTGCCTTGCTCTTGCTATCGTTCGCTGGCCGGTGCTTGCATTCGCCACTCGACCTGGGGTCGTTCTGTTCATAACCTTCAGGCTTTTCTTTTCACTCTCAAGCTCGCAAAGCACTCCCGTTCATTCCCATCCTGGCCCTTTCTCGATAATCACTCCTGGTCGAGATGTTCCCCAAAGCCTTTGCTGTTGCTTTCCTTGCTCTTTCACTTGTTGCGCATGCGGCTCCGGCAGCTGATGTTGATTGTGCAAGTAACCTCGGTCGAAGGCGTTCTCGGCAGTGTACTGATGCATTATATAGAATGAGACCGTGACTGTAACTGCTCGTGCCGTCGCAACAAAAGCTGCATCTTCGACATCGACCAGCAGCGCTGCTATTGCGGTAAGTAACGCATAATCATCTCTTGCAACGCGTCGGCTTATTCAACGCGAACCAGTCCGAGAGCGGCACAAATGTTGCTAGCACAAGCACAGGTAATCTGCAGACCTCCCTCAGTACGTCCCATCCTCTCGTCTTTGCCACCTGAATGATTATCAACAATCATCCACGTCTAGCACTGGACTCGTCATTAGTACAGCCAGGTTTCGAACAGAACGGACAGTCGGATGGAGAGTAAGTGCAGCCCTCGTCATTTCTCAAAACGAGGAACTCTGCTGATCAATGTCGCGGCGTAACCAGGCCTGAGGGTGCCGGCCAAGTCGCGTCCAACACCTCCACGAACAACTTCATCAACTTCTGCGCCGACTTCTCCTCGCTCCCACTCACGAACGGCACGCAAATCAAGGCCGGCTCATGCAACGCCGCGCCAATGGGCCTGATCGCCGCAACCACCGCGATGCCCTCCGCCAAATTCGTCAACCCCAAGAACCTCGACACCATCGCCGCCAACACCAACTTCACGATCCAAATGGCCATCAGCAACCTCGACACGGGCTTCTTCGTCAACCCCGACACGAACTACTTTGCCGCGCCCCAGACGCTCAACGCGCAGGGCCTCATCGTCGGCCACTCGCACGTCGTGATCGAGCAGCTGCAGTCGATGACCCAGACGACCACGACGGACCCGACCACGTTCGCGTTCTTCAAGGGCCTGAACGCCGCCGCTGAGAATGGCGAGTTGTCTACGACGGTGGCTGGCGGGCTGCCCGCGGGCGTTTACCGCATGGCGTCCATCAACGCCGCGGCGAACCACCAGCCCGTGCTCGTCGCCGTTGCGCAACACGGTTCACTCGATGACATGGTCTACGTACGTCAAGCATCTCTCTCTTACCTCGCGGCGGAGCTGACCTTGCAGCGTACAGTTCACGGTCAGCGATGATGGCACCTCTACGGGTACATCCAGTGCTGCCTCGGGCGCCAGCTCGTCGGCTGCCACTGCTAAGGGCAATTCGAGCGGCAACAACGGCAAGAATGGCGACACCGGTGCCAACGCTGCCTCGAGTGCCAGCGCATCCAGCGCCGCTGCGAGCACGAGCTCGTCGGCCGCCATCAAGAACAACGCGGGCGGCAACAACGGCAAGAATGGCGACACCGGTGCCAACGCTGCCTCGGGTGCTAGTGCATCCAGCGCAGCTTCAGGCGCTAGCGCGTCCAGCGCCGCCGCGAGCACGAGCTCGTCGGCTGCCACTAAGAACAACGCGGGCGGCAACGATAACAACACCGGCAACGACAACGGCAAGAACTTTGGCAACAAGGGCAAGCGTTACATTCGCTTCGGTCGCGCCTAAGCGGTCCCCCCCTCCCCTTACCTCCCTCGCACGTTCCCTCCCTGTTACCGTTGCCGTTGTCCCCTCATAGATCGTCCATCTTGATCGATATCACTCGCCCGCTGTTATGAGGATGTCTGAGTCTGGGCTTGGCTACGTGTGTGCTTTGCTTTGCGTTCCTTTCTTTATCCCTTCGATCTTTATTTTTGTACTATAAGTGGTGTATGCGTGAGCGGCCCTCACCCCTCGCTCAGGCTCAGGCTAGCCCTGGTATACGTAGATCTTTAGCAGAGCAGTTCAATAAACAGGCATGCTTGATGGAACTCTGCGCGCGTGTGGTCTTGCGGTCGTGTGGTCGTATGGACTCGGACTCGAGGTCGGGTCGTGCTGCCGCATTCGTGCGATCATCTTATCTCAACTTGCAGTTGCAAGGCGACACCTCGGCGCCGAACGCGGGATGGATGGATCTGATTGTAGGCAGGCAGGCAGAGATGACCGCGAGAAGAGTGACCTCAATTCGCGCATTCAATGTGCTTCAATCTTGCGCACGGTGAGTCCGTCTTCTACCGGTGGAGTTGGATGGCCTGGCAACCACTGGCATCCTTATCTCAGAGTAGGGGAAGAAATCGATATGGGCGTGGCCATGGATACGGGCGGCTAGATGATTCGGATGAGAGCAACCGATCTCCAGATGTCGTGGGCATCAAACTTTTGGTCTCAAAATATCAAGATGTCCAGACAGAAGTGATCCAATAATAAGTTACATGGCTATTATTATACACGATATCCAAACGAATGTACAGATGATACACTAGCAGCACATACAGTAGATCCGCCTCCAATCAGACCCACACGGGTATCCCACACCGCACCACACCGCACCGCACTACACCCGATCACCGCCCATACTCGCCACCGTCACCGTCCTCGACATCTCACTCGCATCATCCGCGTCCCCGACCCCAATCCCACCTAGCGTCCGCTCCCGCTCGCTCGTCCTCGGGCGCCACCTCTCCACACTCCCCCTCACCCCACCTGCACCGCCCTCCCGCATCTCCCCTCGCTCGGCCTCCTCCTCCTCCTCCTCCTCGCGCTGCGCACGCTCATCCGCATCGCGCCGCAGCTGCTTCCCCTGTATGAAAAACACAAGCAGCACGACGCCGCACACCGACACGCCCTGGAAGATGCTCGCCCGATGCATGTTGAACGGCGGGTCCGCCGAGGGGCCGTCCCTCAACGCGCCCTCGACTTTTCGCGCAATCATCGGTCATCGATCGGTCACAGAGAGATGCGACGAGAGAGCGTGCTCACCCAAGACGAAGATGATCCCGACGAGGTTGCTCCTGTTAGTTCATAGGAACATGCTCAGCGACGCGACCAGCGCAAAGATGAATCGGATCGACTCACGAAGCCCAGAGCACCGCCGAGCTCGCATCCGCATTCCTTGTCAGCTCCACCGCGAGCTCCAGCGCAACCGGCAGCATCGTCAAGCTCGTCACCCCTATCACCGCCATCAGCGCAAACAGCGCGCCCGTATCATTCCGCCGCACTACACCCCCAAGACAATCAGCATCCGCGTAGTCTGCAGAAGGAGATGCGCGGCGCGGCGGAGAGGGACAGGGAGAAGGGGAGGGGACTCACCCGCCCAGATGAGGCCGAGCCACGCGCCGCCGAGGAACGGGCAGAGCAACTTGCACGTCAGCGCGAGGTGGTGCGTGAACACCCTGTCGAAGAGCGGCGCGGTGATGAACGCCGCGACGATACCCGTCAGCAATATCGTCGCTCCAAACAACCCCGATATATCGTCCGAATACCCATAGGGCTCCTACACGTCCGCACACCATCAGCTCCTGGAAGCATCGACGCGGGGTGATGAGATGGGACGACGTACAAAGTCCTGTGCGGTGAGGATCGAAAACGCGTTGATCCTGACGAGAAATCCCAGTGATCGACGCTCAGCTGCCTGCTAACGAGTAAGGAGGCGAGAGCGACTCACACCCCAACCAGCACCCCAAACGCCAGCGCCAGAATCACCAAATCACTCCTCTCCCGCCTCGTCATGTACGTCACACGCTCCTTCGGCTCCCTCCCCACCATCGCACGCACGAACGACATGAACGACGGCGACCTCTGCTCGCCAGCATGCGCTGCATCGCACACGTCAATATCAATATCAATATATCTCCAAGGGGGATGGAATGGGAGAAAGGACGCACTGGGAGGTGTGGGCGGCCCATCAAGCACGATGAACACGAACGGCGTCGCCGCGCTATAGATAATCGCCAGCACCAATATCTACCACACAAATCACCAAAGTCAGCACCTCATCCCACCTCAAAGTTTAAAACGCCACTGACAGACTGCGCCGGCGTCTCCACGAGCGGCGAAATAAGCTGCCCGATCGCATTCCCAATCGGGTTCGCTGCACACAAATCCTCAATAAGTGCGATGTACGAAGTACGAGGGGGGGAGGCACGCACCGATGGACATGAGCATCGTCGCGGTCGTGCGTCCCTTGAGGTCGAACCACCGCTCCGAATACCCCGGGATGAGCACCTGAAAGACCGGCTGCGTGACGCCCGCGATGATCTGCGCACGCGCCAGCGTCAATTTCATCATGACATTGTCAATATCAGTTTGGCAGAGTCGACGAGGGTCGATCATGCGGGGCGGGGAGGGACGAGCATGCATCGTGATCAGACGGGGTTGTGAATGTGGGGAAGGGAAGAGCAAGACGCACCTGCCCGATGATCAGCAGCGCGTATTTCCCGTGGACGGACAGCGAGCTCGCCGTCCCTGCATAGCGGATCCAGGCGCTCAGGAGGAGGAGCACGGCCCCGATGTAGCACTGCAGAAACGGGGCAGAAAACGATGTCAGTACGTTCTGGCTCGGATCACCGTGACCCACACAGTCAAAGTGAACAGGAAAGAAATATGGAGAAATGACACGAAGAGACCGCGCACTGCATTTCTGGACTCAGCGCGAGAATCTCTGGGAAATCCGATCCAAGACCACTGCGCCGCCCGCACATACAAACTGCGCTGGCGAATGAACCCGAACCACAGCTCACGACGCGCCTCGTCTGGCACATCCGTCCGGCATGTCTATTCAGGATAGCCGGCTGACGAGCAGCAGCTGGTCTAATGCGCAACGGCAAACCCGACGCCCATCAAACCCATTCCGCAGTCCGTACGAAACCCACCTGAGCCTGATCGGATCAGCGTACGGGGAGCGGGAGAGAGTCAGATCGGTGCTTTTCGCAAGGTGCGCCTGGTGTGTCCGCCGGCGCGCCTAGGCGGGGTCCAAGTGTGAATACGAGAGAGCGAAGCGCATCACAACCATACGCGCGTGCGTAGTCGGCGCGTTGGAATGCACGACGCACGCACGCATCTGCACCTCGACGCACCACCCGACCCCACACCGCCCCACAACCAAAAGAAAACCCGCAAAAACGTTCACCAAAGGAAGAAAAAAACACGAAACGCCACTCACCGTCCGCCTCACGCCCAACCTCGCATACACCGCAGGGACGAGCGCCGCACACGGCAGGTACGTAAAATTGACCACGTTCCCGAGCCAGTTGACCTCGTCCAGCGTGAACCCGAACGCCTCCACCACTGCCATCCACAAACGTCGTGCAGGGGGAAGCATGAGGATGTTAGCGTGTGAGGAGAGGGGAGAGGGGGGTGCGCACCGTTGTTGGCGATGGGGCCGAACCAGACGAGGGACATGCCGGCGACGATGTTGAGCACGATCTGGGGTGTGTGTGTGCGGTGAAGGGGAAGGGGATGGAAGGGAGGGGGCGGCGTCGAGTGATGGGTATGGGGGGCGAGTGGCGATGAGCAGGATGCAGGGTTGGACGCGGATGATGTGCGCGGAGGGGCAGCGAATCACCAAGGAAGCAAGGCGGGCGGGCGCGAATCCGAACACGCATGCGACACCAACCAAATGATCCAATATTTACCGAGCATAGAGGATACAGATGCACGGTCAGCACACGCTCCGGAAAGGAGAAGGAGGCACTCACGATCGCACACACGCCCACCCATCTCCGCTTGTACATCCGGTACTGCACATGCGCGTGCGCGTGCGCGTGGTGCTCGCCGCTGTCCACGCGGGTCACCTGCAAGACTGGCGAGGGGGGGAGACAGGAGGGAGAAAGGGCGTCAGCATCAGTGTGTGCGCGGGAGCCTTTTACGAAGGAGAATGTGGAATGGGAGGAAGAGGGGGGGAGGCCTGGGGGTGGGGGAGGTTTTTGGGTGGGCAGGGAGGGGAGGGATGAGTGGATGGAGGTGGGGGAGAGGGAGGTGGTGGAGGAAAGGGAGGCGCGGGCGAAGGCGTCAGGAGGGGGGAGGGTCATCGTGTGGGACAGCAGTAAACGAGTGACGGACGGGTGGACGAAAGAAGAATGGATAGATGGCGGGCAGGACGCTAGATGTACGCCGGGGGAATATTGCGACCGCCACCTCAACTCAGACGCGCAGGTACGGAGTCAAGGATCGCGAGACGGTGCAAGCACGTATCACCGCCAACAGCAGCGCAGAAAGATGCGAAACGAACCCTAACCGACTCGACTCGGCACTCACCATCCACCCTGACCGCTCCCTTCTGCCGCTCCTTCTCCTTGCTCCGTCCTTCGGATACTCCGAACGGCCTTTCGTGCTCGTCCGGCCCTGGCTGCGAGCTCGGACTTGAGGTTGGCGAGGCAGCGGACCATGGCGGGGGCATCGTGCATCGACGGGCGGTGGGCGGTGGGTATCAATGTTCGCCGCAGGACGAGATACGAAGTGGATGCGGCACAGGAACGGTATCAGGATCGTGCGCCGCGTGAGTGGCACGGTTATCAATCAGCTGAGGCCGGCGGCGAAACAGAATCAGATGGGTTCTGGTTGGCGTCCGCAGAGCCCGCTCGGCGAGGAGGAGAGGGGGCGAGGAGGGGATCGGAGGAGGACGCCGGATCGGACGCATAAGGGCTCAGGAGGCAGGGCGAGATTGGAGACGACGGAGCATGCTGATTCGTTCGATCGCGTCGCGAGTGCCAAGAGGACGCGTGCGTAAGGACGATGCGTCATCAGGGCAGTGCATGGCTCCGAGATGCTCTGCTGTCAAGTGCCCGTGCTCGCTGGACGCGGAGAGGCGACGACCACTAGCATGCGGCGCTCGCGAGATAGCTGTGCACGCAGCACATGGCCGCACGACCAGCTGATTCACGCTTGAGCTTAACACAAGCTATACTGATCGCACCGCCAGCTGTCATCTCACCCGCGCCCGCTGTGTCCGCGTACGCGTCCTACTTCCCACAGAGCGCCACACGCCTCGCAGGGACTCAGCTCTCTCCAAATCGTTGCGTGGTTCACAGCGAGACGCGCAACCACGAGCACGGCACCGAACCTCCACCCATCCTCATTCTCATGATCACTCCCTTGGCCAAGCGGTATGATCTATATCTGACATCCTCACGCTAAGGGCGCCAAGTCCTGCGGCTCCGAGCTCCCTGGCCCACCAGCCCCGAGGTTCCTCCTCGCCGAAGTGCCTTTCGTGGGATCCGGGTGCGCTGTGCATGAGAAGATGAAGATAGCGTGCGAGCACACAGGCTTGTATCATAGGCGATGTCGATGGTGTGTGAGAGAGAGACAGGACACGTACAGCTGAGAGCGAGAGCGAGAGGAAGGTGCGTAATCTCTGGGTCCGTTTATCAGAACGTGTGCAGAGGCGCACAGATTCAGCTCGCGTGCGCAGGAGCAGCTATCCAGCGTTCATCATCATCGTACCAGTTCGCGCGCACGCGTCATTATCGCACAGCATTGAATCCGCTTGGGCGGCCCTGCGATAAACAATATGATGCAATGCAGTACGTCCAGGTCCAGGTACGCACAGGCACGGCGCTCACCAGTCAAGCTCAAGCTCAAGCTCAAGCGCAGGCACATGCTCACCTCCATCTCCGATCCCCCCTGCTCGTTATCGCTCGCGACCGCCGCGTAATCCGTTCTCAAGACACGCTCGCCAGTCGCCTGGTGAGAGTGGGACGCCGGGATATCAGACCTCGTTGGTTTAATCTGCCACCAAGACCCAACACGCGTGCCTCGCTGGACTCGACTCCGGCACACTACACACGAAAGATGTCGCCCGGCGCTCGGCAGGCATGCGCAGCCCAGTGAGATTCATGGACGATCGAGCTTGTCCGCGAGCGGTGCGCGTCCGTCTATGCGCTATCACATCGCCGGCTGTTGCAACGTCGCACCCAGCATCCTTCTTTTTTTCGCACCGCCGTCTCGTAAGCACCGCGATACCGTCGAAGCAGAAAACCCCGCAACCGCCCCGCGTCCCGCCCATCCGGGCCGCACGGCTCTCTGGGAGGACGGGGGTGCCTGGTGCGGTAAAGGAAGAAACGGCCAGGGATATTGCGGCGTGCGAGCCGCGAATAATATTGTCAGTTCAGAGTGGGACCAGGATGAGTAACGTATTCTGGTCCGGAGTGTTTCAGAGATTTAGATGATGATTGCGCTCAGGTCCGTACTAAGCTTGTAAGTATACTTAAGCTCGGGCATGGCGTTGGACAGCGTTTTGTGAGCGAGCGCTCGCGATGCCAACGCGGAGTTTCAAAGTCGATCGAGTTCGCGCGTTTGTGGCTGCGTGGTATCATACGCCACAACCCATTCCCTTTGTGAACCCTCACCAAATTGAATTCGAGCACCTGCAAGTCGCGATCCGCACTTTGACGAGCGTCATATACCATCGAACCCGTATTGCGGTGCACCGAGATCCAACGCATTGACGAAGGACAGCAGCATGCGGGCCCTTGCGTAACAGTAGTGCCTACCATGATCATATCGCAACTCTCCTGACCCGTGGCGCGTGGCGGACACGACGACGCGCATTGTAGGAATGTCACGGCAGTCACCGGTGGTCCTATGGTGTCGGTTGCTGGCGTTGTGGATGCAAGCGAGTCATGTCGTGATAATGAATATTCCGAGGAGGGCAGGGCGGCACGATGGACAGCCTCAGTGTAGTAGATGAAGGACAAGACCCGCAGCGGCGGTGCCAGTGGCTAGTGATGCGTTGCGCTTTCAGCAATCGAAAAGAGAGAGTTAGACGTCACTTCCCAGATCGCGTTTCAGTTGCTGAAAGGCATCGTGGCTTCATGGCAATGTGCCATCAATGAAAACAATCTGAAGCTTCTTGGTGTAGGATGTCGATGCGTTCATGCACTTGTTGTTATTGCGCGTGCGTTGTCGTCAGTGTGATCTTCGACCGTGGGCTGACGACAGGATGAATATGGATGGGCATAGCCTAAGCAATGTTGTTGGCGTTGTGATCCGTTCGGGGATCATCTGCAGACTGCTGGGGCATTTGGGTCCGCAACTTCGCTGGACCAGGCACTCACGGGAGATTGCTGGCCAGAATCATTCTGAAGGACGTCAATCAGGACACAAGCAACCGTTCGTCTCGTACTTTATTAGAGCGAGGGAATTATGCGGAAGGTCTAGAGATGGAGGATTCAAAAGACCAAGGGAGAGATATGCTCAGGATGAACTTGAATGATAGGACTGTAGACGTTCATCCTGAGCATATCCTCCCTCGGTCTTATGAAACAAGCAACCTCGTACCTTATTAGAGCCAGGCAACTATTCGGAAGATCCCAGAGATGGAGAATTCATTGACTGAGGGAGGATATGCTCAGGATGAACTTGAACGATAGGACTTGTAGGTGTTCATCCGTCCTCCGACGTTGACGTTGCAATCGGATCGTAGTATCGTGATTTGCATACGGTTGTCCGTATACAACCATATGACTGCGTATGGAACCGCAACTGCAGTCCACAAGAATTTGATTCCACTTTCCCCAGAGGCGCAGGCCGTCGGCTCAGGGCTGAGGTGTTAACGCAAGTCACTGCTTCGCATTGCTGGAAGGATGTACAGTCGACAAGTGAAGGGGACTTGCTTGGTGCCTAGGTGCGATCCTCAGAGCAACACACCTCAAGAGGCCGTGGAAACGAAGACTATTGCTTGCGCTGGGGGCCGGGCAGGAGCTAAAATTGGGATTACAGTGCATTCGACAATCAGTTAATCCCGGATCGGCGCTGATGCCTGTGAAGAAAGGCACGGCTTCACAGTGACCTTAATGACCATAACTACCTGTAGGTATTCGCTCCTTTGCATTCGAACGTAGATGAATCGAGAAGCGGGACCTGCCTAGGACCTGCCGCTGTGGCACCCTGTGACATTGCTGTGTGACTATACCGTTACAATCATGTAACCCGTTACGAGACGCGATAATGGATGTGGCCACTGGCCACATCAGAGCTGGACCGCTATCGCGTAAAGGTCATCCGTCGACATGGCTTCTTCGTAGTCTCATCACTTACTCTTGCATAATATACGGTATGCCTGGCCCTCGGAACATGAAGAAGAAGAAACAAGTGGAGTCGAAGAAAGCCAAGCGCAACAAACCACTCCCCGACAAGCCGACGTTGGAGACAGACGCTTGCGATGTTCGCTCGCATCCACCAGCTTCTCACCATTCACATCATGCCTCCGAAACCAGTGTACCAGATACCATCTCGAATCAAGTTTCCGAGCTGCAGATATGGAGCCAGCCGCCATCTGACAGCCCCGACGATCACGTTAGACGCACCACACCCTACACCTATGATATGACCTACGAAGACGCTCATCTTGATGCGGATATCCCACCAATATTTACGAAGAAGCCGTTCATTCATGACCCCGGTAACGGACCACGCGTACGGGATACGCGAGCTTTTCTTGCATCGACTTTCGCTTCTCCGCCCTCGCTGGAAGATCCTCTGTGTGCCGAGTTCGCACAGGACGAGATGCTGGAGATGTTGTCACTGATACTCCCAGAGGAGACTGCATTGGTATGCCTTCACTTGCTTTACGTGAGGCTGCCCCTGGATTGACGCAGCTATGAAGGTGCTGTGGTACAATAAGAGCCGCAAGACCGCTCGAGTATGTCCTGCCTGCCAGCGACTGTATCGGCTAGGGGATGTTCTTCCCAAACACCTCAACGAAGAGGCACTCACACAGTCTGCCGAGCACATGCGGGAGCATCTCTACCGCGAGCAGGCTATCAGCGGGCTCTGTACGTTCCCTTCCTCCGCGTGCCCTCTGTTGCCTAAGACTACTTGGCTTAGGCTCCTCCGTCTGCTTCATGCTCGCTGCATTAAACTACCCCGGCGCTATTAGCTCCACGTGGGGACGGATGGCGGAGGAACTGGGCGATGCGACGTGGGACCTGCTGGACGGGCCTGGCACGAACGCCGTCCAAAACGATCGGGGGCTCAGTCTGCTGCTGAAGATGACACGCTGTGCGGATCTCGGGCTGGGAGAACTGCTCTTTCCGGAGGATGATGTTGACGACCTATTGGATGGGGAGGGCAGTCATACGAAGGTGGTAGAGGATCGGACATGGACTACGCCGACGTTTCGCGATGCAGATGGGGTGGAATTAGCAGAACAGATGGGAGGCCTCCGATTGCGTGCTGGGAGCTGATATAGCCGGACACTTCGAGCCCCTCGTGCAGCTGCGTGACTTATCTACTCTAATTAATTCTGCTAATTTTCCGGACACGAACTTCGCATCCGTCTAGTTGGCAAGTCATTGCCTCGACAGGTACATAGCGAACACTTACACGCAAAGAGTGCTATACGGCGTAATTCCTGGTTCATAATACAGCAAGATAGATACTCACCTCTTATCTGTGTTCATCTAAACAGGCGCAGACAGATGAAGAAGCGATACGTTTCCTCGTGCGGTCTAGTGATCGAAGGCAGCTGGTTGTTCTTCTCCATTTCGTTTGTAACGAAAGGACGCTGCACGACCGTTGTCTGTCTAGCCAAGCTTGAACGCAAGCTCATTTCTTTTCCGGGCTCTCGTGGACCTCATCTTCTCGCCCTCCAACGTTTCCTCAAAGCCGTCGTTCGTCCGCTCCCCCGTTCGTCCTCCGTGCTGCAGGCAGTGCTCAGTTCTCGAAGACTCCCCCGCATTCTCATTGAGTCCAGAGGCCGGAGATTTTCACTGTGCAAAGCCGATGTAATAATTCGCGAGAGGAGCTTCCTAACAGTCCCTATTCTCCGATGTCGAGATGCAGCCACAAGTCTGTGGCTTATTGGCGAAGTCAATATTCAGAATGGGGAGTGCTGGCAGGAGGTGCAAGAAAGGTGGAGGTTTATGAGGTGAGTACATCGGAGCGGAGCTGGGAGGGCATGTCATTAGTTCTGAATGCAGTCAGCAAACAACATCTCTGCAAGCTGTGCTGATCGATGAACTCGTGCATGTCCGCGGACGCTTACAACAGGCGTGCCGTCCCGGAATCAACAGGACGCGTCGTCTGCTCCATTGAACCCCGCACATGCTTACTTAAACCTTTTCGAAGCTCTTTGAAGTCTGTCCCGCATCGGTCGTGGGCGCGTTCATAAGTCTGTGGGCCAAGCCGGTCGTTCTGACGAGATTGGATGAACTGGTACGTGCAGAAAAGATTACTCTCCATCTGAGGGCTCAATTGTCCCGTTAAAGCATTCTTCGGAGAAATGAAAGAGCTGTGTCATGCTTGCGTGGCCGATCGACTCTCGTGCAGACGACCGTGTATCGCGCACAAGGTGCACAGGTTTAGTGTTCGTGTGTCGATCTCAATCTTCAGTTCTGTCTGCTATTCGCACTATTTCGAGCATCGTTCTCATGTATGAGCTGTTCGACTGGCGATGCTCTTTGAAGAACGTTCCTGGAGGATATTTGACCATGACACATATCCAAGTTGGAGGCCCGCCTTAAAGTCAGTGTAGCGCTCCACGTGCAGAGCGGAATCTGCTTCATCCTTCGGTCTCTCCTGAGCATCGCGTCCCTCTTACCTTCCACACCCTTCAACATACGCCTAGACAATAATCATTTCGCGATTATACTATCCCACCGCAAGCAAGCGCCTAGAAGACAGTGCGTCGGCTCCCTGTCCGTACTCGATAAGCCATGTCGTCCATGAATGACATTCACATCCCCTTTCGCTTTCAGCTTTCGATGCCCGCCAGAGGGAAGAACGGAGTCATTACCCCCGGGAGGAAGACATGCGGATGGAGCTCGCCTCGCGAAATCAGCATCTGCACACATCCAGTGTGTACCGATGCCAGTTACGGACGCTGCATATGAGTTTAGGATCAAACCGGTACTGGATCGTGCTCATGGCTTCCCAACAACTTCCGTTTATGTTTGACATTCGCTCTCTGCAGAGGCGTGGTCACATAGTGTCTGCGCAAAATTTACTTCGTCTTCTTCCACGGATGCTCAACACAGCCGCGGCGTTATCCAGCAGCATGCCATTGATTATATCCTGGGGTCTTCAATTCCTCATGAGGCAGCCTAAAATGCTCCTCGGATGCTCCTCGGAGCTCCATGAGGCCGCTAGATCGGATGAGGAGCAAATTCAGACGCAAAGGTAATAGCTGGGGTTGGCCGTTTGAATACTGTCTATAAGACGGTCAGGACATGAAGAATGACATGCGCTGAACGCGCCGGGGATCTCGGTCAACTGCCTTTGGCCATCTTCCTCAGGCGCTTCCAACTGCCATTGGCTACAATCGGATCCCCCAAGGGAAGCTGTGCGATTCGTAACAGCTTTTTTTGCAACGAGGCGTGTGGCATATGCATTGACAACTTCCATGTCGGACTACATGCCGCCTTCTCGACAGGCCGATACACAGATTTTCCCATGAAGCCTTATGTAACAGTCCTTGGCGAGATTTTACTTCGGTTCGGCTCGAACGCGCTGATCGCAATATTGCCTTATTAATCACAGAGTCAGTGTATTCTGCTGAGAACCAAGGAATTGCTGTCGATTCTGTTTGCAGGCATTGAAGCCAAGATTGGATGGAAAATTGTAACGGTAGAGCTTGCTGTCGCAAGCAGGAAGAATAAACACGAGCAGATGATATTTCGCTCTGGCGAGCTATTCTATATGCCTTGTTCAGCCATCAAGTGAAGCTTGAGAACTTGATGCATTTTGACAAACCAGATAGCCTTCTCAATGGATGACCCGTGCACCGCAGTAATGGACAAAAGTGAGCACTGATTTTCGTAATCCTCCGACTCTGGATACATTCCGGGTCACCCGGATTGTCCAAGGACAATCCGCGAAGGAGAGTCGACATTGAATCCGACTCATGGGCCACATGGGCCAAGAGAACATTAGCGGACCCAGCTCACCCCCACTCCACATCCCCATAAAAGGAAATGATATGTTCTGTGTAAATTCAATCAAAATGTGTTCGGTCCATCCATGCACCCCAAGCCACCTTACACTGCCTCTACTGTTATTTCCAGATAACATTGATGAGTCCAATGCATAAGCACATCCATATTTACCTTCTGTCATGAGGGGAGTGGGTGTGTTGATACTCACTGATGATATTCATAACGGACATTATTGGCTTAAAATAATTTATGATATATATTACTAGAAACACAATCATCGTGGTCACTTAGCTTAGTGGCTACCACCGCGATTTCATTTTGTATGTCGCAAGTTCGAACCCGGTCAGTTTCAGCTACTTTTCACTTTCTTTTCGCCGGATGATCGTGGAAGTTCACATTTGTCTGCCCTAAACTTGTCATGTGCCGGGTTGTTTGCAATGGTTATTTCACCTTTTTGCCTCTTATCATTTCAAATCTGTACATGATCGTGCAAAAATAACTGGTATTACCATAAGTGGAAATGTGGAGTGGGGGTGAGCAAGGGTCACTGAGAACATTCGTGGCGAAGGTAAGATTGTCTCTACGTATTCGGCCGATACCGTTCTATTAGTGCGTGAATTTGCGAAGAGTACTACAAGGGTAATTCCAGGTCCATGATACAGCAGGGTAGACGCTCACTTCTTCCACACGCTTACTCAACAGGTGCAGAAAGACGTAAAGGAGCATTACACCCGCACGTGCGGTCTGATGAGCAAGGGCAGCTGGTGACCCTTCTCCATCTCGCTCGTAACGAACGGACGCTGCACGATCCCTCTCTTTTTCGTGATATCGCTTGCCGTCACCGCAAGTTCGAACTCGAATGCGCGAACCAGAGTGAACAGCAGCGCTTTCATCCTAATATGGTGTAGCGTGTCAGCGATGCGACCGACATTCTAGTAACGAAGCGGACGGGCGCTTACTCGACGAGGGAGAAGCGGTACCCGATGCACGAGCGCGGACCGCCGAGGAAACTCATCAGGTTTCCCCAAACGCCAGGAATCGTCTGGATGACATCAGGAGGCGATTCCCATCGCTCAGGCCTATCACGAACGATGAGCCTAACTGTCATCTGGGACCTGTCTCACGCAACTCACTTAAACTCAAATGCATCTTCCCCCCACAGATCCTTCGCACGATTTATGGCTAGGACCGGGATCAATATGAGCGTGCCCTGGTCGATCCTGTATTGCCGCGATCTCAGATCAACCGATAAGCTTTGCATGGGCACCACCACTCACTTGATGCTATCGCGCACCTGCCCGTGCACGTCCGTATATGGAGCGTTAAGCGGGATAAAGTCATCCTTACCGGCCATCCGGATTGTTGAAACGACGGGCGAATGAACGCGCATCGTCTCGCGCACGACGGCGTCGAGGTATGGCAGCTCGTTGAGCTCGTCCATGGTGGGATCCTCCGTGGGTATGCTCCAGAGCTCCTCGCGCAGCTTCTGCTGCACCTCGGGAGCCTGGCTGAGGGCAAAGAGGCACCACGTTGTTGCGTTGCTGGTCGTCTCGTGCCCTGCAACGAGGAAGCTATGGAAGCTGCGTCAGTATCGGCTCTTGATAACGAATTACTCTACCTACGTTGGGACCTCTGTAGGACGTGCGATCTTCAGCATAGACCTCAATGACAGCCTAGAGGCGACTCACGTGCAAGTACATCCGCGTCGGACAGCCGTTGACTCTCCGGGATATCGGTGCTCATGTTCGCTTTGATGAGAAGAGTGAGCAAGTCGCGTCCATGAAGACTGCTGCCATCATCATTCTCCTTATCCTTCTCAGACTCAGCAGCTTTCAAGATCGCAGCCTTCTTGTCCGCGATTAGCTGCATGCCGATGCGCCTCATCACCGCCTGAGCAGCGCCCGACTTTCTCGAGAAATTATCAGGCTACGATATTGGTCAGCAGCATCGGTCAATCTTTGTAGAATGCGGCGATTGGGGTGCGAACGCACGATGATACGAAGCGGAGGGATGTACGCCTTGAAGAAGCGGAAGAGGTGCACGCCGGCCCCGGAGAGCGATTCGAACATGATGCTGAATGCTTCGCTAAGTTCGTTCGGCTTGCCCTCGGGGTTAAGTGAGTCGAACTTGTAGTTGAAGCCTAAATATTGGACCACGTAGCATAAACTTGCACGCATTATCTCAGAACAGGGAGGCCACAACGCACCAGCTAGGCCGATGACATCAAGGGTAGCCTTGCTCAGTCCGCTGAGGACGTCCACTCTAGCGGGCTCGCCGTGCTTCGCTATCTCGGCGCTCCAAATATCGCGCAGCTAGAGGCGAATCTCGTTACTCCTCTACCCTATGTTAAACCACACGAGCGCTTACTTGCATGGACTTTTCCACGAAAATCCCTGTCAGCTCTCGGATTTGAGCGGGACCGAAAGCAGGGTTCTGGAATACGACAGGCTATGGACCTGCCAGGCTTGTAACACAGGATTCGACTAACCATAATCCTCCTCTGCGTTCCGGGTGAACCTTCAGACGGTCTGGAAATGTATACACTGCGGGGAGCTCACCTGCATGCGGTGCTGTTCTCCTGGAATTGGACGAGTTAGCTCGGAACGCATCGTTAAATAGGAACTGCTCCAAGGACATACCTTCAACAATCAATAAACCTGCAGCAGACGGGGTCAGCAGCGCGTCAACGGACTGGAGAGAGAATCTGTTCGAACCTGCTCCAAGTATACGGGAGAGGAAAAAGTGTGATATGTGAGGCTTGGGATAGTCGTAAGAATGGCTGAGGATGTGGCTCAGTGCCCGTGTGTCTACGGTGTACAACCTATTTGTCTATCAGAAGGCTTGGGATAGGCAGCACGAGAGGCTTGTGACTGAAGCGTACGTTCATCCATCCCTTGTAATTGATCGTCTTTCCATAAGTCTCGGTCCACGCTTCATGAAGTACGGCCTCTTCAGAATTTCGGATCTGTTTGAGGTTGCCATAAATCCAGCTCGGATTAGAAGGGCCTGGGAGATCGCGCATTGGAGAGATCCATAGACGGTACACGAAAGGGACTAGCTTCCACAGAGCATAAGCAAGCGCGGCTAGTCCCAGAGAGAGGGCGGCGTTCGATGCGTTAGCGACGGACATCGTGTATAGGGTGTTGGTTCTAGTCAGATCCGCAAGCTTTCCTTAGCGCTTTATATTGTTCTAAGATGCCTGCGGGGGCAATCACGAGGGCAATTTGACACATAGAAAGTGATTGCTTCTTCAGCGCGAGTCCCGGGCTGCGGGGGCATGTATGTCGGCACGGAGTCGACGGGTTAGGATATGCTAACGGTTGCTGACAGAGGGAGGGTCTGGACAAGCCATGTGGGAATCGCTTGATCATCGGATGAGTCTCAGGAGGTACAAAGGCGATGCTGGGAAGTTACCCTTGACAACTATAGCATAATACGCCGGAGAACCGCGCAAATTTCTCGGCTGATGGCACCCACAGGGTACGCGCGTTTTCTCACCAGCTATCTGAACGAGTTCGAAGCATGAAATACAGCCCAAACAATTACACTTGTCTTGACGATCGAGGAGGGAAAATGTTCGAGTGATCCGAAATTGACCACCGTCACCTAAAATAAAACAATCCCGAGCGTGCGATTCGTCACGGTAATAACCGAGTCGATCATGTTACTCCGAGAAAGTCGGAAATCAGTATTCTTCGGAACATTTCGTCCGACAAGCGAGGGTAAGTAGTAAGTACCGGTCGAGACTCAATATCGAAAAACGTCATTCATTCGCGATCTTGGATCAACCTTCGCTCGACAGAGATAATAGTAGGGATTCTCAAGCAAGCATGTACAGCAAGAATGCAAAAAGTCTTATCCTCGCACGTACGACCTGATGAGCAAAGGCAGCTGGTTGCCCTTCTCCATCTCGCTCGTAACGAATGGACGCTGCACAATCCCTATCTTTTTCGTACTATCGCTTGCCGGCACCGCAAGTTCGAACTCGAACGCGCGAACCAGAGTGGACAGCAGGGCCTTCATCCTACGCGGCGCGTCAGTGATGCGACATTCGAAGCGGACGGTGCACTCACTCGACCAAGGAGAAGCGACATCCGATGCACGAGCGCGGACCGCCGAGGAAGCTCATCATGTTTCCCCAAACACCAGGAATCGTCTGAGTGATGTCAGGGGGCGACTCCCACCGCTCAGGCCTACCAAGAATGTATTGAGCCTATTACCAGTGACAATCCGATGCATGCGACTTACTTGAGCTCAAACGCGTCTTCGCCCCACAAGTCCTTCTCACGGTTAATCGCCTGAATCGGAATCACGATAGGTGTGCCCTGGTCAATCCTATATAGTAAAGGACGATCTCGCATGAAAAAGGAGACCTTCGCATGCACAGACCGCCGCTCACTTGATGCTATCGTGTACCTCATGCACGTCCGTGTACGGGGTGTTCAGCGGGATAATGTCGTCCTTGCCGGCCATCCGCATCGTCGCGGGGACAGGCGAATGAACACGCATCGTCTCGCGCACGACGGCATCGAGGTACGGGAGCTCATTCAGCTCGTCCATAGTGGGGTTCTCGGTGGGCACGCTCCAGAGCTCCTCGCGCAGCTTTTGCTGGATCTCGGGAGCCTTGCTCAGTGCGAAGAGACACCACGTTGTTGCGTTGCTGGTCGTTTCATGTCCTGCGACGAAGAAACTGTTGGACTCTCGTCAGTGTTATTCGCTCCTTCTGAAGGAGCTATTTTGCGTACGTCGGGACCTCTATAGCCTGGTAAGTGATCTTTAGCATGGATCGCGGTGATGGCCTAACAGTGGCTTACGTGCAAGGACATCCTCATCCGACAACCGTTGACTCTCCTGAATATCGGTGCTCATATTCGCTTTGATGAGAAGAGTGAGCAGGTCGCGTCCATGCATACTGCTTCCATCATCGTTCTCTTTATCCTTTCCAGACTCAGCAGCTTTCAGATCGCGGCCTTCTTGTCCGCGATGAGCTGCATGCCGATGCGCCTCATCACCGCCTGAGCAGCATCCATCTTCGTCGGTATACTATCAGGCTGTGATAGTCATAGAGATAGTCAAGTCAAACAGGCATAGAAGGAGAGATCAAAACGCACGAAGATACGAAGCGGCGGGATAAACACCTTGAAAAGGCGGAGGAAATCAATGGCGACGTCGCTGAGTGAGCCGAACATGACGTCGAACGCTTGGCTGAGTTCCGTCCCCTTGCCCTCAGGATTGAGAGTGTCGAAATGATAGTTGAAGCCTGAGCACCGCCGTATCGTGTTCTGCGCGAGATAGTGCAGGACGAAACAGACATGCGACGTACCGGCTAATCCTATTACGTCGAGCGTAGCCTTGCTCAGTCCGCTGAGTACGTCCACTCTAGCGGGCTCGCCGTACTTTGATATTTCCGCCCTCCAGATATCGCACAGCTGCAAAAGGATCTAGTTACTTCTCTAGACATTACTCAATGCAATGGATGTCTACCTGCATCGACTTCTCTACGAAGATCCCCGTCAAATCTCGGATTTGAGCAGGGCCAAATGCAGGGTTCTACCAGGTGAGGGGTCACGGATAGAACAGGTCACGAGACACGGCGGCCGACTGACCAGGATCCTTCTCTGTTTTTTTTGGAGAGATCTTCAGACAGTGTCAAGATGCATGCTTTGCGGAGAGCTCACCTGCATCCGGTGCTGTTCCCCTGAATCAGACCAGTCAAACCAGGCGCGTCGCCGGACAGAGCTATCTCGAGCATACCTTCAACAATTAACAAGCCTACGCAGACAGGTCAGCAGCACATTCACGGATTGAGAAGATATTTTATGCGGACCTGCTTCGAGTATGTTGGACAAGTTGAAGCGCACCATCTCAGGCTTCAAATAGTCATGAGAATGGCGGAGGATATGGTTCAGCGCCCGGGTGTCCACGGTGTACAACCTTTTCCGCCTAGCGGACCAGCTGAGATCGGCACCACGGAAGAGCCTGAAATGAAAAGCGTACGCTTATCCATCCCTTGTACTTGACCGTCTTTCCGTAGGCCTCTGTCCAAGCTTCGTGGAACTCCACGGCTTGTGGTCCCTGAATTTATTGAATTGCCGTATTACAGGCTTGCATTTGGAGGGCCAGGAAGGTCACGGATTGAAGAGAACCAGAGACGATGCACGATGGGGACTAGCTTTCATACTGCATGGGCAAGGGCCTCTGCTGCCACAGAGAGAACCGCATTCAAGGAAGAAACGATGGGCATCGTGGATGAATCTGCTTCCATCTGCTGGTATTATCTCGCGCTTTATGCATTCGGCACGGATTTGCGGCAGCACGAACGAAATACTGCTGACAGTTGACGCGGTTTGGAAAATACTCTCCGCGGTTACAATCAAGCGGTGTGGGAACCTTGGTGATCCATTGAGCCGCAGTCGATGGCAAGAACGTATCCTGATGTTTTCAACTTGCTTGACAAGATCCGCGGAATGTCTATGCTTCATCGTCAACGTTGTGAGCCGAAGTGAGATGCGAGAGTGGCTAGCGATCCTCGAAGCGACAGATACTTCGTGTACCATGTGCATGTGCATGAAGACTCGGAAGAGTAATCCAAGTTCGCTGTGATTCATGGCCGGTGATCTTATTCCGAGAGTGTCAGAAATTAGTGCATCTCAACGTAAGAATGATCTGAGACACATTGATCGGCGATGCGTTAACAACACTGCCAGCATTACACCTGACTTCTATATGCCTGTTCATTGGTCTCATCGCGCCTGAAAGTGAATCTTCTTTCCAGAGCAGGTCCACCTTAGAAGCGGTGACCGTCCATGACGCGCTAGGGGTATGGTCACAGCTCAGCAGGACCCAGCTCGTGCCCATCACCTTAGGTGAATTTTTCGACCATGAGCTCATCGAGCCTGTGCTGAATGTATTGGAAGTCAGACATGCCTCCGGATTTCCCGACGACGGTGGATGAGCCCACCGAGTACAGACACTGGATTTTCTGAAGCGAGAGAGCGCGCCGTAAAATGCTGTATATCAACTATTCATTAGGATTTTCGCAGTGTGGCGTTGTTTGGGCGAACTGACCGAGGTTGTCGGCAGCCATCATGATGCCATCCTTGCAATGGATGGCGAGGACATTGCTGCCAGTAACGATGGGCTGCTTGAGCATCGATCAGAGGGAAGCAGACTCTCGGTAAGACCAAAATGTTTACACAGTGAAGTATCGAAGTGCAAACACGGGTGAAAGGGAAAAATGGCGCAGAGGGAACGTGTTGTACTGGTCATACAGATCGCTTCTCTGCGAGTCATCAACTATCAGCACTTTCTTCAATGCAAGGCAAAAGTACCACATGACGGATGTCCCCACTCGTTGGAAAGTGGTTCACGGTGAGGGTAAGGGCTTAAGGGGAGAATAATTGTGGACGCGGTCGTGAGCTCGAGCCTCGCGCCATGGTCACGCTCCGAGCGCTTGCTATCAGCCGGCGGTATATATAAATTGGTTGAAGAAACAAATTATAATGAAGAAAGTCGACGTACTTTACAGAATCGGCAGCGCATATCGTTCATACTCAGTCGTAGTGTTTCAAGTTGACACTGCAATGTCACGTTGTAATCACGACATACGCTATGGCCTCAAAGTCGAAAGCAACAAAGCAGGGTGATGCAGCGACCCTCATTTATCCTCCATTTCTCTACCTAGGTTCGCATCTACAAAGCTCGGCCGCTTTTATCGCCGCACATGGCATAACGCACGTCCTCAGCATCAGCTCTAAACTGACAGCGAAAGTGGCGTCCGTCTCGTACCACCTGGCTGCCGCTAACAGGCAGCCCGACCGCGTCCATTGAGAAAATTATGTGGCTGGCGAGCGCCGTCATCGACCCCGCGAAAGCGGGCAAGATCCTCGTGCACTGCTCGGCGGCGACATCAGGAAAACTCCAACTTTACCTTTTTCCTCGCTTTGCCACCTTTTTCGAGGATTAAGGAGTGAAAATGACAAAAAAGCATGAGGATCTCCTGAAATTGCACCTTTTTCTTATGAGAGCTTTTTACTCGAAAAGGAGCGGAAAGGATGGTGAAAAGGCATTGATCCGCCAGCTGCATCAGAATCAGCCGAAGCTCGGCTTTCCGGCTTACACCGGGGGCATGAGCTCATGATTCCGCTGGGAACATTTTGGACACATCATGATAACAGTCACAATGTAACTCTAATGTTACTGATGTAAACATCACGGAATAATTTGAATTATTTTGAGTGAGCTCATTTTGGAATAATAGTGATATTATTCAGAAAGACACCAGGATGAGACAACAATTTCGCTCTGGCCAGCATTCATATTATATGTTGGTATCATTTTGAATGGATCTTAAGGGTACATTACAAATGTGATCAATGTGATGTTACAATGAGTACCAGATGCTTTCCATCATGTGCCAGCTGGAATCATCTTGAACGCATCGGGGATGTCCTAATATGGTTAGCATATTACCATATATAGTAATACCAATTATGCGAATCACAATGAACCCATTGGGAACATCTTGAAGACATCATGGCCACTCACAGGTATCATTCAAGATTGTTCCTCAAGAAACATTTAGGATGCTTTTGCAATAATGCTTGAATGCTGTCATGTGCAGCATTGGGGTCTCATTCTTGCATCTTTATGAATGCTATCAAAATTGTGCCGCAATGTTGATGCTTAAAACATTTTAAAACATTCAAAATGATTTCAAAATGTATGCACTAACAACATTGCATAATCATTTGGACTGTTATTACAATGTGTCCAAAATGTTTCGGGCGGAATCATAGGCCCATGCCCCCGGTGTTAATGTCTTTAAACAGAATTTCTCGTGACCTTCCCGGCGCTTTCTGTGTGACTTTTCCATGAAAAAGGACAAAATAAGCGCAGAACCAGGAGATCCCCACGCTTTTCGGGCTTAATGCCTTTTTTGAACCCAAAAAAGCTCTAAAGGGGGCTAAAAAGCAATAATTGAGTTTTCCTGATGGATATCGCGCTCCCCGACGGTCGTCGCTGCATATTTGATGACGAGGTATGGGCTATCATTGAAGGACGCGATGGATTGTCAAGGCGAGGCTGGCTATGTGTCCGAATGAGGGATTTTTGTCGCAGCTGAAGAAGCTCGAGATGCAGCTTCGTGGAGAATGCTCGCTGGACGTGGATATATTGCCTGGCGAAGAGGAAGATCGATTAGCTCTGTTCAACTCATGATGCACGAGGTCCTATGGGCATCGCAGGTCGTGTTTCTCTAGGTGGTGAGATTTACAGCGGTGCTGCATGTTGTGGATGCTGATACGGCTCAATCTCTCTGCAGGTTTCCCGCACAAGTTGGATCGGCGCATCCCGCGGGCAACAGACCAGCCCGGAGCACTCCACTGCCACTGCAGACGACATCCTGCAGTGAACGAAGGATTTGTTAGCCGTACTTGTAGGCACCGACTACGGTGACAAGGACGTCCGCTGTACGTCACCAATCATCCAATCGCATTCAACACGTCGCGACATTTGAGACATCGCACAGAATGCAGGCGACGATAGGGAGCTGAAATGATGGGATGGTCAGTCGCCATTCTTTGATCGAATGTGGCCACCGGTTTCACATAGTCGTTTTCTAGTTAGAGTGAGAAAAGGGCACCGTTGATGGTGACAGCGTTATCCTGTTCCAGTAAATGATTACGGGCATAAACGGGAAGGCCATGAGACGTTGTTGGCAGCAAACGTTTCGAGGCTGTGGTCTCCTCGTCCTGACAAATACTCTTCTTATCGGCGACATTAAAGTGAAGGACGAAATCACCGAAGTGGTCTCTAAGAAAGCAATCATGCCACCACGGGCTTGAAGGATCTATTCCTGCCCTCGTCCTGACAGATACTCTTTGTAGTTGATGACATTTAAAAATGGAGAATGAGATCATCAAAGTGGACTATCAGATCAATTATGCAAACAGGGCCTTGGATGGACCTCCAGTTATCGCCAAACCCTCAAGATAACCATATCACTTGGAAGCAGATGATGAGAAACGGACAGGTTTGACACGGGGTGGGAATGTGCGGGAGCTACGTCCTTGTGGGCGGTGTAACAGAAGCAGGCATGGTAGAAGGCGGTGATGCTGCTTCGGTCTGAGCAGCCGGCGCACGGCGCTCAGCTCTGGCTAAACAAAAGCAGATGCTATGCTGCGTGAATGGCAGAAATAACAAGGCGCGTTCGGTAAGGATGTATATTTGCTTCAGTTTTGATCGCTAAAACACAACATCTGAGATTTACACAGGCGCTGTGCTTAACTTCCTGCACAGTTGACTATTAGCGAGGCAGGGCTCATCTCATCGGCACGGGAGTCAGCTTATTCTTTGCAATCGCTCGCCTCGTTGCAATCTGGGTGACAGGAGTCTGATTTACTGCCTGACAGCGCGATGACCGCAACCGTAGAACGCCTAGGACGATGACGATGAAACGCCGCAACATCGATATATCATTGATCAATACCGGGTCCCGCACATGATAGCATTTTCGTCTCTTCGCTCCTGCCACCCTTCAAGGGGCCGTTGGCCTCGTCTGTTGCAGCAAATCTTGCCAAGCTGGTCGTCTTCTTTCCTCCGTAGAGCTTCCAACATCAGCTATGACAGTCCACGGCAGATCGTTCGTCCTCTGTCTGCTCGCCCTGCAGGCCTGTGTCTTGCTCTGTTGCGCCCAATCACTAGTGAATCGGACGTTTCAGTGGAGTTTCGGCAAGAACGTTAGTGGGTCGGGTTCTAAAGCGTGCTCGTGTGAGCCAAGGCTGATGAATATGTCTACTGTATCCGATGATATGAATAGTTTCTCGAAACTGCGCTCGAGGAATGCCAGAACGTGACCGTCGTCATCGAGCCGCTATCGAGCAAGTCGTCGGAGATGGGTGTGCCGCCGTACTATCTCATTGCATTCGAGCTGGGAGGTGTCCCGACGACGCGCATGGTCGGGTCTAATGCCTCAGAGCTCTATTGGCAGGTTGGCCATCGAGAAGGTGCGTTTAATGGCCTGTGAAGTTCGCCGATAGTTGATGAATTGATATGACAATGCTTTACAGGATCGGCGCTGATGATAACAATGGTCGACTCGAATGACAGTACTGGGGGCGTTTCTCCGACACTACACATTGTGACAGGTATCTTAAGCTCCCGAACTGACCTATATCACCAACTGAGATTGGCCCGCTATCTGTAGCCGGCAGCAACAGCTCTTGCCTTCCTTCTTCTTCACCTTCCGCCGACATCGCACGCATTACGCCAAATCTTACTTCATCTCTTTCCACATGTGAACCGTGGGGCCTCACATTAACCAACGGCACAAAACCGTATTCAATGATATTGGCAGCATTGAACTCGCCTGTAGTGACGAATGTGACGCTGGGCCAGGATGACGATGTGTTTACGTACATCAATCGCGCGGGTCCTGACGGTGAACTGATAGGTAACGTTTCGTTTAGCGTCTTGATGGAGCCGATGTTGACTTTTTTGTTCTGCAGCTGCTGTAGTGAGTGCGTGAGTCTACTCCCGTTTTCCACTTGTCTACGAGCTCAGTCATTTTCAGCGATGGTCAATGGGGCTATGCAACTCTTACCGTTAACACGGTCGGCTCGACCGATGACGAATGCGTCGGGCTGGTCTCCACCTCACAAACACAAGCTGAAATTGCCGCGGAGGCTGCCGCTCGCGAGCGAGCTGCCGAAAAGCGTCACCGTGAAGACGTAGTCATTGGCGTCGTCATCGGCATTGGCAGCACACTGATCCTCGTGCTCGCTGGCGCTTGGCTGCACAGACGACGGCAGCAGGCCATGGCACGCAGGGTTTGGGACGGCCCGGAGATGCGTGCGACAGCATGGGTACCAGATTCAGACATGGACCCCCCATCCGTGCGATCGCACGTCAAGAACTATTCTACCGACACGGTGACAACCGCCGCAACCAACGGCCTCCTGCTTTCGCGCGCGCCGCCATACGAAGAGCAGCAGGCAGAGAACAGGGTGCTCGAGCAATCACAGACGACGCCCGCGCTGGTCCTTCCTACATCACCGCACTCATGGCGAAATCGTAAGCAGCAAGAGACCTCGTCGAGCATATCAGACACATTTGGGGCGCCACAGCTGCCGAACCTCGCGTTCTCCCATCTGTCGATGCCGATGCTGCGCTCGCCGCGGGGGCAGACATATCCCTTGCTGGAGATGAGCCACTCGGACGTCCAGCCGGACGTCATCATTCAGCACCGCGATGGCGGGGTCGTGCATGAGCTTCCACCGCCATATAGCGCGATCACTATCAAGGTACGAACTCGGGCACTGTCTTTGGTTTTGGTCCGAGGTAGGGTGGCCGCGATGAGAGTATTCACTTTCTGGATGGACCGTAAGCGGGATTGCGCTATCTAGAGAACAGATGAAAAGCAGTCTTTATGAGTCAGAAATTCTCGTCATTAATGGATAGTTTGTTACCGAGGACGGCAATGTAACAGTGCTGCATTTTTTATAATTATACGGTATGGTCGCTTATTTGCACATGTCTTGACGGCAATGGACTGTAAAATTCGGAGCCATTATTATATTTTCTTTCACAAAGCTGCTGTCTCGTGCGCCCTGGCCACCGCACAGGGCCCTGCGGTGAGTTCAGGGCCTAAATAGGCAGCAAATTTGTGGGTGCGGAGGATTCGGTGCGACGGCAGTGTAGAATTAAGCATGAGGTCGGATCTCGACGACCACCATCGCCCATTCTCGTACGCTCGGTGTCTTGCCTTCGCTTTCCTCGTCCCTGCTGTGTACCTGCTCCGGTACGGGGTGTCCGTAATCCACCGCGAGCCCGCTGTATTGCCACATTCAAATTAATTTATCCGGACCCACGCCTCCGCACGTCGCGTTCTGAGTGCAAAAGTACTTTATACCATATGGATGTCTAACGCGCTGGAAATGTCGTAAGGGCTGCATCTGTAGACTCCCGACAATTCATCGGCATAGTATGGTTCGGAGGTACAGTTGATGCCTTTTCTCCTGGGAAGAGGTATGAAAAAGTGACAAAAGGCATTGAAAAGTAAATGTAGACGGACTTTTTCAGGTGTGCAGACAGGTTTGCATGCCTTTCAAACCCCGCTGTGGCTGAAGGTAGCCGTCGCGTTGCAATGCGCTCGTTGGCTTCCGACGACTTCATTTCGGAACGCGAAATGTTCTCTCATATCACGCACGAAATTCTCAGATGCTTTTAGCAAAATCTAGTATGCATTTAGCGTTCGCTGAGTTTGCCACTACACTCATATAGGGGAGTTGCCCGGGGCTTGATCCCGTGCTGGCTGGTTTCTTATATTTGATCCCTTCTTCCACCCCTCCGCGTATATTGGCATGCCCTGTCTTGGGGGCGCGAGGCTCGTCTTCGACTTGCCGGCAGTTCCATTCTGGCTATCTCTGCGCCGTCCTCGCTCCTCACCGAGTTTATTTCACGTTTCCTACTCTTGCTCCATCGCCACCCCGACCCGTTGGCCGCCACGTCGCGCGTTCTCTATCATGGCGCGTCTTCGTAGCGACCTTTGAATACACGTCAGGGCGATGGATGTAAGTCTCGTACATGTTATTCTATGAGGTATGTGTCTAACCCGTAATTTGACATGTTCAGCTTAAACGATGACCTTTGCCATGCAGAGCGCAGACGTATCTTTAACGTCGATAAGCTAAGTCGACTTGCAGCGGAGTCTCTAAAAACTAGCCGAGCGTGGGTTTAACCATACCTTCCTCATCACCATGCGCGGTGGCTTCCAAATGGTGGTGCGTATCCCGTACCCGCTACGATTCCCAAGTACTTCACTGTCACTAGTGAAGTGACTACTATGGCCTTACTCCGTTCCTCCGGGCTGCCTATACCTGAGGTATACGGATACTCTCCTGCGCCGGACAACGCGGCAGAGACCGAGTATATCTTTATGGAATTCGTTGAAGGCACTAGCTTGAGCGACATATGGTTTGGTTTTAAGGAAGGGGACATAATTTCAATCTCACGCCAACTTGCTGAACTCGAGTCGAAGATGATGTCGATTGCTTTCCCGGCTGGTGGAAGCCTGTACTATATAAAAGACTTGGAGAAGGTGGCCGGGAGGCCGGGCATCCCGTTAGAGGACGAACATTTCTGCATCGGTCCAGATACAAGACTGCCTCTGTGGTATGGCAGGAGATCACAGCTCGACGTAGATCGAGGACCATGTAGGCCGCTCTCTGCCTTTTTATCATTACTCCTTCAAACTAACTGATAACCATAGACGAAAGTGCCGAAGCAGCACTCGTAAGAAAAGCTGAAAAGGAACTAGCTTATCTGGAGCAGTTCGGTCGATCGCTGTTGCCGTTCCAGCACGTAAGGAGGGAAGGTTGCCAGCACCAGGAGCAGCCACCATCGGATCACATCGAGAACCTGCACCGCTATCTCTTCATCGCATCGTCACTCATCCCTAGAAACCCGGCCCTCGATCATTTCTGCATCTGGCATCCCGGCCTCCAGCCAAGCAATATCCTCATTTCCAGGTCATCTGACTCTAACTTGCACATCATCGGCCTGATCGACTGGCAACACGAACAAGCCGGGTTGGGGGAGGTCTCACGGGCAGTAGTCGATACGGTTATTCTACGACGTCGTATATTCAATCATGTATTCTACCTTTCATACAATTGCATGATACTCCGACTATTGCGGTGAGACCCCTCGTTCTTACCGGAAGTTTCTTCAGCGTATCGCGATATAACGTCCGCAAGGGAAAAGAACATCATGCATGTTCCCCTCGACGCGGAGAATGGTCGAGAAAGGACAGCGGGCCACCATCTGGTCCGTACTCGTCTACATCGCAAAAGAAACCTGGCTTTGTCAAAAATGCAGGAATGACTGGACCGGTTGTTTCAGGAACCTGACGGTCCCCATCGCTGAGCTGCATTTCCGGGCCAAGACTCAACGGGGCAGGCCGTACTCCTGCATGCACGCGCGATACGACGACGCCGCGTAGAGCCGATGTCGAGCTGTGCCGGTACCAAGCGTCGCAGACGATAGCTCCCGACCCGGGCCAGCAGCTTGCATAAAGGCCAGAAATGGACTCGACTCGACGTTTATCGGTCGAAATGCGCTCATGGTTGGAAAGGTAGAGATCAACACAAGGTAGCTTGGTCCACTTTGCGGCACGTCCTGCGGGTCTTCAGGCTCTCGACGGTCGGGGTGTGGAGACCGGAATCTGCACCATACGTTGGTCGTTATCGACATTCTTCATAGGTCGGCCACCAGAGAATCGGAACCGGGCAGGTGGAGCTGCATTCCCGACTAAGTCTACTTAATGGTGCAGTAGACATTTGCCCTTTCGATTGAATTTTGCGTTTACTATGGCATTTTACAGACTTACAGTGGCACCGACACACCCGTGACGATTTGCTTGCTGATGCACAAGAACAAGAACGTTGAACTTTGTGTTGCTACACCTACACGGAGGAATCAATATATTGCAAACACTACATGAGGTAAAGTGCCAAGCACCAAAAAAAGTCGAAGAATATACACAAACTCGACGGAACACGAGAGCGAATGGATGAAGCCTGACTCGATATACCTGGTTCGAGTCAATCGGCCACCTATATTTGCGTATCATGTCTGAGAGGAAATAGAGGGTCCCTGGGGTAAAGTCCACACGCAGCTACTACACGAAATCAATCGGGCTGGGATTCTCGATAGAAGCATCGGTGTACCGGTGTACACTTGAGATGAAAGCATGTCAGTATGCAACATGAAGATAAAAAGCATTGCATTATGTCAGACATACCTCACTGTTCCGTAGGTTGTCTCATCTTGAAGCTTCTTCACCGCATTCGGTGTCACGGTGTACTCAAGCTGCTCGAGGAAAAACTGCATAGAGGTGCAGGTGAGGCGTATGAATGGATAACAGAATGGTGCATTGAACAGACCTTTTGGCCAAGGATGAAGAACCTGGATTGCTGCGGCATGTGAGCAGCTGGCTTGATGACGAGAGGGGTGCTGATCCTCGTATTGGCGCCCCAGATCCTTTTCATTACTATAAATTGACTGCACACGCCCAAGAGGGGAAATGAAGTCGGACATACACGACATCCATAGAGAGAAAGTCCGGGCCTTCCACCCCAGTCTTGACGGCATCATTAAGGGATTCCATCGCCACCATGCAGCTTTGAGCGCCAGAGTCCCAGAGGCACCAAACGTTTTCAAACATCTGGGTTTCCTTGTACGTTCGGGAGAACACTGTGATCGACTGGCAGCACACAAACGGAAGGTTCTCGTAAGATGAGAGGGGAGATATGATGAGGAATGCCACAGGCATGGCGCCCTTGAAGTCACTCTTGGCACGCTGGACGAGATTGCGCCTTTTGGCGATTTCATCGGCGTCCAGGGTGGCGGGTGCGGCCTTTGAACTGTACGGCGGAACAGGCTCTCCAGGCGTCATTGATCTGGCCGCTTCACGAAGGATAGAGGTAAGCAACCGCACATGCACAGGGCTTCACATAGGTACCGGAGACGAGCGCAGTTCTCTGTTGGGGATCGAGAGGAGGAGGCGCGGTCTTGAGTGCCTCGTGCTCGAGTGCTTGGTACAAAATTGAGGAATCCAGTTTATCAGACAGCCCGAGTTGCATCACGACTTGTCGAACAGTGTCGATGGTGATGGTGACGCTCATCGCTCAAGTTTCAGCTGTTGGGTTAGCGGGCCACTGTGAACTTACTAAAGCATAAGTGTGTATGTATTTATTTGCGTCGATTTACCAACCTGGCGGGTAAATCGCCCCACGCCACAGCGCGAGATGAACCAGGCTCCTTCCCATCTCGCTTTCGGGAGTTTGAGGGCCCCATAGGGAGGGTCACGGTGCCACATCCTAGACCGATCAGCCATGTGCTCGATCATGATGCGGTCACTAATTTCGAACTCCTAACTCTTATTTCTCCTCCAACTCCCTACAGCGGCTGGGAGAAAACAAGAGTAAATATCGGTGACCAGCACGCAAATGTCCCCCATTTGAAAGGCTAAACTCCATGTGGAAAATAATTTCGTGAGCTAGACATGTGAAGTATCATGTCCATTGAGATACTACAATGTGCTCAGTGCATAAAGCTGCACACGTTTCTACTGTTAAAGATATTTGCAATAAGACTCTTGAACAACAAAGAGATGCTGAAGGGCAAAACAGATGTTGTTTGTGTCATACTGACAGTCAGACAGGAAAGATTTTGGCACTTTGAATGCCTCTGCCATTCTGTATGACAGCATGAGAAAATGGACTGAACAAAGCACTCAGATTTCTTGGGTGAGCATCAAGGTGATATGCATTTAGAACACAGTGTCACAGAAACTCATTACAAAAATTGCAACATTCGACGTCTCATGATTGCCCTATTGGGGTGGTTGGCAGCTGCAGCACCGATGTTTACTTTTATTTTCTCCCAGCCACTGTACAGTGCATGTCGCTAAGGTTCAGCGCCTCTGTGTAGCCTTTACTAGAGTGCCGCAGGTCGACAGAAATTTTTTTGAGGGGAAACATGGCCAAGATATGCATAAGTCTGCAGTTACCGAATTCCTCAGTGATTATGTAATTGTTCACTTTTGGGGTGAAAAAGTTTTGAAGTGCAATTTTAACTGTACCATGGCTCCTCTGATGAAAACTAAAAATCAGGCGACGCAGCAGCATGCTAGATCAGAGACTCACTTCACGGATGCTCATAATAATGTATCTGAAGAGGAATCATGATGGCTGGCAGAACTCAGACTGCTTGATAAATCAAGTAACATGCACGGTAAAATGATGGTTGTAAGTTTTTGATAAATCTGTCGATAGGTAAAAGAACAAGCCATACCAATTGGTGAGAGGCTGCATTGGGGCTGAATGAAAGCATGTCAGTGCTTCTTCTAACAATTGTGTTACTGTCTCAATATGATCACAAAGGCTTCTGAGCAACTTCAAGTGGAACATTTCTGCCACAAAGTGTCTGGTGCCCCAAATATTTGATGCATGCTCTGTTGACATGATTAGAGCATTCTTTTGCATGGCATGATATTACAAGGATGCATATCAGTGATTACATTTTTTAATACTAATTCTCTCACCAGAGAGGGGCTGAATGCAAAGCAGGCTGATTTTGCAGTCAAGAAATATAGATCACACCCATTGCTGTGGGTAATCATCACTTATGATGCAATTGGTCTATTAGTGAACAAGTGAACTAGACATATTCACATATCTACTACAATGAAAGTCCATCTCACAAAAAAGGAAACTGTGGCTGATAGACACCAAGAGCCATGATGCTGCAGTCTAAATAAGGATACTTCGACATACTCCGATTCAAATTCACTTTTTGGGGTGGTCAATTTTTTAAAAACTTAGAATTTAAAAATAAAAATGAGATAGATCGAAAGCTCTCTTCAATCCGAGGCGATTGGTAACATTTTTGAGATTTTTACACAAGATCTCAAATCGCTGATAGATCTTGTGGCTTTAGCATGCCCGAGGCATCAGTTTTGAGCGACAGACACTGTAGAGAGTTGGGGGGCAAGTAAGAGTGAGCAGTTTGAAATGTGCTGAGTTCGAATATTGTGGCTGAAATGTGGCTGAGGTGGCACTAGGATGAAGCACGAAGTCCCATCATAATATTGAGGCCCCCCTAAACTCCCAGAAGTGGATGGGGAGGAGCCTGGAGATGAACCGGCTCAGCTGGTCAAGGATCTGGTGCAAACACCTCGACCCCTACCTCTGTTTCTCCTTGCTGGTATACCCCAATGGCTACAGAACTACGATGATCCTATCTCGTAATCTATGATGCGGCCTTCGCTATGGGAGAATTTGGGTGACTTAGACGAAATGCAGCAAAGCCGAGAGAAGGAACTCTACCATCGCTGCCTCGTCCATTACCACTATGTCAAAAACATGGAGGAGTACAATGAGCTTCATGATGCGGCATTGATGGACCCCATGGGCATGCTCTGCCACCACCTCTTCTGCCACGCTAGTGACCTGTGGGAGGGCGAAACTCTCATGCTGAAGGTTGTGCTAATAGAAGCAACGGAGGACTGGAAAACGGTTACAGGAGGGGCTGCCATGTCCTGTCGTGTTCGACGCCCAGGATGTACATGAGACGATGAAGCTAGATACAGAACAGAGAGGAGTGGACGAGACTCTAGAGGCATGCTGGAACATGATCGGCTTTGGGCTGGAGGGTTGGGTGTCCACAGAACGCAGCAAGCAGCTGAAGGAGGTCAGAGGAGGAACGGGCTCTGATCGCGGCGCACCGGCCCTTAGACGAAGAGGAATATATGTGATGAATCGACATCAGCAAAAGTGCAAAAAGATTATAAAGGGTTTATAATACCTTGAAAACCCCGCCTATTCTTATTTACCGTGACCATTCTGGCCTACTAGTATAATGGATCTCTGAGTTTCACAAGAACCCCCCTATTATTATAATGGCTTGTAAGATCGGCCGTTCTGATCACGCATTATAATCGTGCCCAGGATGCATAGGATAGTTTATAATTTTTCCCGATGATTATAAGATCTGGCCTATAATTGTAAGAATATCATATATTACAATTCTACTCGAGTACAATCATTATTTATAAAGTCCGTGCAACGATGCAGTGTCCGAAGTCTAAGACACAACTCAAGAGAGCGAGACAGCAGCAGATAGGCATGATTGCAGGCAGCCAGAGGAGCTCGTCAAGGGCAGACCAGAGAACAGTGCAAGCTGAGCGTGAGAACATTGTCCTGTTGGAAGGAGAGTGCGTGCAGCACTCAGGTATGCTCTTGTCGTAAGCGGAGAGAAGTGGCCGGTCAGACGGTCGGAGCGACGTGCCCTAGCAACGAGTGCGCATCGTACGATAGAGTCCGACCATGGCATTAGTCAATAAATAATGGACTGAGAAGATGTACATACCTCAGTAGTTTACTACGTCTAAATGACTCTAACGAGGTCCCTGGACAACGGACTCATCTTTGCTGTGCTCTCGCTGTGCTTAGACCGGGAAACTCCGAGATAAACTACCCCCATACCTTATTCTTTGACCTCTGCTGCATCTGCTCGCATTCTCCCTGTGCAACTGGCATCAACCTGACATGTCCGAGACAACCAAAACCACAAAGTTCCCTCTCTTGGGTGAGGGCAACTACGGTGAGTGGGCGATCTGGATGGAAGCGGAGCTGATCAACAAGGAGCTGTGGGAGGTGATGATGATTGAAACATCGCCACCGACGGATGCAACGGAGATGGAGGCAGCAGTGTGGCTGGAGGCAGAAAAGGTCAAGCGCTTGATGACCAAGATGGTGAAAGCACAGGCGAAAATGGTGCTGCAGGTATTGGCAGGGCAGCTGGTGCACCTGGTGAGTCGTGACCCTATGGAGTGCTGGGCGACTCTGGCGCAGATGCACCGAGCGTACGAGTTTGCGACCCGACTGGCGATGCAGTGACGCTTCTACAGGGTGGTGAAGGGCCCCGACGAGGTGATGTCAGCATGGATCAGGCAGGTGAAGAAAATGGCCGCAGATCTGGAATACGCTGGGGTAAAAGTAGAAGAAGAGGACATGGTGTTGGGACTCACCATGGGCCTTGGAGAACACTATGACCAGCTCGTAGTCATGCTTGACTCAATCCCACCCGAACAGCTCACTGTCGCAAACGTTACAGTGAGACTTCTGAATGAGGAGACCCGCCAGAAGGATACGGAGGATGACCAGGATGCGGTGGCCATGATGGCTAAGGCTGGGAAAGGGAAGTGGAAGGCAGCTGCAGGGGGCGAGAAGCGTAAGTGCTTCAAGTGCGGAGGAATAGGGCACATACGGAAGGACTGTCCGACCAAGTCGGATGATGGCAAGGACAACTCGGATGATGAGGAAGGGAAGCCGGATGACAAGGGTGCGAAGGCCAAGGTGGCGTATACTGACAGCCACATTCACCTATTCTGACAGCTTGACGACGGCAATCGAGGGGGCGTGTTGGAAGGAGAGTGCGCATGGCACTCAGGTATGCTCTTGTCACAAGCAGGGAGAAGTGGCCAGTCAGACGGTCGGAGCGACGTGCCCTAGCAACGAGTGCATGTCGTACGATAGAGTCCGACCGTGGCATTAGTCAATAAATAACGGACTGAGAAGATGTACATACCTCGGTAGTTTACTACGTCTAAATAACTCTAACGAGGTCCCTGGACAACAGACTCATCTTTGCTGTGCTCTCGCTGTGCTTAGACCGGGAAACTGTTACAAAACGTACCATCGCGCATGGTCACGTGGTTCCCATGAACAAGCGCCTAGAAGAGACGCCCAATCACGGATCTGTGATCCAGGACTTTGGTTCTCATTTCATATTCTAGGTATTTCACCTACGCTTTCCTTAGCTCGCCAATTACCTGGCTCGCAGCAGTTAAGCTCCGGTGTGTTTCACCTATCTTTATCACTGAGGCAGTGTAGAGGACCCCTTGTACTAGTACCCCAGACTATAGGTCTGCGACTATATAAAGGGGCGGAGCAGCAGCTGGAAGATAACCTCTTCCACCTGTGACTCTGAACGTTCTCAGTTCTAGAACCCTCGTGCAATCGTACTCGCTCTCAAGAGGTAGTAAGCTCGTACACTTGCTAGAGTCAGAACAGCGAACCTAGTAACCTGCAGGTGAACGTGCAGTAGCTGTAGCGGCCAAGGCCTAGCAAGGGTAGAGTGAGGACCTCACTGCTACATCGTCTACTAGGCTTGACCACACTATAAACCCTGCTAATAGTCTGCCTGACTATTGGAGACGTTAGGTATATTTGGTATCTAAGTCTCTGTCCACGTTGTGGACTAGTACGTGTGAGAAAGCACACATGGTTCTGAACGTTCTAGCAGGGAACGCTTCATAACATTTGGAAGAGGTTTTTCTATAGGTCAACCTGTTTAGGTTTAGAACCACTTATGAGAAGTGGGGTCTACTTGGACGCTACAGGAGAATCAAGACCTGTGTGGTCACTTCTAGGACCTGTGTGGGTACCTTGGTACGACAAGGAAGGGGAACCTGTGTGGTCACCCATGAACCTGTGTGGTTCAATCAAATCTGTGTGTTTATCAAACTCAAGCACTAGCGGTTACCTGTGTGGTAATCCAGAAGAGAAGCCCTCAACTGAGGCACACGTAGAAGACGTGCTAAAGCCCTTCCCAGGGAAGGCAATTCAGAATCAAGAAGATTCAAGGAACTAGCGGTAGTCTGTGTGACTATCCAGAAGAACTCTGTGTGGAGACGCGGACCTGTGCGGTTAACAAACAATTGGTTAAGGGCCACCAAGAAAAGGCAAGATGTCGTATCGCGACAATAAAGAATACGAATCGGACTCCGGAGATGAGCCGGTAGGCTATCAAGGAGACAAAGGCTACATGACGCCGTTGTCATGGAATGATGCAACCAATGAAGAGTTAGATTGGTTTGAAGACGTCAGGAATACGCGAGCCATTGCGTTACGAAGACGACAAAGGGTGGGGGAACTTACAACCCCAGAAGAACAGCAGGAGCTTCAAGAGCTCGAACATGATGTTGAAGAAATTCGACGAGTAATCAACAATAGGAAGGACATTGCAAAGGACTTCGAGGACGAATTCCTAGCACATACAGACCTTCCTAAAGGAGAAGCAATACAAGTCGATCTAAGGCCAGAGGACGCCGAAGGATCAAACAAGGATAAAGGACGAGGGGAATGAAATCCTCTCGGCATCAATCCAAGTTTACTAAGGAGTGGCGACTCTAGCGTTACGCCAACATCCAGGAAGCCCTACGATGGGTTAGGATTATGGAAAGGAGTCAGGACGACACCTTTAACCAGGACATCCTCGGAAGGAGGAAGGCCAGTAACGCCACTCGGAGTACCAATAAGGCCACAGTCGGCCATGGCGCAAACAAGTAGTTTGGGAACTACTAGTCAAAATCCCATCAAAGCACGGTACAATCCAGCTGATGGACCACCAGTGCATCCAGGACCGACATGTCTGGAATTCCAGTGGCAGGAATATCTTCTGAAAATGAATCTATATGCGCTGTATAATTCTGCACAACCAGAACCAGAAAAGGAGGAATTACAGCTAGGAGAGATCTGACCGTTCGCAGGAGATAAGCGAACATTTACGTCATTCCTCCAGGCTGGAGAATGACATCTCCAGGCAAACATCCACATATATGATGACGACTACAGTCAGATAACGTTCATCCTCTCCCACTTCGAACCCGGTTCGGCAGCAGCAAAATGGGTCGAATCATGGGAAGCAGCAATGATCGCATCTACAGGAAGATCGGATAATCTAGGACTTTATCGCGACTTTCAGATGACTCTCCAAGAAAAGTACGGAGGAGTCGCAACTAAGGACCAAGCATGGCAAACGCTACTCGACGATCAGTGTAGGCAGAAGAAAGAAAAGGTCAACGATTATATCGGGAATCTCGACATCCTCTTCCGCTATGCTGAAATCGACGACGACTATACCAAGCTCGTCCATTTCAAGCGAGGCTTGGAATCAAAGTTGGCAGAAAAAGTCTTCCTTACTCCGAATCCTCCAACCACGTACGAGGATGCTTGCGACAGTGCAAGACAAGTCAATGACCTTCGAAACGTCCATAAGGGAAAAAGCAATATCTTCGATTTCATCACACATGCGAATCAGGGTGATTCAATGAATAAAGAAGATTTGATGGATATAGACGATCCCAATGCAATGGACATCGACAGGACATGACGAATACGACAAGTACGAAATCTTCCAGTTCAGGAACATCTGTGCTATCAGTGCAGGAAGCCAGGGCACGAAATGGATCAATGTCCCACAAAGAAGCCAAACATCGATCGAACTCTGCCTGTACAGGTCGTATCAAAGAAGAAGAAGAAGAAGACTTCTTCAATTAAAAAGAAGGACGAGCGTGCATCTATCGGATCAAAAGAATCAATAAAGGATTCATCCCACAGATCAAAAGAACCCTCAAAAGATCTGTCCATCACGAAGAAGATGCGGAAGCAAATTGAGCAACTAGTAATGAAGTTGGTCAATGCCAAGCTTGTCAAGCTTCTCCTCGAAAGTAACAATTGAGACCACCATGTCGATCAGAAAAAGAAGGAGGTCGAAGAAGATGATGACGAACCTATGGATATCGATCGAATGTCTGAACATATTCTTGGCATGAATACCATTCGAATTGGCACCATACGAACTCATTCATTACATAAAGACCAAACAGCCTTCCCTACGTCAATATGGAAGGAAGTGCTTATGTCATCACTCGATCTCAGTCAAAAAGAATGGCGTGGTATCAAGGCCATTGTCCAAAGGAAATTTGACAAGAGGCGACAAGGAGATGACGATGAAAGTACTTCATCATCTACATCTTCTTCTTCAGCAGACAGCATGCCCAGCCAGCGGAGGGAGACATGTCCTAACCAGAAAGGCAAACAGAAGAAGACAAAGCAGCGGCAATCGACTAAGTCAGGCCAGCAGTCTTTGCCTTCCATTAACCAATGGATCAATCAGCCATTCAAGGGGACTCGCGAAGATTCGTGCCGCTCTCAAAAAGGACAAGGACAGTTCTCCGGTCAATGCTGGAATTGCAATCGTATCGGACATCGCGAATTTGAATGTCCAAAGCCACCTCGGATGAGTGTTACTTCTGAAAATAGTAACAAATCAAGATCGCGACCACTGCGACAGCATGAACGATGGAATGCAGGACGAATCCCCGATTCGTTATCGCCCAAGCATCCCAAGGCAGCCTATGTACGGAACTCCAGTATTGACTCCTCGAATCCAAGCACCGGCAGCATAATGAAGCAAGGAACTCCTCCGAGTCCCTCAAACTCACAAGTGCATCGCAGTGGACGGACGGTCGAGTTGTTCAACAGTGATTCTGAATCATCAAGTGCCAATCAGACTTCCTAGGCTGATCAAGTCGAAAGGCGATACCAGTCTCGGGGCAGCCCTGCACCGGAACAATCAAGCATCGGCACGAATGATGAGTCCTCCGCTGAATCACATGACAGTTCCACGCATACTGTTTCAAGAATACTTCCTTCCTGGAAGCGGAAGCACAAACGGAGAAGACAGGATCTTATGGTTTAATTGCCAAAGGGTCTTGGCGGTTGGAGAGGGAAGCTTGTGTTACGAAACATACCGTCGTGCATGGTCACGTGGTTCCCATGAACAAGCGCCTAGAAGAGACGCCCAATCACAGATCTGCGATCCAGGACTTTGGTTCTCATTTCATATTCTAGGTATTTCACCTACGCTTTCCTTAGCTCGCCAATTACCTGGCTCGCAGCAGTTAAGCTCTGGTGTGTTTCACCTATCTTTATCACTGAGGCAGTGTAGAGGACCCCTTGTACTAGTACCCCAGACTATAGGTCTGCGACTATATAAAGGGGCGGAGCAGCAGCTGGAAGATAACCTCTTCCACCTGTGACTCTGAACGTTCTCAGTTCTAGAACCCTCGTGCAATCGTACTCGCTCTCAAGAGGTAGTAAGCTCATACGCTTGCTAGAGTCAGAACAGCGAATCTAGTAACCTGCGGGTGAACGTGCAGTAGCTGTAGCGGTCAAGGCCTAGCAAGGGTAGAGTGAGGACCTCACTGCTACATCGTCTACTAGGCTTGACCACACTATAAACCCTGCTAATAGTCTGCCTGACTATTGGAGACATTAGGTATATTTGGTACCTAAGTCTCCGTCCACACTGTGGACTAGTACGTGTGAGAAAGCACACGTGGTTCTGAATGTTCTAGCAGGGAACGCTTCATAACAGAAACTTTGAGACGTCCAAGTGCGATACCTCAGATGACAAGAGGGACAGAATGCGACAAGAGGCTAGAAGTGTCATAGAGGCTAGGGGACGTCATGCTGACTTTCCAAGGTCCTGGCAAATTCGATCCATGAGTGAAGGACCAGTACGCTCCTCACTTGAATGTGTTCTTCTTGAGGAGACTATCGATCTCCCAGATAAGTTCCTAATCAACCGATCAGTATGTGCATGCATCGTCGTAGTATATCACCTACTCATTCCATACATCCAGAGTGTGCACGCCAACAATTGGGTGCTCGGGGATTTCCGTCAGGACATGTTGATTTATAAAGCCAATGAAACAAGTAGCATAGCGAACATACCACGACAAGAGTCGTCCCGTAAGAGCGAGTGAATGCCGTGCCGTTGCTAGTGAGCAGGAGGATCACCCAGTGTGCCACGATTGTGCTCGTGGAAGCGTCAATTGGCCAGATAGCACTCTCGGTGTCCTCATCATCGTCAGTCGTAAACATGAACGAGTTAGCTCCAGGGGCAGAGAGCGCTTTCGGAGAGGAAAAGTGACGCATACAAACACGCAGTCCGAATTGCACCACATAGATGTACAGGTTCATGTTCTTCTCGCAGGCCGCAGATACCCTTGCTCCACTGGCCCCTGGATGCGCTGTTCATTCACGCTCACTCTGAGCGAAGGTAGCTCTTTACAATGATAGTCTCCACTTTCACTACTGGCATGATCATCGCATCTAGCGCGTGCTTCTGGTCACCCTCAATGAATCCTCCAGCTAGTGGTACACATGCGAGCATGATGGAGTCTGCCTGTCGGACACAGCTAGCAGCTGGCATTCATGTCCCTACCCTGATGGAGTTAGTGTGGAGATGAAAGGACATCAGCGCACCGAGGGGGGACCGAGGTAGTGTTTGAACAGCCTACAATAGCTCACGAAATGATTCTGGTCTTGGAGATCTCCTGCGAGCTATTCCGGCAATTTTCTTGGGACTCCATTGAGACTGGGTCGCTCGAAATTTCAGGTGCAAGCGCCGCTCATTCTGTTAATGATGTTGTAAATGGTTAGATAACAGCACCATAAAGACCTTACCAGAGCAGCGTCCGAACTTGACCGTACGAAGACCTCTCGATCTTTCTCACAGTTAGCAATTGCTCACTGCGCAACTCTCTGACACATCTTGGGATGCCACTCCTGAGTGTGTTTGACGGATACAAGCTGTATATGCGCTGCACCAAAATCGCTTTCAGACGCTTGAGGGGGTCAAGATCAACACTTTCTTTGCCGTCCAGCCCTTGTGTATGAAGCCATGTGAGCGAGATTTAGCCTGCCATTGCATTATGCCACACTCCAAGTTATTTCAGCCCATCGGCGAGCTTCAGGATATTCGGGATGTTCTCGTGCGAGTATCTGTCAAGACGAGTATACTCAGTCCAATTGAGCATGTAGCCATTAGCAGTCCAGTCGCATATCACGGCACCGTGCTTCTGAAGTCAACCTCGCAGAAGATCTCTGCAGTTCGATTCTTTAGTCAGCATCAAGCAGCCAGAAGAAGGCGAGAAACGGAAGGTGCACTGACACATTGTCCAGTCAGCAAGCCATGCCCGGAATGGGAGTATGCGACGATTGTGGCGCAGAGCTCTCTGGTGGTCTAGGTCTTAAGGAGACTGATCTTGTCGTCGTCGACATCGAGCATTAAGGGTGGGTACTCGACTTGGAGTGCACTGATTAGGATGCATGGAGGATCTTCGCAGAGCGGAATATACACAGGGCTGAGAAATGCAGTTACGAGCTCCCAACAAATCCTTCGCTGTCTGCGTATGCATCTGTAATGCCCCACAATATGTATCTGCCAGACACTGCATTGAGCACCTAACAATGTTAATGCATGTTTCAGTCTAACAATGATGGCGCAAGCAGTTCTACATGGATCTTGAAGCGCTTCTCCCAATATATGTGCTTACGTATCCATGTATGTGCCCTGGAGATCCTAATCCATGTTGGGATTCCACCCCAATGAAAGAGACGTCAACATCAAAAATATGTTGCAGATTCACAAAGCATGGTAAACACCATGTGCTCTCCTTGAACCCATTAAGAACTGCTCTATACAGAAAAACAATGCAGTAAGGGAGGCAAAAGCAATGTGTTGACCGACTCACAGTTGAACATCACTGGTTTTCTCAGCTTGCATCTTGCGCATATAGTGGCCCAATCCAGCACCGGACGCAAGCTCATCATCAGTAAGACAAGTTGAGCATGCAGCGTGCTTAAGTACGCCCTCATCGCCTAAACAATGAACCAGTTCTGAGCTCAGGGTGCATCCGATTAAGATAATTGGGGACTTGTGGCTCGGATAGCTAGCAACAGCGGGTCAGTACGAATGGATATGGAATGGCTACTCAGTCATTTGATCTGCTATAATACATACTCATACAAAAGCACTGGGCACTTGGATAGGCTGACGCTATGCTCGCGCTGTGCGTCAGCTGATGAACTCCAACAGAAATGACTTTCCATACCTCTGAGGCAGCCACTACCAGTCTGCTCACCCGACATACTCTTTCTGCATACACTGGGACTCTGGCCGACATACCTGCAGTGACCACGAGCAGTCCTTCTGAGTCGAGGCAGAATTGTGCAGGTATTGATTTAAGAGGTAGCTACGGTGTGTGAGGTTCGATGAGGTGTGGGACAATGCGAGGACTTTGCAACGACTCATCTTGGGGCTGGGATATGTACGATCACGTGATTGTCACGTCACTAGCCATGCACCCCATAAAATTGTCCGCTCACAGCTGCAACGAGTTTGACGGTAGCGTCTTCACACATCCTGGCAGACAGCACGGCGACTAGCATGGCACAGACGTGACAGCAACCAACAGAAAGCGAATGTAAGCAGCAAGACATACCATCGGATGCTGGCCACTTCGAAGACAACCTGGACGATGCAGAGGAGACCTCGCAGGAAGCAGTGGCTGAAGAAGAGGAGCAGTTCGGGTATATATTATCTGAAGAAGGGTGGTCAGACTCGGGCAGCGGCGAAGAGGCAGGTGAGGACAACTGGGATGATGTTGTCCAAGGAGCTGAGGAGGGATGTGGGACCCGAAGATGGCGAAGATGGCATCGAGGACCAATTTGGAGCGCACGAGTTTGCACCGTTGTAAAGGCTCGTATTTTGATTTTTATTTGTCTTTGCTTCATAGGCATCAGTCCCGAGGCAATCTTGAGCTCGATTGAATAGACTTGAAATTGGCTCGCACGAATATTGCTTTGGGCGAGAGCCAGCTTGAAGTAAATTGGCTGCCCTTGTAGTCTATCCGGTGCGGAGATTGCAATCCTATGTGATTCTTGCATCCGATCAGTGCAGATTGCTTAGAAAAATAAGAATTACGAGGTTGATAATCGTGAAAGACAGTTTACAAGGGTTTATAACGCGTTATAGTACGTGATAATCCGCCCCAATATGCTCATAGGTTTCCAAGAACCGTAAAATCTACTATAACGTTTTTGCACTTTTGCCGATGGAACTGAAGACCCTAGGCTAAGGGATCTCACTAGATATTCCGCGGTGTTGTATCTCATCTGCTGTGTTTGTGGCTGGCTCGCCCCCCGTAAGAACCCCCAATCTTTCACTAGCCCTTCCCATCCCATTCCCTGTAGAAGAGAAGTAATATCAGCAGGAAACTTCTTGTATTGTCTCGACGAACTGGGCCGGGCCGCCGGGGCATGCTCCTTCAGCTTCCTAAACAGGCATCTTCATTTCCGATCGCACTTGTTTGTGATCCTTCACGCTAGCTGTAGCGTATAGCACCATTCGTAATCTGTAGCTAGATCGAACCAGTGGCATTTCTATACAACATCGTACACAAGGCGGAATAAAAGCACAATAGATGTAATTAATAATAAAGACTATAAGCGGCAGATGTACGCACGGAAAAGCAGCTCGGGAGTCCGAGCCATGCAGCAGGAGGACTCTCCGGCATATTATATTACCATGCAGGCCAACTCCTAGTATTCTATGCTGTCCATGCTAAGACCATGTAGTGTTTGTGCATAGAAGCCGCCGGCCTGGCGGTGCGGCTCAGACTGTGTTGCGGGGTTCGTCACGGGCGCGAACAGTAATCGATGTCGTACAGAGACTGGATTAAAGCAATTGCAAGATCTATGTGTCTGCGCTTCACCTCGCAGAAATATAGGCATGAGCTTTAACGATTGGCGGATTACGGGAGATGTTCGCGCAAAAGCACTTGGACGCACTCCAATTCATTTTCAGTGGCCCGCATGGAAGAACGCTTCCGATTCACACTGCTGTGTGTCGCGTGCACATGCACTAATAGGTCCCGTACATATAATACGTTGCACATCTAAATAATCGCCGCTAGCCCTCATATTAATCATGAGCTTAACGGTAGACCACAACGACGACTGCAGCACCTGCCGGGGAAAGCTTATGATGACACTGGAATTTCGATCCAAACCCGCAGGAGGCTGATGAATACACAGACTGGTTGAGTGAGTGGATTTGATCATACTATAAATATAAGTGATCACAGTCTCGATTCCCTGCCTCATTAATGTCGAAGGGCCCATGCATCAAAAAAAAAGGGGGGAAAAAAGACCGCGTCAGTACCAGGTCAGTTCTCAGCTAGGCAGGCAGCTTAGAGGTAAGGCGCTGAGCCGCTCCAGCACCGCGGCCTGCACTGTCGAGCTAACGTCCATCTTCGTTTCCGCACTGATGACGGAAACGCTCGCGTAGCAACCGCTGGTGTCCACCACACTCCTCTCGGTCGGCAAGGTGGTGCTCCCGCACGTCTGTACATCCGTGGCGAAGATATTGTAGAGGTTCCGCGCGAAGACCCACTTGTAGTCTGATACGTCAGAACAGTCGTCGATCGACGGGTAGTTCACGTTGACCAACACGCCCGCGGGGAGGATGGGTGAGTACCCGGAATTGAAAAGCGTTTCCGCGAAGTGCACCGTCAGGGACGAGTAGAGGAGGGCGGATAATGTTGATGTTGCGTCTGGGCTGCTCTCGAGAGTGGTATACGAGACATGGGAGCCGCTAGCGCCTGAAAAGGCTCCCGACGAAACCCCAAGCTTTACTGCTTCAGCGGCAGCTCCGCTACATCAGGAAGATGTCATTAGCGAGCACGTTTGGCCGACAAGCGATCAAGCACGAACATAGTGCCCGAGAAGAGGGTGATCAGGCCGAGATTGTCTGTGACGGTGTGTAACATGATCAGTACGCAACCATTTGCCACTCTACGAGCTCATTGGACGCACTGCCGATATTTGGTCCGCTGACAACGAAGTCGGGACCCGAATCACCGAAGATTTCCGGTGCGAGAGCTTGAACGCCATACCTTGCCGCATCGACACTGTTCGAACGTTCAACTGTCAGTATATGCTTTTCTGACCATCCGATGACGTACGGGTAAGAATTCACATAGTTGAGGTGTGCTTCATTTGACAGATATCAGAAGAGTATGATCGACACGATCACATATTCCACTCACGATCACTGGCATTGTAGCCCTCGGGGGGCGAACCTGCAGGACAAGAGTCGTACTCGCACGGTTCGACGAGGGGGGTTGGCGGGGCAGACCATGAGCCTGTGCCTGACTTGTTCTCCGCAGGTGCTGAGAGAACAACCTAGCAGAAGATACTGAGCCCCCAGCCAGGCATCGCAGCCCATGGAGTCGAGTATGAACTTACATCGAATCCAGCGCCCGTAAGTGCTGCATACTGTGCGCGAATCTGCGCGACTGCCCACCCATCGTCGTTAGTCAGTACGATATCCTGAGCAACGATTGCTACAGCACACAGTAGTGCGAATAGCGCCTTCAGCACGAGGGGCATCTTGCTGAAGATCTGCAGGCGAACGGGAGGAGCGGACGGCAACTTGGAGACGTGGGGCCATCCCTGCTACTTATACCTTCTTCTCAGCAGAATACCTGACTCTGTTAATAAGGCATTGCGATCAGCGCGTTCGAACCGAAGCAAAATCTCGCCAAGGACTGTAAGCACATGGGAAGCTATGCTTCCACGTGAGAGACTCCCGAAATAGGTCCATGAGTTCGAGGGAGCTTGCAGTCCCGAATAGCGCCCCATATGGATGCCCGCTGCTGAAGCACGACCACCACGAGTGAAAGTGCTTCGTCCATCAAGGCATTTACTATGACATTGCGATGCGGACGAATGTTCACGCGTTTTGGTCATTCTTGACCGGAAATATACTATATTCCCAGCGTCTTGATTGCCATGGCAGGAGCCGCTGGAAACGGTACGCACGTGCCTGCAAATTGGCACATGCGCAGATCGTTAGAGCCGTTCGCCATTGTACTGAAGGCGTCGATGCCTCTCCGACATCAGAGGAAACTGCAGTCGAATGCAAATGAGCTACTTATACGTGTTCTCGGAAAAGACTGCTTCTTACACGCAGTGAAGAGATTCAGTTCAAGTCACCGAACTTTGATATGGCCCTCATTTGCCGCTTGTATGTCGTTTTGCCGCTGCTGCCCCTATAGCGACAGCCGGCATATCTTTCAAAAAGGCGGCGGTTATCGTCGAAAACCGCCACGATAGAATAATGGTATTGAGAATCAGCACCAAGGTCCGAGATGGCGCCAGAATAGGATGGCGCCCGCCCATGCACCTCCACTCACCCTTGCACAGATTGTTCGAGCAATGAACCGATTTTGTTCGGCAATTCGAGCATGATCTTCGCCGTCCAACGCTCTCTATACTGTTCTTATCTTGAGGGTGAGTCTTTGACGTGATGATGTAAAGATGGCGTACATACCCATTCTACGAAGACTGATGAGGCCACTTGCTCGCCAAGAGCTCTGAAAGATCTGCGGAGCCGCTTTGTCACTGATCATTGCATAGCCATGTCTCATTGCATGGCCCAGGACAACAAAAGAAGTATCTGATCATGGCTTTTCTATAGTCGGATCAGATGGTTCCTATGAGCAGTTCGCATACTGATATGAACAAGACGGTGCACCTCATGTATAGCTCGCAAAATTGCGATGCAGGGTACAAGCGATACTTCTTCGCTGCCTCCACGAGCGCCGCCAACTCTTAAAATCGAGCTTCTCTAGATCTGGTTAAGATTGACGGTACATGATTTGAACAGTAGCTCAAGGGTACTCGCTTTCAAACGTAATGACGTACCCACATCCTTGCCGAGGAAGCCTTCTGAGTACGGTTGATAGGTTCTTCTCGTGGGCATTGCATAGTATCTCGTCACACCACTTCATAATTGTGTCGGAACTAGACGCAGACTACAGGGACGCGGAACAACGGTGTGGAAAACGCCAAGTACTAGAATGCTTATGGGCTGTTGCTTCGTCCGCTGAGGTACGCTTCACGTCAAACGGATGGAGCAACGAAAATGATGGGACCTTGTCCGAATGTGCGGGACTTGCTAGCATTTGTATGCAGAAGATTTGTCGTTCGCCCCGTGTGTGCGACGCCTTACAAACCACGAGGCCAAATGAGCCAGAAACCTTGAGAGGGCCACAACAGGAACCAATCAAGGCAACACGCCATGATGAGGATTTACGACTGGGGCCGCGCCACTGTTGAACCCAAGAGCTGGGGCTTGTACCGCAGGCTTCACGTATCGATGCATCAGCGCAGGCATTGCCGTGGACGAGTCAAACTATCGACCACTGCTTTGAGTACGCAGGCGGAAGCAAAATATCCTGTGCATCCGGTCAATTCAAGACCGGTCACCTACGTACATCTAACACTGCTGAACTTGGGTAGTATGTCAGAGAACATCGACTCCAAATGTGCTTGCCATCGAGCGGCTCGATGGCGGCAATGATCGCAGGATCTCAACAGTTGGATGTTATCTGTGAAAACTGCCGCCACATTCAGGAATCTCTGGAAGTCCTGACGAAAGCTAAGCAGGACAGCATTCTGGAAGGGCTGCCATTCCTCGCATGTTACCAAGCCGTCCTCGTGAAGCAGCGTTCCCGTCATAGTGGGCACAAGCAGTAACGCCTGAATCAAGGCTTCACGATACTGTACCTGTCGTAATTGTCAGTGTTCGCACAATCAATGAGGTCTCGGATACGCACCCATTGTATGAAGACGGACGGGCCCAGAACGTGTAGGGCGAACTCAAGCAACATACCCACGGTTCGAGGAGCAACCTCGTCAGCCAGCTTATTATGACCGTGTCTTGCCGCGTAGCCAAGAACAGTGAGCGGATAGTCGGGGATTGCATTCCTACGGGCTCAGCTTAATGACCCATCATGCTGGCACCGTCATCAAAGAGTGACGTACCTCATCTGCAGCTTGCAGACCTCTAGAGCCGGATATACTCCATACTTCTCGGCCGCCTCGGCGAGCAAAGCGAACTCGTAAAAGTCCAACTCCGTCAAATCAGGTTGCGGCTGGCGATACATGTATTGAAACAAGAGTTCGAGGATGCTCGCCTTTTCGGTCAATGCCACGACCTCTGGGCTATCCGATATAACAGGATCCTCGCCCGGAAAGCACTCGGAGTGCATCTCCAGGTTTCTCCTGTGCACTTTGAAAAGCACACCGTCGGAGGATAGAATCGTCAAATCAGCATCGGGTGCGCGAACTGTGAGAAGGATCCCGTCGGTTTCGATGAGACATCGTAGATGATACAAGCAACGGACATCGTTCGGACATCTTCACTTCGTCTACCGTGGCATTGCGGTCCATCGCCGATGACTGCATGTCGGTGAGGATGAGTCGATGACAGTTCAATAGTGAGCGTGTGAACGTTTAAACGTTCATACACGCGATGTGTGCGCGAAATATGAATAGACGCACAGTGCCTCGTGGGCGCCACGTTCCGAAGACTGCGCCACATAAGTCTAGCTCGAAATTACAAGTCGATTGCAATACCCCAGCAGAGCGTAGAGACGTCGTATAGAAAGAGGCCATACATAAACGGAACACTGATCGGTAAATAGTATCATAAACTGGTCAAGGCGCATTGCCAATAGTAAGCAACGCCTGCGCCTCTGTGAATGTCGGAATACGCAATACGGCTGCCTCCATGCTGGTCTGCCACTGCTCGGCCCTTGTCCGGCAGTGGCTGCATTCCTTCAGCATCTTGACGTGCCTGCGGAATATGCCTGTAACTTCTTGGAGATTCTCAGGGTCACAGCCAAGGGCGGACAGGATCTTTGCTTGGAATGGCCACCATTCCTCGCAAGCTTCTCGTCCTCCCTTGTGCAGGACCCTGCCCGTTCGGCTCTGCGCGTCTCGAAGGGCCTTCATCCAGCCGTCTTTGTAGAGGGCCTACGGAGTACGAGGTCAAAACTGCCTTCCCACAAACCGCACGTACGTACGTACGTACCCATCGTGCAAACGACCTTGTACCGAGCACTTTGAGTGCGATCTCGTTCGTCATGCCCACCGTCCGAGGGGCAGCTTCGTCACAGAGATCATGATACCCATATCTCGTAGCATACGAAAGCACGATGATAGGCTCTGCTGATATATTGGCTCTAATGGCGATTGAGCTTCGCAGTGTAAAATTCATACAATGATCACACACCTCATGTGAGCCTTGCATACTTCTTGGGCAGAGAAAACGTGATATTTCTCGACGGCTTCAGCAAGCAGAGCTAGATCGAAAAATGGAACCATCGCCAGGTTTGGTTGGGGCTGGCGGTACATGTATTGGAAGAGGAGCTCGAGGACACTTGCTTTTTCCGCTGCTGTGATCACGTTTTCATCACGCTGGGAGATGAAGCCCTCGGAGTGCATCTCTAAGTTCCTTCTGTGGACCTTGAATAGGATGCCGTCGGAAGAAATGGCCGTAATATCGGAGTCAGATGCATTGACTACAGTATCATGACGTTCTCGAGAAAATGAGGAACCTCATGGACATATCAGACAGATCAAACTCACAGCGTTCAGAGACTTTTGGGTCATCCAATGTTGTATCGTTGTCGAACATTTTGAAACAAGAGGGTGGACGCGGACGGTCGCTATCACGGCAGACATGATGCGATTTATCAATGTGGAAAATAGTGTGGGAATGTCGGCTGATGTCTTACATTTGTGGCAAAGGTTTGCCAATGTAGCATTTACATGGCAAATAGTTCACATTCACAGCCAAAGTGGAACATTTTCAGCATGAAATCCCATGGTTGCAAATTTTTGTCACATGTGTAAGAAATCAGTCGACATTCACACATAATTTCCCACTTTCATAAATTGCGTCATGTCTGCCGTGTATGTTCGCAGGCATGTCTCCCACAAAATGCCGGCGATTTATAAGCTTACGTTGTTTGGCTTGAAGCTTGTCCTCGTGTATGCAACACGGCAGACATGATGCGATTTATCAATGTGGGAAATTGTGTGTGAATGTCGACTGATTTCTTACACATGTGACAAAAATTTGCAACCATGGGATTTCATGCTGAAAATGTTCCACTTTGGCTGTGAATGTGAACTATTTGCCGTTTAAATGCTAAATTGGCAAAGCTTTGCCACAAATGTAAGACATCAGCCGACATTCCCACACTATTTTCCACATTGATAAATCGCGTCATGTCTGCCGTGCAACGTGTTACTGCTTCTTCAGATCGTGGCGTGATGCAGATCAGCCAGCCTGAGTCAAGGAAAGGCTTGATATAATCCATCGTCGCTGATCGCAGTCCGCGCATCTCGGAAGATGGCAATTTCGAGACCTCGGCGGATTGCATATCAGAGTTTTAGGCTGCACTGAGTATATACATGGAGACATCAGGATGCGTTTGGTTGGTGGCCTCAAACCGCTCCGCACGCAATGTGTTTGCGAGCATCTCGATCGCTCACAAAAGCGTGACAACGAGCCGTTCAGCAGGACGGTCAAAATGATTTCCACGAGAGAGATCGATCATTGTGGATGTGGATGGCGGGAGATGTGCCTCCCAAAGACGCGTGGTACTACTTTGTGTCGACGGCTGAAGTGACTCAGCGGTCGAGGCTTGCGACTCTTTACCACACGCCTACGCAGGGAATGTTGCGCTGCACATACCGCTCGTTATATTTGTTTTCTTTTGCTGTGTTGGCTATGACAGTCAACTTCATGAATTTCGCAACTCGTCGGTCGCTTTGATGCGGATGAGTACGCATCGGATACTAGACGCGAATCACTACCTGTCGACTCCGACAGCAGCAGCATAGCCATTTTCGAGAAACTGTAATGAAATTGGATATTTGGGACAGCGCCCACAACCGCAGCAGCACATTTGTTAAAGTAGGCCAAGAAAGAGCAGAACACACCAAACAAGTTCATCTGTCACCCGACCTCGCTCATGACGGCAAGCAGCTAAACGGCAGCGCCGCAAGTCGTACGTACACCTCCGCTTGTGTCAGCGCATCCACATCCGTCTTATTTATCGCGTTCAGCACAGTGACGCTCGAGTAGCAGCCCGACGCCGCGACTACGTCGCTCTCCGCAGGAAGAGTCGTGCTCCCACACGTCCAAAGATCTTCCGCGTCGTCGCTTGCCAGGTTGCGCGAGAACACCCATTTGTAGTCCGCCGGGTCTGGGCAGTCGTCGATAGCCGGGTAGTTCACTGACACAATGACGTTCGACGGGAGGAGCGGGATACCGGGGAAGTCGACGGCGAGGATGGTTTTGGTATAGTGGACAGTGAGCGCTGAGTATATCCAGGAGGACTCGGACGAGGAGGCAGTGGGATCGGATTCGAGCGTCGTGTAGGAGACTTGGGCGCCGGTGTCGCCGGAAAAGGCGGTGGCTGGGATGCCTTCCTTAGCAGCCTCGCACGCAGCACCGCTGTCATGACGCTGTCAAACATAAAGATTGGACATTTTGAAATAGTACATACACTGTTCCAGAGATGAGGACTACCGTTCCGAGGTTGTCTGGAGGGAAGCGGTTCAGGCTGGAGGAGAAAGCGAAAAGCAGCCATGGATACTTACTGCCAATATTAGGACCACTGACGACGAAGTCAGGCTTCGAACCATGGAAGAACTTCGGCGCAAGGGTCTGAAAGCCGTAGTGTACGGCATCGACACTGGCCAATAAGAGTTGTCAATTCTGACAGGATCGAACATCTACAGTCCATCGAACTTACGGGTACGAGTTCACGTAGTTCAAGCGGGCTGTAGGTGTATATCTTCAGCAGGAGATGGTGACAAACACCATGAGACGTACGATCGCTCGCATTATAGCCTTCCGGGGGCGACCCGATCGGACACGTATCGTACTCGCAGGGCTCGGTGAGGACAGTTGGCGTAGCAGTCGACGATCCTGTCCCCGACTCATTCTGAGCAGGACATGACAGAACCACCTGAATGATGCGATGTGGGCTGTCAGGAACAGTGATATTTGTATGGCACAGAAAGATTCACATCGAAGTCCGCATCGGTCAGATCTGTGTACTGGGCGCGGATCTGAGCATCAGCCCAGCCATCATCGTTCGTCAAAATTATATTTTTGGCATGTGCAACGAAGACGGTTGATAGGGCGATGGAAATGAAGGACACAGATACACGCATGGTGAGAGGTGGGGAGGGAGCAGAGCGGTACCGAGTCTTACGGCCGGGCGAACGACAAAGCCATCGTTCTCATGCGGACGGGAGCAAATATATACAGCAGATCAGAGGACGCACGTTCGTCCTCGCGTCAGGACATTGATGCTCGTACCATGCCGTAATGCGGGCCTGTCAGAAAGGGTCTATGACAGAAGCTAAGGCAGGCACACGATCCTGGGGCCTTCATCAAATGTATAAATATTTACACGACCTAAACAGAGCGCGGAGATCAGGAAGACGACTGGTCAAGTGTTTAGCAGATTGGCATTACTTGCATGCAGGTGATCCGAGAATACGAGCAGCAGAACTGCATGCCGGCAGAGCAGATTGTTCTCCATCGTAATGAGCGTATTAGATCCAGCTCTGCGCTCTCGTCAGCAGAATCAACCAGACAGAAGATAGCCTGGCAGGCGAGTAGAGAGCAGAAACTTCGGGGCTCGTGCATCATGATACGATTCAGGTACAAGTTGAAGTCGCAAACTAGCGCGGAATGTTGTTCGCGAGATCTCGCGCCACATCAGCATGACACGTGTGTCGCTCGTACTTATACGCGAATTGGTAGCCTGCCTTGGTCCATGAATGGCATGAACGTTTTACGACGACGACGATTACCCAATTATTACTATCTCGCACAAGCGCATCAATGGCCATAAGATACACCGTCGGCGATGGTTCAACTATCGTCCAGCATTTTTGACACAACCCGCACGTTCCACATCCAGCCCAAACTCGAGAATCACTCGCAGTCTACGGACCACCCTTCCCAATCGACCTTGCCCTCCTGAATATCCACGAGCCGCTCGTATAGTGCGCGCGCGACAGGTCCTCGCCCGCCCACGTGCTCCGACAAGACGATGTCCTTACCCTGGTGTCCGATCCGGCCCACGCTCGTTACGACAACCGCCGTGCCGACTGTGAACGCCTCGAGCAGGCGACCCTCTGCATGCCACGCCGCGAGGTCGCCCATCGTGATCGTGCGCTCGTCTACGAACAGCCGCACGCTAGTGGGTAGCCCAGGCAACGTGGTGCGCGCCGGGTGTGCCGCCGCAAGCGCGAGGCACGAGTCGCGCGTGATACCGGGTAGAATGGTCCCGTTCAGAGGCGGCGTGATCACGTCCAGGTCTGTTGTCTGAAAGTAAGTCAAGTCCTCGGAGGTGATCTCCTGATGCACTTACGGCCATCTTCCCGCTTCAATACGACGAAGAAGTTCATTGCGCCCGCCTCGGTGACCGTGTCTCCGAGAAGCCACAGCACCTGGTTATAGCCCTGCTGCTCCGCAAGCTGTGCCGGCTTCAACGTCGGCGCATAGTTCAACGCGAGCTTGTACCCGCCAGTGCCGCCTGGCCACGCTCGCACGGTGTCTCCAACTGCGAGCAGCGACAGCTGCTTCGCACCCGTTCGGAAGTACGGGCCCGTCGGCGAGCAGATCACGTACAGCACGGCATGGTCAGATGCGGTAACCCCCAAGGCTAAAAGCAATTAACACAATGGTGTGGGGTGGGGGAATGGGAAACGCGGTACTCACATGGCCTTGTGCCGATGATTGTCGGGCGGATGTATAGGCTGTGGCCCGCCTGGTTGGGGATCCAACGAGCGTCGATTGCAATCAATCGCTTGATCATGGTGAGCAATGCCTTTGTGTCGAAACGCTGTATGCAGGTCAGCTTCCAATATAAATCAAGTCAAACGTGGTCAATGGACTTACAGGAAGAGCGACACGGTCTGCGGAGCGCCTCATCCGCGCCATGTTCATCTCAGGCCTGAACAGTCTCGGCTTGCCATCGGGACCAACGTACGCCTACAACACCTGTAAGATCATAGCTAGCGACGAGGCCTACATCCCGCACCTTCATGCCTTCGAAAACATTTGTACTGTAGTGGAAGCACGAGCTGGCGGGGTCGAGAGACAGAGGGCCGTACGGCTTGATCTCAGGGTCGGACCAGCCGTTGACTGGGTCGTATGTAGCGACGAGCATATGGTCAGCCATTATCTGTTTTGTGCATTATCGAACCAGTGAGCAAGGTTTTGAGACAGCCGCATGTGATCATACACACCTGGCCGAACTTGAGCTTCTCCGGAGAGGGCATGACTTTTGGCGACTGTGTCAAGGTGACCTTCAGTCTTGAAGCCTGAACGCGAACCGCATAAGTTTCACCTGGCAAAAACATTCAATTTCAATGCGCTTACATCGAGCTCGGCGGGACTGCGCGCCACCTTGGGGTCGTTCGGCTGTGCTGTGTCGATAGCCATGGTCGTTGTGCACGAAAATGTCGTTCAAGCAGAGAGCAGAAGAGAGTGATGGTATTCCGGAACAAACAAGGAGTTGAATAGCCGAGTCATTTTCATTTTATCATGGGGGAGAAAGACCAGATGGTCGGCGCCACCACGGATCTTGGATCGAAAAAAATTACGCATGTCATCTTATCTCGAGATTGGCGCCCAATCATGCGCACACGATCGCCGTCTGCCGATCATCCATTCAAATGTGAATGTTTTCGTTTACTTGGATGGAAAGCAACGTAATAGTTGGAGAAGTGCAGATACCTGACATTTTTGGTAGCCATATCGCTGGTGTTATGCTGCACTTCAAGCTTCAGGCCTTGAGCTTCAGGCCCAGGCGTCACTGGCACTACCTGTCCGTTTGCACATCCCTCTTCGCCTTCAAATCCGTGATCAATGTCGAAGGACTTGAAGTCTGAACTCTGAGTACTACTCCTCCATCACGTACATAAATATGCTAACGAGAGATCGACATTGGCGACAGATCTACATTCAAGGTAGACGGTAACGCACAATGGTGAGCCTCGAGGAGACGGGCCTGAGTCGCTGCAGTTTCAAAGACCGTAGCGGCCCTGTGAAGCACAACTGTTACCGGATGAATCATCATTACTCTTGCTCTGTCGTAATGACTAGCACGAAGGAGCAGCACAATAACCCGCTCAATCGATCTTCACGACGGAAGATCCAGGTAAGTGAAGGCTACTATTCCTCCTCGTCCACCTTCGCAGCCAGCGCTTCCCGCTCCATCTGCCTCGCCCCCTTGCCCTTCCTCCATCTCTCATTTATCACCTCGACCAGATCCCCCCTCGGCCGTTCAACCAGCGGCACGTACTTCGCGCCCCTCCGGAACGTCCCTGCACCAAGCGGGATGCTCAGAATGCTCCCTTTCGGTACGAGCTGCACATCAGGATGGCCAACAGGGAAGTACTGTGGCGGCGGCCTGTGATGCTTCGCCGTGGCGCGCAGGAAGTGCGTATCCAGCACCGTATGGATCAATGACTTCTCGTGCAGTGACTGCATGCCCTGATAGAGGTTGTTTGAGATATCTCGCTGGCTGAGCACCGCATTCGCTTCGTGGTCTTCGTCTGTGCGCCATGAGACTGCGTCCGCATCGTACCCGCACTCCCACAGCATCAGAGGGAGCGGATCAGCCATCTGATACTCAGGCTTGCCCCGCACGACTGGCGGGGTGCCCTCGCTCTCCCTGCTGGACCCACGGGGAGCTTCGGGATCGACATTGAGTAGAGCGTCGATCACTGAGGGCCGCTCAAGCCCTGTGCCGACTAGGAAGAGGACTGCCATGATATGCCGCACCTGATTGTACAGGAATGCGTTACCGATCAGGTCTAGGACATACACTCCATTATCGGCAGGATTGATGTCTGCCGAGAGGATCCGTCGAGTGAAGATGGTGAGCTGCTTCGATGCATCAACCTTGCAGATATTGCGGAAATCGTGCTCGCCGACGAGGCGCGATGCGGCGTCTTGCATAGCAGCAAGGTCGAGCCCTTGCGGATTGAAGAAGTACTTGTAATGTCGATAGCGGCATGAGAAGCGTGCAGAGAAGTCGGGCGTGACAGGCGACCATGCGATGACACGGATGGTCGGCGGAAGGACATTATTCAAGGATGAAATATAAGAGAACTCTCTCGTGGGTTTCGCCGGTGGCGGTCTTGATGAGTTGGTAGGAGGCTCGTCCCAGTCGGCCATGAGGGCAAAGTCACCTTCAAGACCAGGTCCTTCATCCACGTCCTCTGTAGGTTGCGCCTCGTTTTGCTTCCCATCTCTCTCTACGTCTGTCTCGGTGATCAACAGTTCTTCTTCTGGCTTTTGCACATCACCCAGCGCACTCCTCACCCAAAAACTCACCACCTGCCCGGCCGCGCTGACGCCTTTATCCGTCCGTCCGCACTTCTCCCATCCACAATCCTCGAAGCCTGCCGCTGGGTCGATCAGCCGAGTATGGCTCAGCGCTTCGAATAGCACTCCCTCGACAGTCGGCAGAACTGTCATATCTTTCTGAAATTCCAGACCGGCGTATTGAGACCCATTGTAGCTGAACTTGAGCGCGATTTTGCGACGAGGATGGGCAGAGAAATCAAACGAGTTCGGCTGTTGATGCTGCTGATGGCGTTTCGTGTGCCTGGAGGGTGGATGCGAGTCTAGCCTTACTAGACGAGCGATGAGATCCTCTCTCGTCCAACTCTCGTATGCTGCCGGTGAAGGAGACATGAATCGCGAGAACTTGCCGTATCGTAAGAAGTGATAGTTGAAGGAGCCAGGCATGTACCTACCGGTACTTCTGCTCAAAGCTGGTCTAGATCAACTTCCGTTGGCTTCACGGAACGTCACAGAAACAATTTGTCGAAGACAGCCGTTAGAAAAGTGAACGCTGAGCATGGTGTCGACGAGTCAATTACACGGCAAAAACTTACCATTTCATCACGCTGTACAGCGCTGTACAGGGCATAGAAGTGTTAGTTGCCTTAAAATATAATAATTTCGTCTGCGATCGTTCGTTTAATTAATTCCACTAAATTACAATCGATTGATTTTTGGTGTGTGGAGTTGCCTGATTAGGGCATAGTGTTGCATACATAGGCCACACTCTAGAACACTGCGATGGCTTGCGATGGGCCTTCATTTCTGCAGTGCGCGGCTCTCCTTGCCCTCGGTTTTGCAATTCGGAAAGCGACCCACGTAGGGAGTGATTCTCTTAGAGTGCGAATTCAAGTCGTCACTCTATGGACGATGACTTGACACTTGACCGACGGATGCCGCCCTGTGGAAGCCTGTGGATCAACATATCTCGCTGCAACGATCCGGCGAGTAACCTCTGCAGCTCTTTGTTGCCCGTGACTCGCAGGATTGCGTCAAGCACATGCTCCGCTACCCAGGTCCTCGCATTCGCAAGGGGTCTCCAGACATCCATTTAGCCTCTGCTCCGCAATACAGGCTGTTATCCATGCTAGGGCCACCAAGGCATCATTCGCCGAGTGAAGATTATGATATCTTCTTCGACGGTCAGGCTTTCAATGTCGAACAATTGCGACTGTCCAAAATGAAGCTTCTTTCCGGCAACACTGAGTGCTCACGCATCTCCGCATTGAAGCTTACGGTCTAACGCAAGTTGCTGCGAGGCTGCGCGTTTTGTTGAGTAGAGCGCCTCTTCTTGTTGACTCGGTCCTGTTCGTTGAAGGTGACGGTCATAGTCCATCTCCATGTGATGTAAAAACGTTACTACCGGTCAAGTTGCCTCATCTGCACCGAGAGACTTTGGCCATCATGTTCTTGTCTCAGGCTGTTCAGCCGAGGTTCTCAGGCGCCAGATTTGATCACAATCTGTGTCTGTCGTTACATACTACATGTGACCCTTCCGGACTATGGAAACGAACACCTGCGGGTGGCGATGCATCTTTCAGTGGTACCTTCCCCTGAAATTTGGAGACTCTGGCATCCTGCGGTCGAACCTATCCGGATCAAGCTTTCTTGAATGCAGCGAGCTCTTCGTCAGCAGTGCGCATCGCCGAGGAACTCAAACAAGACCGCGCGCTTCTCTTCAGATATTCCTTCCATTGGTCATATCTTACCCCGGCTCTCTCGGTCCCCGAGCTATACATCAACGAATGATAAGAGATAGGATGCAGAAGCATTGATTGGACTAAGCCAGGAATTGTTCTATTCTTCCACAAATCTCGCAAGGCCGTATCAATGGTGGAGATAGATGCTGTACCTTCATGGACAGTCAATCGGTTTGTCGGGGAGAGTCTGACACTCTGGGAATCTAAATGCTGCTGAAGCGTTCAACGGTCTAAGTTCACGGCAAGTTCTCTGGCGTAACAAACTCTCTGTTCGCCGAGTTCGCTGCATCGCTGGTCACACTCGGCGTCAGACACCTCCGCATTTCGCGCCCGGGGGGGAACTTCCAGAGAATCCGGTGCTGCGCAGTCAACTTGATACGGTCATATTCTACGTCTCTGTTTCCATGCCTACTATGGCTCTGCCGCCTGCATGTGTCACCAAAGTCTATGCCTATTGGCCGTCGTTCATACTAGAGTACTTCATAGTTCCTACTTCCAGGTCGACAGTGGGAGGAGCACGGGCACTCCAGCAGGGAGATAGTGGTGTAATCCGTTGCTTCACTGTAGTCCCATACCATGAAATAAGTTTATGTGGAGCCTCTTTCCCGATACACTCGCTATCGCGTGCTTCTCAATTGCACTGTCGCGGACCCGTTGTATGTTTTAATATGTGTAAAGACCGAAGTATGGTTTCACGGAATTTTGCGAGATTTTACCTTTCACCATAGTTGTAACATGGGATCCTGGCTCCACTTGGAATGTGACGGGCTATCAGATCTTAGAAGCCGCACAGCCTGATGCTGAGCTCCTCTGTGTCCCATCGCACAATGACATTTTAAAGCCTCTTCAGCCGATTAGCCTGTGCACGAAGGCGGTTGCACAATACTTTTCCAGCGCAGAAAGGTGTTGACCAAGCGCGCGTCGAGGGAGCACCATCAGAAAACGCGACACGATGCGCGGTGCTTCAATGCGGATCACATGACCGCGTCAAGCACAATAGGGCCATCACAATCGGTGGAAGAAGCATCCTCTCATGGCATGGACGCCCAACTCACGCAAGGCGAAGATATTCCGCCTAATTGTGTTTGGTATCGTCTCTCCCCCGACAGCCTTGCTTAGTGTGTGCACTGGCCAGGCCTCATCGTGATCTTAGCACTCATCGTCCGTGTCCACGCGGGAGTCCAACTATCCAGCAAATTGCCTACGAGGACAATAACAACTCAAAGAATAGCTGATCTTACATCAAACATCATGTTGAGTCACTGCTTTGCGCAGCGGTGAGGTGGGACTAGTTGTTGTGCAACGCGACCACGCAGGCCACGCAGCCTCGGACACGAACCGTACGTGAATCAAATCGGGCCCCGGTGAGAGCCCGTCGCTTCGTAATGCGCCGCAGAAACGCTGATACCCGAATTGTGTGCGATCCACAGACAATAAAAAACTCAATCTTGCTGATATGGATACCAACACCTCTTCCAGCCACGTGCTTTGCGTGGACGCTGCCACACCTATTGTCCTAAGGTTGACAGGGCAGCATGGACCTACATAAGTAGCAGGGCCATCGGGTAGGGGGTAATACGCACTCTTCGTCTTCACCTCTCAGGCACTCCTAAGTGACGTTGCCTTTGCAGATTTCATCCTCTTTTCCTCAGTGCAAGGCCTACCATGGACACTTTCTTCACCATCGCTGAGCCAGTGCCCGTCGATCAGCCTGAGGGCTCGCAGGTCCCGTCAAACTATGAGACAGGCAATTCATTCTTCGCCGGCGGCTCATGTGCAATCGCCTAGAGCGACATTCATTCACGATCGGCTCACGCTGAGGTGTGTTGTCAAAGTGGCATCAAATGCCTACGTCTGAATCTGACTACCTTGACAGTGACAGAGCTGATCTTCTGTATCGTCGTCGGTCATCTTCATCTTGTGGACTCCATCCATCAGACCGTATACATTTGCGCTGTGCGCTGCACGCATCGACACTATCATTATTCTTTGTTCGTCGTTGTTACTTCACATCCTACATTCGTGGCATTCCCGGACTTGGTTAGAAGGAGGGAAGAGGAGAGAGACGGTGTTCGCAATTCTTAACGATTGTTTTACTATAATGGACCCGGACGTATTGTAGCGATACTGTACAATTCGTGCGGCCATCAGCGAGGCTGCTTGGTCGTCACCGATTTTTTCATACCCTGCATTCGCAATCGCTTATAACAGCCAGTGCACTGAGTCAGAGTGGAATTGTTGCTTCCGGCGAAGATGATCGTCCGAATAGCAACGACAACGAAAATTCGATGGGTGTTAACACTTGAGATTGTCACGGTTCTACAGGTATGGCATCGCTGTAGCCTGACGGAATGAATTCTTTTACGTTATCATTAATGCAGTTCCTCACCGATGGGGGGCCCCTGTCCATACAATGAAGGCGCCTGTACGTATCGTCAGTTCGGTGCTGGTGGACGGGCGAGCTCCATTACCGCGTTACTCAGGGTTCGAAAACAGGACAGAAGTTCTCCCTGGTATCTTGATATGACGATACTTCGCCTATTGATTTTAGGCAACGAGTGATATTCACGTACCGACACTTATACCGCAGTACGCATGCCATCATGACGGGTGCATTGCTTTGGATTCATGAGCTTGGAGAATCATTGAGGGAACGCTTTCACGATATAGAGTCATTCTCGTAACGAAGACGAGCAGGATTAGTGTGACCCTGCGGCGTCCGGTCAATCACGAAGGAACCTCTAAGAAGGGGGGTCTGCTCGCCATGGCTCGCATTGCTCTCGACCATAATCGATGCGCTGGCGACCGGCCATCGATTACGCCGTTTGAAAATCACGCTGCATGAAAATTACTCACCAATGCGATGTTCGGACTATATCTTGTGCTAAGTGGTCTTCATGAGGATCCAGACCACAGACGGATGGATAGAGCATACTGACCGGTCGCGCCAAAGTCCAAGATGACCACAAGACAGAGCCAAATGTAGCAGCAAACAATAAAATGCGAGGAGAACGTTGGTAATTGGTCAGCTCGCGACATTTGCGGTGTAATGCAATCCACAGGAGAGAATTGCGTTGAAGCCCCTAAACGAACAAGCTCTCCACGGTCTATTGTTTGAATGATCTGGAGTCTGTTATAAGAAAGTTGGACGAACGGGACGCCAGTCTAGGCATCCTGGTGTACCGTTGATTCCTTGCAGCAAGAAGTGTCAACGCACGTTGGGTGCCTGTGACATTCTACAGCGAGAAGAAATGAAGCAAAAATAGTAAATAGAAACCATCAACGACGCCGATGGAACAAAAACAGCAGGATATATAGCTATTCAACCATAGGCTAGTATGTACGTGATCACATTTCGACGAATTTCAGTTTAAAGCCGCGCGCAGAGCACCTGAGCGTATCAGGAGACTGATATGACGGTTATTCAGGAACCGGACTTGTCAGAGGGTTACTCAGCCCGCTCAGAGCAGCTTCACGCCCAGCCACGGAGACCACGTTCACCCGATCTGGAGATCACGAAACAAGGATACTTGATCGATCGGCGCCGCACCCGTCCCATCATGGGTTTCAAACCGAGGATGAATGTGTGATGTTGGGCATATATCAAGCACAAGGAGCCCCAGCCATCCGAAGAAGACAATAAGGTGTCGTAAGAAATCGGACGACCCCCCTCCCAGAAAAAAACAAACGGAGACTGGCATCGTTTGTCATTTTCAGAAGGCAGTGCTTCGGCACCCGAAGATTGTGGAACGCACTGTGGCGACTGGCCAAGTGATCGACCCAACCGTTGCGTTTCTTCACCTTGCTTTACGCATGAATATGCATATGTCACGAACAATTTCGAAGCAATACCTTAGCCAGATCGATAACACGCTCACCGAAAGTCATCCGCTAATAGATGCGCACCGATATCCTCGCGCGGGAACGAGATCTTCATGACAATTAGAGCCGTCAGCGTGATTTAGTGACACACGGACGCACCGCCAGGCCACATTGTGACGAACATCATTGCCCAACGAACTAACCAAATTCGGCGAGAGGCACCTTTGCCGTCCGCCAAGTGGCGGGCTATTCTTATTGTCTTCCCTCGGCCACCATCCGCCCATCGAAATGCATAAATACCGCTTCATGACGCAGGATCCGGCAGCGACTCAGTCACTTCAGAGCCCCGCTGTTCCTTAGAGCTTCCCATCGCTCGCCATCCTCCCTTATCACAATGGACGCGTTCTTCACCATTGCCACACCCGTCCCCGCAGAGGAGACCGAGCAGATCCCTAGCAACTACGACACTGGAGGAGGCACCGTCTCTGGTAGTTGCACCATTGCTTGAGCTGACCAGCTCTCTGGGTACGTTGTACAACCGTGCCTCGCGTCCTACCTTATGCTGACTTGACCGTGATAGAGAGGACAGCTTTCGTGGCCACCCTCTTTGCGCACACCCACTTCGTTTCGCGCACGGTCATTTGCACTTCGTTCTTCGATTGTATTATGGTTCTTCGACAGTTGAGGGCTGAGGTTTATCGCTGACATATTCAGCATAGATGGAAGGGAGGGAGTGGCATAATCTATTGATATTTATCACCTTTTGTCCTGGAAAACCCAGTCGACTTCATGACGTACGACCAATGTGATGTGTTTTGACGATTATCTAGATTGACATAGATGTCCTTTCGAACGTGAGATCGCATCATCAAGTAGTCTAAGTAAACAGAGAAGTTACGGCTACGTGCCGCATAGCGCGCACCTATCCTGTACCTCACAGAACGTATCAGATACGATCAGTCTTGATTGCATTATCCATGTACAGAGTTTTGTAAAGTTATGGTCGCTGGTCATATTTCGTCCTTCTCGGCCCACATTTTCACATGCGATAGTCAACACTTTTCTCTCCTGGACAAACGAGAGGCGTAGCCACATGCGAAAAATAACAAGCATCGGATGTCGATGAAGGGCGGTGATAGGCGGTGCCACGAAGTCGCGCCACAACGCGCGTACTAGGCCGGCGTCTATTGATTCAGATGCGGAGTCTCACCTCTCCGACTTTCTCGGGTTCTTGTGCACTGTCTCCTCACGAAATTCATCCAACTCAAAAAAAATGGTGTTTGCTTCCTGTACGCTTACAGACACAGAGTTTCATATGGAAGGAACAAGCGAAAGCGGAAGCTCTGCGCCTTCGAGGGCAAGAGGGAGAGGGAGATCGCGCGGTGGCCTGGGCAAGTATCTCCGTGCCCGAGGACGGGGTAGAGGACGTGGACGCCCCGCAGAATGGGGCAAGCGGCTCGTGCTTGAGGATGAAGAAGAGGGAGAGCCTGATGAGGAGGATCAGCAGGAGGTCGAGCGCAAGTATGCGAGGAGAGAGCTCGGGACCAATGCAGATCGATACGCTGAACCCGAGCCCGAGCTCGATTCTGAAGGTACGTAGGCTACCCCGTCTCAATAGTAGAGGGTATTGAAATCAAACTTTGTGAAATAAGGAGAGGAGATTGTTGAACCGGAGGTCGATTTGACATCTTTCCTTGAACGCCAGAGGCTCTCGTCACAGCCGCCTCTCACACCACCGCCACCGGATGAGGACGATATCGACCATAGCCTCGCAGGTCTATCCATCGGCAGACCAACGCGCCAAACTAAGAAAGGAAAGGTGAAGCAGATAGAGTGGGATAAATCACTTGAAGAGATGCGGCGCGATCAGGCTGCTGCTGAGGCCAAGCGGGGTATGCTTCCTCCTCCTTACCTTCGCCTCTTCGCTCATCAGAACTCCATCCAGAATTGAAGACACGCTTCCGTGCACAGACCGCGCAACAGCGTGGTCGAGCGAATCTGCGGGGGACGGCGACGTCCCGAGGAAAAGCACGAAGTGAGTACAGAGCGCTCAGGCGACGTCCTGGCCCCAGACCACTTCCCGATTGCAGGTTATGTGGAAGCACCTCATCTATCGACAAAGACGCGACAACCTGCGAAGCCGGAGAAGGAGGATATGCAAGAATTCTTGGACGATCTCCTAAGATAACGCTACAGCGATGGATATCGAGGAGGGATGCGGACGAGTTATCCCATTTTCTCCGTGAGTGATCTCTATTCGTGCGCCAAAGAACGTCAGGGACCGCGACCGCATGCATCTCAGACGCCCTAGGGTTCCTGAAGATCTCGAGGGCTGTGATACTTTAGACATGACGTGAAGACGTTGCAGAAATTGGATTTCTTTCCTGCGATTCCACCCTGCATATCGGCGAGGGAGATCTCAAGAGCATTTTATGACTAGCTGCCGATTATTCCCCTTCATATTATGTAGTTCAAACAATGCCTGTGAATGGATCGTATCAAGTCAGTTCTTCTCGAACGACTTGCTGTACTCGACTTTAACGCAGATAGTCATGAGATGCTGTTCATCGACATCTTAATCAGAAAAAGTCAAAATCGAGACCGAGTTGCCCTCGCAACGGTCGATGCCGTTGATTCTCCCATTTTTTTTTTCAAGTGGTCATTCAGGTTCAGGTCGCACCATAGTCAACTGTGGCCTTCCTCCGTCAAAATTTATCAATCGACGCATTGCATCTCGTCTGTCATGATAGTCATGGATTCCACAATAAATAGCGTTTTGACCATAGTGAGACATAAGAATACAGGATGGGGGAATAAGTTATCCGTACATAGGGATACCGCATTATAAGGTAACGAAAGAACTGACTGCGAAGGTCTAAAACCAGGAATACAGCGTGTCTTATGACGAATAGAAGACATCCGGAGAAGCGAATGAAAGGGCCCGGGAGGCTTTTGAAGAGTGCCTACGAACGCATTTCCAGCATGACTAGCACCATGAGGATTACAACAACATAGACAGGCCATAGTTGCTTGTGGCTTGCGAGGCTCTGAAAAAGAGCGACAGAGCTACCGACGGAAACTTCTGGCAGGCCATATATGCACTGCAAACTGGAAACTTCCCGCTCGACAAGGGAGGAATTGATCGCTTCGGGTAAGATGTCTATCTCGATGGATGCCTCTGACGAGTAGCCGCACAGTTGCGAGTAGGCTGCTCAATATATGCATCAATGCCTTCGTTCTCTCAGCACAGAGCAATGTCGTACGAACCGTTTAGTTTGGTTGGTACAAGAGTCGCAACCTCTCGGCGGTACACCTCCTCGGTTGCGTTGAGATGGCATTGCATACAAGCCTGCACAACGTCCGGAGGGGCCACAAAGCAGGTGCATTTCGCATTCAGGAAGCATTTCTGATGCGACGACAGAGTAAATCATCTAGCAGTGTGCCAAAGGGAACAACTACGCCTACCTGCGCAGCGCGAATAGGTTGACAAACAGACGAGCACTATTGTAACAACTGAGCATCTCTCTTCAAAGATGGTGAACGAACAATCTCACCTCTATTGTGACCGCCGCAGAATCACCGTTGTCCCCACACGTCAGTAGCTCGACGGCGGAGTTCTGGGTCGGTCTACTCTCTACGAGCAGCGAAGCTAGCAGACAGACATCAGGGAGGCTAGAGCAATATAGTACAGAAATTCACACACCAGCCCAGCCGAAGACCATAGAAAGAAAGAGTCGACCGTGATACATGGTTAAGCGCTCGACGATAGTGCACCGGTGAGATGCAGACACAATACAACAATGCGAGAAGCGAACGAGGATGGAGCCTAGCCAAAGGGAAGACGCAAGTGGGGGAAACAGTGGAGAGGTGCCAGTCGTGTCGGAGGCTTATAGCAGATCATCGTAGGCGAGCACTGTGGCCGCAAAACAATAAGACATTAAGCGCCGCTGATCAGATCACTTCGTCGCAGCGTTCCCTCGGGTTGCGCTCACACGGGGCGGCAATGCACCAGCAGCTGACGACAATTAGAGGCACTGCATCCAGCGAAGGAGGACCGAGCGAGAAGAGAACTGTAGCTGATTCCCAGACGCGTTGATCATGAACTTGCGACCATGGGATGAACGGCAGTTCGTCGAGACAATACAAGAAGGTTCCTGCTGACATCACTTCTCTCCTACGGGGAACGGGATGGGAAGGGCTAGTGAAAGATTAGGGGTTCTTACGCGGGGCCGGCCGGCCATAAACACAGCAGATGAGATACAACACCGCGGAATATCTAGCAAAATCCCTTAACCCAGGGTCTTCAGTTCGATTCATTACATGTATTCCTCTTCGTCCATGTCGTCCAAGGGCCAGTGCGCCGCGACCTGAGCCCGTTCCTCCTCCGACTCGGCCGCCGCCAATCCATCCTCCTTCAACTTCTTGCTGCGTGCCATGGCCTCCTCGTAGTGCTCGGCGGGCACCCAGCCCTCCGGCCCGAAGCCGATCACGTCCCGGCACGCCTCTAGAGACTCGTCCGCTTCTCTCTGTTCTGCATCCAGCTTCATCGCCTCGCGTACGTCATCGGGGTCGAACACGATAGGACATGGCGGGCCTCCCCCCGTGAGCGTCTTCCAGTTCTTCGTTGCTTGTATCAGCGCAACCTTCAGCGCGAGAGTTTCACCCTCCCACGGGTCACTGGCGTGGCGGAAAAGGCGACGGAGGAGCATGCCCATGGGGTCCGTCAATGCCGCGTAATGAAGCTCGTTGTACTTCTCCGTGTTTTTGATGTAGTGATAGTGGACGAGGCGGCGACGGTAGAGTTCCATCTCTCCGCTTTGCTGGATCTCGTCCAAGTTGTCCAACTTCTCCGGTAGCGAAGGCCGCTTCATAGATTGCGAGCCGGTATCATCGTAGTTATGTAGCTGTTGGGGTATACCGGCAAGGAGAAACAGGGGTAGGATCGAGGTGTGTTGCCAATCGATCAGGCCGACAACCTGCAAGTTAGAGTCGCGCGACCTGGAAACGATGATATTGTTCGGCTGGAGGTCGGGATGGCGGATGCGGAAATGACCGAGGGCCGGGTCCCTGGGGATCAGTGACGACGCGATGCGGAGATAGCGCTCCAGGTTCTCGATGTGATCCGACGGGAGCTGCTTCTGGTACTTGTAAACTTCCCTCCTTACGCGCTGGAACGGTAACAGCGGTCGACCGAACCGCCGTAGATAAGCTAGTTCCTTTTCGGCTCCTCTTACGAGCACTGCTTCGGCACTTTCGTCTATAGTTATCAGTTAGTTTGAGGGAATGTTTCATAAAAAGGCAGAGAGCGGCCTACATGGTCCTCGATCTAATTCGAGCTGTGATCTCCTGCCATACCATAAAGGCAGACTTGTATCTGGACCGACGCAGAAACGCTTGTCCTCTAGTGTGATGCCCGGCCAAGAGGCGCTCCTGCCTACATTCTCCAAGTCTTCGGTATAGTACAGGCTTCCGCCAGCAGGGAAAGCAATCGACATCATCTTCGACTCAAGTTCAGCAAGTTGCCGTGAGATTGAAATGATTTCCCTTTCCCCTAGGTCAAACCATATGTCGCTTAAGTTGGTGCCTTGTACGAATTCCATGAAGATATACTCGGTCCCTGCCGCGTTGTTCGTCGCAGGCGAGTATCCGTATACATCAGGTATAGGCAGCCCAAAGGAACGGAGTAAGGCCATAGTAGCCACTTCACTAGCGACAGCGAAGTACTTAGGAACCGTAGCCGGGTACGGGATACGCGCCACCATTTGGAAGCCACCGCGCATGGTGATGAGGAAGGTACGGTTAAACCCACCCTCGGCTAGTTTTTCCAGGCCGACGATATCATCAAGACTCCGATTGACGGACTCCGCTGCAAGTCGACTTAGCTGGTCGACGTTGAAGATACGTCTGCGCTCTGCGTGGCGAAGGTCATCGTTGAAGCTGAACATGTTAGATTATGGGTTAAACATATACCCCATAGAATAACATGTATGAAACTTACATCCATCGCCCTGACGTGTATTCGAAAAGGTCGCTACGAAGATGCGCCATGATAGAGAACGCGCGACGTGGCGGCCAACGGGTCGGGGTGGCGATGGAGCAAGAGTAGGGAACATGAAATAAACGCGGTGAGGAGCGAGGACGGCGCAGAGACAGCCAGACTGGAACTGCCAGCAAGTCGAAGACGAGCCTCGCGCTCCCAAGACAGGCAATGGATCTTGAACCGCAACCACCATCTCCTTCCGCTAGCGCCGAGGGCTCGCCCTCCTCGTCAACGGACCTCGTGCACACAGACTTCACCCCCAAACTTACACTAGCTGTCCGACAGGCCTTACGGCGATGGCAGACTCAGGGACCCTCTGAGCTGCTCACTGACATCGACTCTATGATCGATGCCGCATTTGCGATTCATCAGGCAGTGCTTCGAGTCATCGCCCGTGCTGAGGTGATGAACCACTGCAACCCTGACCTGGACGATCTCCATAAACAGCGACTTCAGGCTGTCGTGGGCAAGTACGATCCCCCCTTCCTTGCCGAATCCCTTCCACCAGAACCCACCCCTGTCCTATCCCCCCCCTCCAACCACTGGACCCGACCTCACAGCGGCCCTCCAGGACCTTCGTTCTGCCATTGACGCCAGGCTCGATGCCTTGGAGACTCGAATGGCGACTGTGACCCCCCCCCATCGCAGGTGACGGCCCCTCCTCCTCCCAAACCTCAGGTACGTGGCACTCCCAAGAAGCGCTCGTACACGGCGGCAGCCACCCCATCTCGTCCGGCTCCTCCCGTGACGACCCCGAATCCACCCGCTCCCCCAAAGGCTCCTGGGCTCAAGCACGCCCCCGAGCCTTTGAGGTATGTGGTTCGCTTCGCTGGCTCCACGCCAGAACACCTGCTTCAGACGCCCCCCGCCCAACTGGTCAGCAATGTGAACGCAGCACTGGCTGCAGTTCCGACTGCTGGAGGACTGACTGCAATCACAGCCTACCCAAGCTCCTCTGGCAACATCGTCCTGGCCTTTCCCGCCACCACATCCTACCGCCGCATTGACGAACACCTCCCGACCATCTGTACTGCCCTCAGGCTCAACCCGGATCACCACATCTCCAGGGATGTCAAGTGGTCCAGGGTCCTCATTGGCAATGTCAGTACACGGGCAGCCTCAGGCGGCGCTGTCCACACGGAGTCGACTTTGTCGACCGAGCTCCTGAAGAACCCCACGCTTGCACGCCTCCGTACCACCCAACCTCCGCGCTGGGCATGCCGACCTGAGCAAATCGACGGTGCTCGCTCGTCCGTCGTCCTCGGATTCGAAGACCCAGATGGCTCCATCCTCATCACCCTCCTTCAGACCCCCCTCTTCGCTTTCGGTACTCCCATCACCACGTCGCGCTGGCATGATAAGCCGCACCTCCGACAGTGTACGAGGTGCTGGGGTTATGGCCACCTCGTTGCAGGATGCACGAAGCCGCCCCGGTGCCGTGTCTGTGCTGGCCGCCATCTCGAATCGGTGCACCGCGCTCGGTGCGCCATGTGCGCGAAGGAGAATCGCGCCACCTCCGACCCCTGTGCCCATGTGCAATGCGTGAACTGCCGTGGTCTCCACCACGTCGACTCCGACCAGTGCCTCAAACGCACATCTTTCCGGAGCGCTGGCCCCGCTCCGACCTCCTCTCTCAAGCGCCCCGCGCTGCCCTCTACTGGTGACTCTGATGTTGCTATGTAGGGGCGAGTGCGACTTTAATTTTCCCCCACGTTCCTTTCTTTCCATTTCTAGCGCCCCCCGTCCACTCCCCTCTGTCACCACAAGGCATGCCCGCATCGAATACAGGGTCAACATGCCGGCGTAGCAACACTTAAATGCAGGGGATCAGTTTTTATCCAGCCTGCTGCGTGGTAGGGTTCGCCGCGCGTCACCCACTCATTTTGTCGATTCCCTCAGTTTCTTCATTCCGCCCCGACATCTCTTTGGCTGTCAACTCACTCCGCCCTTCAGTTCGCCGTCGTGCAATTCACTAACCCTGGTCCAGCCGGCTCTCCTTAATGTTCAACTGGTTACCATGCCCCGCACGCCACTTTGCCTCTGCGGTGAACGAGGTCTGTTTGGTGGGAGTATCTTGGGGGGTTCGATTCCCCTTACACAGTGTTTCTAATAAGTCAACGGACTGACTGCAGCATGGTTTTCGAGTTTGGTCAGGCATATGCATTTTGTTAGGTTATCGGCGCTTGCATGGTCCATGACACAGCTTACCGGGCTTCGTGCCCTTCTACTATACGCCTGCTCTGTTGCGTCCGTGGGACCTGGTGTCCGTACGTTAAGCTTCTTCATCCCCAGATGCGTCTGGTCCTCCGTTGTTACACGATATGTATTTACACACCTCCGACCGCTCCTTCGGGGCAGGATATAAATTGTACTCAAAAAAAAAAAGCTCCCAAGACAGGGCATGCCAATATACGTGGAGTGGCGTCTGATTTCGGACAGATTGACAGTCCGCGCTCCGCTGACATAAGCAACCCTCCGGAAAATGACGTGCCTCCACACAGCCTGCATAGATTTATTTTTCCACGAGAAACCTGATGCAAAAATGGTGAAAATATCTTATGTCTGGATATGGAAATAGTTTGGAAATTGGGCGAAGACAATGAAATTATGTTACGATTGTTTTACTGAAACATATCAGCAATAGTGAAATTATTTCTCAAAGGAAGATATTTCAGTTCAAAAATATGTGATACCGATATGTTTCGGTGAAGCAATTGTAACATAGTTCAATTGTCTCCACCCGATTTCTAAACTATTTCCATATCCAGACTTAAGATATTTTACCATTTTTTCATCAGGTTTCCCGTGGAAAAATAAATCTGTGCAGGCTGTGCCATCGCAAGTGCAAGCGCCTGGGGCCCTCAACCGTTTTAGGCAGTCAACGCCAATGCGCAGCATTTCTCATGCCTCATTTGTGCGAATCCTGCCGTTTGGGCCTCATTCGCAAACGGAGTCCGTTCAAAAAAAACGTAATAAATTTTTGAACTAATCTTATGTCTTCCTGAGCCCTTTTTTGGTATGAAAATGTGCTCCCGCACCCGCAGCTGGTGGTGTGATCGTGGGCAGCTGCAGTGGTCCGGGGTCCTCGAGCACGGGTGCTTGCGCTCACGCGGGGACTGTCAATCTGTCTGAAATCAGATGTTCTTCATCTTCGTGCAGTGTGGCTCAGATGACACGACCGATTGTGGATGTCAGGGTGACATTAATGCCATATTGCTGGGACAAGCTCCACTATGGGAGTGTGGCTTGTTCGCTGAGCTATAAATGCCCCTCCTTTCCTGCTCGGTCCATTTCATTCCATCCCATGTCGACAGTTGTTTCACACATCCTATCACTACCCAACATGACTGCTGTGGAGGAGATAGGCACCTGTACCGTATTTCATCCCTTTAATTCATTTCACGATGATTCTTTCTGTTCCTGCCATGCATAATATCTGTGTATCCACTAACTCTACCAGCATCCGATGTGGGGCAAACAAGCGAGTGGACAAGGAGACGTAGGCGAGAAGAGGCCTGCAGTGATGATCACGCGTCCGAGGGCAGCGGACTGTGACTCGCAAATTCGATCTCCCACGGAGGACTGAACTCACCGAGTTCGATGCCAATCACTTGGATGCACCTGGAACGATGTCTGTCGCCGAAGATGCGGCCCCACTCTTCTTTTGGTTATGCTACCTTCATATTTCCTTATATGTCTGGACTACTATTACCATACTGAGCAAATTCTTGTGCAATTGTTTCCCCATCAATCAAGGACTCCACCTCTGAGCGCTGAGCTACAGTATGGTTTCTGGCCTCTCAAATGTATATAAAGGCATCCTTCCGCCTACAAATGGAGCCAGCTTTTCCCCCTGGACTATACTCGAGCATCGGGATCAGCAATTCAGCTTGTCAAGCATGACATCTTCGAATAAGCCATGCGAATAAGTTCCTTCTCAGCACCCTCATTGTGTACCACCGCATCATTTTACTAGGCAACGTACTATGTTTCTTTACTCTACTTGATCAGCTCATTTACTACGTCGACGACCCTTCGAATGCTACTGCACTCAGAGGCTATCTAACTGTCAGCAGCAAACCCCTCCTCACCGCGAAGAGGTACAATCCGCCTCTAAGGAGTGCTTGATCAGCCCCACCGTATGAATTCATGATTCTGCACTGATCTTGAGACAATGTTGGCTAATGCCGAGGGCATCTAGGTGCCATCTCTTGACTGAAGATAAGATGAAGAAGATCCTGCGAACTGCTGCCGCCCACGCTATCGACGGCAGGACCTGGAAAAAGTTTACCAACCTCACCGTCGGCTGGGGCAAGACAGTATTCCCCCAATATGGGCCCGAACAGGAACAACTCAGTGTCCGCTGGGACTATGATGGGGAGACTGTGGACTCCGATGATACAGTCTACCACAAGTTCCAGCTGCAGCCAAACACAGGGAAAGTACCCACGACAATCAAGAGGTGGAGGGAGGCAAATGGGGGCACTCACACCGTCATGGCTGATGTGTATGTGAAGAAGGACGGTACTAAGGAGGATGTCGAAGAGAGTCTGAAGGCAGCTATCGAAAAGGTTGAGGGTGTCTAGACGTTTTCCTTTCCCTTGGCTTCTATGCCGGACTTGCTATTTTGTCAGACGTCTTCCTTTTGTTATGTTGATTTGGTCATGTTATGTACCAGAAGAGCCTATGCATTTCGATTGCATCTGCCTCGTTCTGTATGTGATCTCTGTGGTCCCTGTCTCTCGCTCCATAAAAGTTCATACATGGATTCCAGTTGTGGGCAAGCCACGCATCGTTAACTCCAGTATATGGGCACACTCTTACTTGCACCTCTTGCACCACCTGTGTTTGACTGGAGTAGAAGTTGAGACATCGGCGGAGGATACACTGCCTATGTAGCATCAACACCGTCTGCTCTCTTTCCCACCATGTCACCCCGCTCGCGGCATTCTTGAGCATCAACAAGACAAGCCGGTCTCGAAAAAAGGGTTAGCCCTGCTCCTGGAGAGCAATCCTTTGCTCCTGGACTTCTTGTCCATCATGTGAGCAAATTGCAAACGATTTGCGAGTAATGGAAATGTCGAAAAGTGAAGAGAACAGAACTGACTGTCAATTGTGAGGAACATTTGCTGTCAGAAGAACTCATCACATGCCTGTGCAAAATCTGATGAAACCCATGCCCAGTTGTCGTCAGAAGAAGTCCGGACAGAAGCACAAGCGCTCAGACGCAATCTAGTCTATTGCAGCGCTGTGCGGCAAGATCCGATGGGAACCCGCACCCATTGCCATCAAGTTCGGACAGAAGCTCAGGCCCACTTGGCCATCGGGAAAAAGGCCAAAAGCTTACACTTCTTGTAAGGCGTGAGAAACAATGTCAGTGTTTGTAACTACGTAAGGGGTTGCAAGTTTGCGGGCAGAGTCACGAAATGCTCACGCACTTGCGCAAGCATTATGAGAACTCTGCCAGCCTGGCATCATCCTGTTGGCTACCTTGAGATCCACCGCAAGGATTTCGACCTCGCAATATTGTCTTGTGATGAGTGACAATACTGCTGATGGGCTTATCAGGGAACTATCAGCCGTTTTGTTACTCGCAATGGCACGGTAAGTCATACACGGCTGCTTGTGCCCTTCTTATCGTGCTGATGATATTCTTGTGTGGGGACATCATGTAGATGGCTGAAGGTAAGTTGTTATGCTCAGGCAGACTGCAAGGTTGCATTTGGATCGGCCACTGCACATGACATGCACCAGCTCCGCTGTCACAGTTTTTCACCACAAAAGTCCGCACATGACTTTTTTCATGCTACAGATCACATGCTTCACCAATATCTCATGCCACTCAGCCACAGACGTGACACGTAGAGATCAGGTGATAGTCTACATCACATGTTATGGTCCAGACCCGTGGATGATACGGTCGGACCCGTCTATTCCAGGATACAATAGAGGCACCCATTTGGGAACAAAAGGAACAAGGACTATTGTTAGGCATCAGCCTTCCACTTCCTATTAGTTTAGCCAGAAGCCCAGGTAGGCACAATGTTCACACCGGAGAACAAAAGGAGATCCCAGATAGGCACGATGCTCACACAGCAGCCATCAATCTTCCCACCCATTGTTCTACTTCCGGACATTTCATTGTTACATGTACGGCCATTAGCTTATACCTGTAGATAGGTAGCTTAGGTAAGATAGCCCGCTGTACGTGTATATAAGACCAGCATGTAGAGGACGAAACCTCAGATTGTTTCTCCTCGTCTACTACCGTAGCACCCACTGAGCTTCACAAAGCTCCTTCATATATCTCTCACCTTCCAGATGCTTGCTTCACCAACAAGTAAGTGTTAGGCTCTCAAGCCACATAAGGGTTCAGGGAGATTTCTTGGGATCAGGGGGATCAGGGCGGCACGTACCCCATGACCGTTCCTTTTTAGTCTTTTTGATCTCTTGCCTGGCGGTGCCGTGACACCCGCCAGTGTGCCCCAGCACATGATCACCTCGCCTTGCCTCTGTGTGCCCGGTGCATGCACATTCCAAAGTGTATCCTGACTCTAGTGCATTCATCGCAGTCACACCGACAAAGCTTGTATTCCGTGATATGGCAGAAATCACGGAAATGGGTATGTTTGCTCCAAATCGCTACATGACATGCCGCTATGCTCATCGTGGCTGGTCACCCAGTGCAGTACAGGAAAGAGTCAACTATGAGCATCCGCAGCATTGTGCTGCAGCCTCTGAAGCTACAATTCTATGAAATATAAGGTAATCGGCATAAGAACGCCACCATATCTACAGACCAACACATGCCAAGCTCTGGCAGTCAACATTAAGCTGGTCTCAACCATTCAGAGCTGCAAAGGATCGCAATCTTGTTGAATGCGATTCAACAACCTCGTCAAGTGACCACACAGTTGAGCAGCATATTTAGAGCAGTGCGCGCTGCGTCTCTCAGAGTACAATGTTAATCCCTCTCCCAACACACACATGTCCTCGTCATCTTCAGCATCCCTCCCCTCTGAATCATCTTGCTTGAGCTTTCCAGCTGCTGTGGACAAGCATTTTACACCTTTTGATGTTCAGCTCACTCAGACAGGTCACCAGAGAGATGCAGAGACCGACACTATCTTTTCACATGGCCATCACTTTGTACGATTATAATTTTGATCTGCAGCACCCCTTTGATGGCATCCTTTGTGGCTGCTTGTAGTAAAGGTATGTCCTACAAATGTGTGCCAGCAATGCGGCCATTCATGGCATGCATGAAGTCAATGTGGCATCCATTGCCTATGCCGCTGTGCATGTATGATTAATTGTGAACCTTCATTGCAAGCTGCTCCTAATTCATGTTTCAGGTCTTCGCACTGTCTTCTGCAGCCACTCACAGCAAAACAAACAAGGTGTGCAACAAGGTTGTACTGCAGCATCTTCACATTTATTGATGATCACCGAAGGGAGCAGATGAATGTGTTATGTGGTGAAACTGGTATGGGCTCCTTATTCTTTTGAGTACGAGATTGACTGACATCCCGTATAGACAAACCCCCTTCATAATGCGACAATCGAAGGAGTCGCTATTGAGTCACACATTTGGTGGCTTCGTGGTGTCATATTCTCACTCGCAAAGGATGCATAACGATTCTCTACAAGTCGCTGTGTTAATCTAGATTATTTTGTATTTTGATCGTGGTTTGTAGCAACAAGCTAGGTTCAAATATTATCATGTTATTGTTATCTGCTACATGGCCGGTGATGAACTTCAGAATGGATATCAGCATGTATAAGGCGAGTATCAGCCTTGCATTACCCATTCAGGGTGGTGGCCTTCTGGCAGATTCACATGTAGATATCTTGCAAGTTACATACTACAAGAATTCACAATCTGAATGCCCGAACACAATGCATCATCAAAGATTCAGACAAGGGCAAGGATATAACAGCCTCATCATATCTCAACAGGCTGGTTGACCTTACAAATGCCTTCATGTCGGTATCTTCAATAATAAGGCACGCCATCAGTCTGTTAAGTCTTATGGGTCTGATATATCTTATAAGGCCATACAAGCAGTTATAAGGGGCATACAATTATGTTTCCGTTTTCCTGATGGCCTACTCTCGGGGAATTGACATTTAATTTCCTATATCAGGTAAGCACTGATGATGATTCGAGTGCCCAGCAGTGTCATGGATCCCTTGCCCCGGCATTCCTGTCACACCTGTGGGGGTGGCATTTCTCGACCTCTTGTTATATGCTGTAGGGCTCTCTAAATACATGTAAAACTTTTGGGTGTCAGCTATTACTTTATTTTGTAATCTTAGTGCAGATGGTTAGATTGTTGTCACAGATTTTCGCCACAAAGTCCACACGTGACTTTACCCACGCCACTCAGCCACAGACATGATGCGTAGGGATCAGGTGATAGTCTACATCACATGTTATGGTCCAGACCAATGGATGACATGGTCGGACCTGTCTATTCCAGGAAATACAAGGGTGTCCATGTTGGAACAAGGACAATTGATATGGATCATCTAGGCATTCAGCTCAATGAATAGCCAGTACCACAATAAGGAAAGGTCACAGAAGCCCGGGGATTCCCCATAGCATTGCTTGAATCCCACGAGGAAGAACCCTCTTCACCTTATTGTTTCACAGAGACGTTCCTGTACTAGTACATATTAGGATAGATTCGCTCACATGAGTATGGCCTTTTGTTCCGGACTTGACCAATACTGTAGTAGTCAGCGGGATCTAGTTCTGGATAGGTCAAGTAGTAGTAGTAAGCAGCCCATCCTGTACATGTATATAAGACCAGCATGTAGAGGACAAAACTCCAGATTGTTTCTCCTCGTCCACCACTGTAGCGACACACTGAGCTTACCAAGCTCCTTTTATACATCTATCATTTTTCCATAACACATTGCTGCGTAGCCAGTAAGTGTCAGGCTCTTTAGCCATTTTCAGGGATCATCAGGGGGATCAGGGTGGCACGTTCCACGTGACCTGTCCTTTTATAGTCTTTTGATCTCTTGTCCAGCGTTGCTGTGACAGTTGTGCCATGCAACATGCTGAAATATTTGAATAATTATCATTATTCCTAATTATTTGAGATGAGCCTCAAGGTCCAGAGTCCAAGGGAACTAAAGGCTCAAGCTCTCAATTCAAGTCTCAAAGCCTCAGGGACTCAGGCCTCAATGATTTCAATCAAACTCAAGGTCCAAATGTTCAATGTTCAAGCATCAAGCTCACCTGAGGTAATGCACAGTCTCCGGCCTAAGTCACAATGATTAAGTTATGGTCACGATTCTATGACACTTTGATCAACACATCCTTAAGTGCCTAAAATCTTGTAGGTCTTGAACATTTGAACAGTGACCAGTTATTGCTTGACTGTTATCTTAAGCCTTTGATTCTACAATACTAGCCCTTCATAGGCCATGGACATGGAATGCATTGGGTTGTATACCACACCTGTCAGGTGACCAACACATCCTCACAAAATGTGATCATGTGCCCGAAAGGCATGGAACCCTGCCGTTGCTATTTATATGTTGCTGTCTCCATGCACATCGTGCTCAGTTCACCCCTCATTGCACTGATTGTCTTTCGCTCAACTTGACTTTTTTTTTCAAGACTTCAACCTTCAACCTTCAAGCTGCAACCTTCAAAGTTCTCTGCCTTCACCTTTTTCAATCTCCTCAAATGCTGCTGTCAGATCACCAACTGGAGGTGCATCTCAGTCGATGCATCTCCATGGGATTTTACAGCTCAGCCATGGCATGGTCCTCCATTCCAAGTATGCAAAAAGGCAGCTGGTAGGTATCCAGGCTGCTGGACTACTCGCACTTGCAACCATCTATCTGGGTGAACATCACACAGAACTCTTGCAAGGTATGTAATCAGCAAGTCCACAAAGTGACACGATGAACCTGCTAATTGCCATATCTCAGACATAATCTACAGGCAACTGTGAGCAGGAATGAGATAGAAGTGTCATTGTAACGGGTCAGTGTCAATTTATCAAAAAAAATGTTAGATGTTCATTGACTTCACAGTTTTGCTCTGTTGCTTACCTGGGCTCATACTGCTGCTGCCTGATAAAAAAATGTCACAGCTTCAGCTGGGAGAATTATCAGATCATATAGAAAAGACAGGAACCCAAAGCCTCATAGTTGCTGCCTCGCATAGGCTTCGATTCACACTCAAAATGTCCGTATATCCCACTCATACTGTTCTTTATTCTAGAGGTGATCAGGACTGAAAAATGAAGCATGGTAACATCCACAATATTGCTCAGGCTTGCTCCCGACTGTAGAGCAGAGTTATGTGCTGAGGCACATTTTCCCTTTCCTGGCTGTCAAACACATCGATGTCTGGCGACCCCAAGGACAAGATGATAATATTATTTGTTGGCAGTCTGTCAACAGTGGCACAGCACAGAGTCAATAATATATCCCAGGGGTTATGTACTATGTTATGGTTCATTCCATATCACATGTCTACCATGATATCTTCACGACACAATCCCCTCAGAATGGTCGTCTGAGCCAGGTTTCTAATAATGACCTGAAGAGCACCCTCATGTCACAATATGTGTTCATTTGTGAGAGCAGTCTGTCAAGCTGGGCGAAGTCAGTTACATGATGCATGTTGGCCCTTATCCGCACAAAATGGGTGAACATTCTTTTACTTGCCTCTGAGGATATTCAAAGGTGCTTCTTGGCCCCTGAACCATCCCAGAGAGAGTCAATAAATGACGTGCAGGAAATATTGCATAGCCACCAATGCCCTCTGGGTTTCCTATGATGCTGCACAGGGCAACCTGTTGGGCCCATTCACGTACACTGTACCTGGGCCATTCTCGACATCCGTGCACCAGTTGTACTATAATAACCCCACCGTGACATCTGCAGAATGCAACTCATCATATATGATGGCAAGTCAGTTATATATGCATAGTAACAGCTTTAATCAGTGCATATATGTAGCAAAGACTTATTTCTACTGGTCAACAAATGTGGAGATGATCCCCCAGGTAGTGTTTGTCAATCCCTCTCATGCCCAGCTCCACTTAACTCAGATCACTGCTAGATCCCTGGAAAATGCATCCTTTTCCACCAGCAGCATTCTCTTCACAGCTGCTCATCTCTCCATCCAGCAGATCATCTTCATCATGAAGAACCCTGCTTTGGCAACAATATATGCTCAAAGTGCCAAGCTTCAATCAAAATTATCAACAGGAGTGAGCCCATTGAACCTAACTGGCTGGTCTGCCAAACGGAAGCTGGATTTACTCTCGCCTCCCAGGTGACCCACTGGCAAGCGGCTCAAGATCCTGAAAATGTGGTGGAGAGCTGACTGTCACCTCAAGATGACCCTCTTGCATTCTATGCTACATTGCATGAGCAGGGCCTTTTTCTGTTTAAGAACACAAATCTGGAGTACGCCATACCCATACTGGTAGCAGTTGCAGAGAAAAAAAAGGACAAGATCACACGCCTGCTGGTCCAGGACATCCTGTCAAATTGGCACCATGTCAGATAAACATATTGCTCCATCATGCTCAAAAATATCCTCCTTCTCATGCAGCAAAACTTCCTGAACAAGGAACAGGTCACTGCCTTGGTTCAGCACTCTCTGTTCTTCTGGCCAGCTCATGTCCATTAACAAACATAACCGGGTTGCCATAGCAATAGCGATCTTGGATTTCCCTGCTCATCCTAGGCTCGACACTCAGATCAATGACACTTTTGTGACTCTACTCACTGGAGTCTTAGCAGATGCAAGAGCACAGTTAAAATCAGATGAAGTTCAGCATCACCCCTACAAGGCAGCTGAGCTGCTGATGTTCATTGCATGTGATTTCATAGTGGTGGGGACATGCTTGTGCTCGATGGAGATTGTGAATGCGCTCATGCAGACTCATAGTGTGCCTTTTAGCATGATGTACCATGCGAATCTCATGTTGACGGACTTCTCTCTCATTATCATAACTATGTTGGTGCACTTTGTTCTTTACTTAGGGTGGCGGTCAACAGCTGGTAAGCCATTCTGGTGCACTGCTTCTCAATTAAAGCTTACCTTGATGAGGTCATCTATTCTGTCTCGTTTACGCCACAGAAGGCCTATCTGCCTCTTTAAGAACATCTCCTCTCCTTATCTGGCTCATGACGCACCTGCCACAGTTTCGCCAAACAACCTATATACAGAACATGCATAGACTTAGATCCCACTTAACACATTTACTTACATTTCATTTCATCAGGTCATGTGACAAGGTCAGCCATCAGCCTTATTTAATACTTCACACAATCACGTGACTTGGCCATATAGCCATCGGCGCTGGACCCAACCCTGACTAATCACTTAGTCAGCATGACTAAGTCTCAGTCATCCACCTTGAATGAGTCAGTCAGCGTCAGACAGCGCTCCGTCATGCCGCACTATTCATAGGCAGCCAATAGCAATAATGGATATCATATAATGAGAAGTGCTAGCCAATAAGGTAGCATGGAAGGTACTTATGTAAGTACTGTACAGTAGCACTTCCCTCATATATATAAGACCAGGGTGGATGGGAGACAGACCTTAGTCTTATTCTCCTTCATCCACCGTGACAGCTATTACAGGACTAACAAGCCTAATACTACTATCTTCATACACATAGCTTCACTTGTCACCTAGCACTATCACATAAGCCAGTGAGTACAAGCGATAACTGAAGGGGCTTGCTCGTCAGCGAGCTCATCATATCTAGCCATCAGGCTATCCAGGCTTAATATCCTTTGAGGAATAAGTCTTTTATTGTCTATATTTCTTTTTTTATGCTGAGCTGTGACATTAGAATAAGACTGATCTTTCCTCGCCCCTACCAAGTGTCTAACACTGGTAGCTGTGTGTTTTCACCCAGAGACATCTCCACCCAGGGCAGAGCTATTTCCACATCAATTCCTTTATACACATTCTCCATGTCTCTACTGCCTAAGCCACTTCCTTCCTTCAAAGAAACAGTGCAGCCTCGACTGGCAAAGCACCCCAGGTCCACAACAGCATCGTACCCACCAACGGACAATATCACCCCTACTTTTGCCACCCTCGCACACATCATCTCATGCATGAGAACCTTGCATGAGTGCAGTAGAACAAATCATGGTCTGAACATCACAACAAGCCTCAGAAGGTTAGCACCTGGCTTAAAGGCATCCCATCAGAGCTGCTCAACCCATCCGTCCTGCTCATTCCCCTGCATCCATTCTCCAACCACTTTCCTGTCACTGAGGTACTAAACTTCACCCTCTCCAAGAGCTACCACCCTTATGGTATCCATGAGAACCTCAAGAAAATGCTTCCTGACAATATCAGCCCCACAGTATATGCTACATACAATGATACAAGGTTCGTCAGCAGCCTCACATTGCTGTGAAGTTCACAGGGGAGCAGATAAAGTGCTGAGATAGGGTTCTCATGCACCTGAAAAAACTGAACACCCACATAGGAGCAGGAGACGATTTCACTTTTGTCAACAGATGCATCGCTATCAAGCTTTGCATGGGATTAGGACAGATCTCTTTTAAAAGGATCAACAAGGAGCAGGCACAAGTCAGAAAGGACTTATTGAAGTTCAAGAAGGAGTCTTGCTACTGGCCATATTAGCCAGTTATATCTAGTCGAAACAATCTTGTATATGCCATACTATCAAATCAACTTTGTGTACAGCTATTACCGAGTCGACAATTACATCACAAACTTGGAACACCACCTTGTTTGTATGGCATTCTTCTGTTATCGACCACTACTATTGTCATCCAACATCGTGCTTTACCACTACTCGGTTAAGCTCGAAGATTGCACATTTCACTTCACCCCATTTTGAGCCATTGAAGGACTTGAATTAATGAATTCAGATTGGGAAGAATTCGAACTTGGATTCTGAGAAATGCTCACCAGAGTTCAACGAGATGAGCCAGAGGCATTTGAGAACCTTTGGTACTTCTTCTTCCCTGAACAACATCATCCATGACTGGCAAGGTTGCTCAGACAAAAAATCATTACACATGCACTCCTAGAAGGACCACAATAAGCTGGATCCTCTTAGAAATCCCCACCTCAACCAATTTTGTGACAACATTGAATGAACAAATATGTCTGGATTTGAACTCAGAGAGAGGTCCTCATCCCAGGCAGTGCCACCGCATCAGAAAAACCTGTAGCTGGAGCTTCCAGCCAAACACCATGTGCCTCGGCCCAAGGCAGCCAAACACAATCACCCATCAGAATCACATCACCTACCCCATCACTTATGTGATTCCAGATGCCAACCACATGGGAGTATGGAGGCCAAGTCTATGCCACTGTAGAGGAGGCCGCCAATGCAGCAGCATCTCACAGCATCCCAGAAGACATCAGGGACTGGGTGAACAACATTGTTCAAACCTTCATGATTCAAGATGTAACTCAGGCATATGAAACACTGTGATCTAAGATGGAAGATAGGCACGAGCGCACTGTCAGGCAGCTCAAGGGCATAATTAAGAAGAATATGACCCTAGAGGTAGAGGTGGCCAGCCTCAAGAATCAGATCACAGGAATGCACACCCTCGTTTAACAAAAAAGGGCAGACACAGATGCTCAGATTGCACAGTCTGACAACAACATGCATGCACTACATTCTCACCTCCTTACCCTGAAGGATGTCAGAATGCCACGATGACATACATTCAACAACTGGAGCAGCAGCTAATGTCAGGCCAAGCTGCACCAGCCTTCACTATGACCCCAGGTCATCAATCCCAACCCAAACCTCCCAAGATGGCTGACCCGCCAAAGTTTTCAGGCAAGGAATCCAGTCTCTCATTAGAGCAATGGATCAGAAAGGGTCAAATCTGGCCTAACTACAATAAAGTCAGTACCAACAAGGAGTGAATCATGCAAGCTAACTTCCTTCTGGAGAATGGCATCGCTGATTACATGAAAGAATAAAACACTCTTCTGTCAAAAGATAAGGACCCCAGCACATGGGCTGACTTCGTCAAGAAGTTAAAAATGGGATACAAGATGCTAGACCCAAAGCACACAGCACAGTCCAAGCTGGACGAGCATTGCGAGAAGAAATTCTCATTAATGATAGACTTTGTGGAGAAGTTTCACTCCTATACCCCCCAATCCAGATATTTGGATGAGGACCTGATCATCAAGATCAGAGAACACAGGCCCTCATATGTTCAATTGGTCATGTCGAACATCTACATCATGACACCCGACAAAATCCCTGAAAAGTGGACTGAGTATTTGGACATGACACTCTGAATCGAGTTGGAGTACAAGCAACAACAGAGCAGGCATAAAAGAGTGGTACAAGCAAGTACATTCAAACTGGCATGGGACCCCACTGCAATGGACTCCATGGCAAGGGTCACAACTGACCTTACTTCAGAACAGGTGGAATGGCTAGAGAAGAAGCTTTGCATTTACTGCAGAAAGCATGCCTTTAAGAAGGGGGTGTTCTGTAAGAACCCTGACCCCAAATATAAAGGCAAGAAATTTCAGATGCCATCAGTGCCAGGCAAGAAAAGGCAAGCAATTCGAGAAGTCAAGGAGTCCACGGCCGACAATGACGATTCATCACCATAAATTAGAGCATTGAAAGAAGCTTTACAAATGATGAAGGTGAAAAAGTTGGGACAGGCAAAGGGTCAAAGCAGTGGCAAGGGGAAAGCAAGGGCATCCTCAGAAGAAGAGGAACAAAATGCCAGAATCGTAGAATTCAACAAAATGTCAGATTTTTCAGCAGCAGTGTAGACATGTCTGGTGTCATGCTGCTTACTCAGGACAATTATATGTACAGTAGTGCAGTCTGATCAAATGTACCAGCAGAATATTTATATATTGCATCAACTGGTTCAAACAAACATTCAATGGAGTTACCCATAAGGATACTTCCGCACGAAATTCAGACAACAGCTTTACTCGACTCAGGAGCTTTTTCATGCTACGTCGATGAGAAATTTGCAAGGGAAAAAGGATTGAAATTCCTCCCACTACACCATGAGATCAGAGTATTCAATGCAGATGCCAAGCCCAACAAAAGTGGGACGATCAAGTACCGTGTGAAGGTTAATATGTCGATCGGGGATCATAGATCCACAAAAAGCCTACTGGTAACTAACCTTGGCAGACAGAAGCTAATTTTAGCAATGAGCTTCCTAAATCAACATAACTCTAAAATCGATTGAGAATGACAAGATGTAGCATTTACCCAATGCAATCATTCGCGATGACACAAGATCGCTGTAGGTGAGGAGGAAGTCAACTTACTCAAACAGCAGTGACTTGAAGAAGAAGCCATGTTTCCTGGCTCTGGAATAGACACCCTAAGCAAAGATGATAATCAGAGTGACAAATTTAATGACTTCATTCATTGGATCTCCATCCAAGATGATGAGATACATACCATGGTACACAGTATACTCAGATTAGGAGACAAGGCAAAGAAACATTTGGGAGACAACCTCGAAAAAGAACACATGGACAAGGATTACTGGTCTAAACTTGTTCTGAAAATCTATCACGAATTTGAAGACATGTTCTCTAAGAAAACCTCAGAATGGCTGCCACTTCACAAGCTCTATGACCATGCGATAAACCTGAACCCAGATGCAACATCACCAAGACCATTCAAGGTTTGCCCAATGTTTCTGCAAGAACGGAATTTGCTCGATGAATGGATAGATACAGAATCGGCCAAAGAATACATTAGGCCATCCAAGTCACCATTCATGGCCCCAGTATTCTTTGTTAAGAAGAAGGATGGATCATTAAGGCTGGTACAAGACTATCGAGGCCTTAATGCAATAATTAAGAAGGACAAATTCCTGCTTCCAAGGATAGCTGACTTAATTAATGGATTATTCAAAGCTTCGATCTTCACAAAGCTTAATCTCAGATGGGGATATAACAATATCTGCCTCAGAGAAGGAGATGAGGAGAAGGCAGTGTTTATTATGCACTGAGGACTGTTTGAACCAACAGTCATGTACTTCAGGTTTTGCAATGCATCAAGCACCTTCCAGGCCATGATGAATGACATCTTGGGTGACCTAATACAAACAGAAAAGGTAGCGGTGTACATCGATGACATCCTTATCTACACAGATAACAAGGAAGAACACGAACACATCACCAGAGAAGTCCTCAAAAGGCTTCAAGACAATGACTTGTTCATTAAACCAGAGAAATGTGTTTTCACTGGCAAGTCCATGGAATTTCTAGGACTCATAATCTCAAAGAACTCAATACAAATGGACATGAAGAAGATTGATAGCATCCTCAACTGGCTGACTCCCATGAAAGTAAAGCAAGTACAAGCTTTCCTGGGGTTAGCGAATTTCTACTGGAGATTCATAAAGGACTTTGGCAAACTTGTCAGACCTTTAACTCTCCTAACATGCAAGGATGTAGCTTGGGAATGAAAAGAAGCCCAATGGAAATCCTTCAAAGCCCTCAAGAAGGCATTCACTAATGCACCAATATTGGCCATGCTGAGTGATATCTGCCCTTACAGGCTAGAAACAGACTCATCTGACTTTGCCACAGGTGCAGTCCTCGAACAACTCGGTGAAGATGAGCTGTGGCACCCATCGTGTATTACTCAAAGTTACTCAACAAACATGAGCGCAACTATGAGATTTATGACAAAGAGATGCTTGTGATCATTCGGGCATTAGAAGAATACAGACATTATCTTGAAGGACACCCAGAACCTGTTGAGATATGGTCAGATCACCTAAATCTTACCTATTTCAGACAAGCACAATGACTGACCAGGTGACAAGCTCACTGGTCCCTTTGCCTAACACGATTCAATTTCATACTATGTCATTGCCCAGGCAAGATGATGCTATGCATGGATCCTTTGTCCAGGAGGCCAGACCATGAGAAGGGGATGAGCGAAGACAATTTTGGGCAAACCATGCTGCGGCCTGAGTTTTTTTACCATACATGCCATCTCGACCACTCATGGCTCCGAATTTGATGATGCACCACTAGTGGATAAGATTAAACATGCATTGAAATGATGAAATGACCAAGGAATACCGATCCTTACTCAAATCAGAAAAGAGAGAGTTTGGAAAAAACCTCCAAGAGTGAAACTTCGAACAAGGACTACTACTTTGAAGAGGAAAGGTCTATGTACCCAAACTCCCTGAACTTAGAACTGAACTCATCCACTGGCACTTGTGACATGTCTCGACATACTATTTGATGTCCTGATCCAGATAGAGCAACAAGAATTACTCCAGCAGGTGCATCTGCACAATGAAGATCCCTTTATGGCCCAGTTCATCGTGTGCTGCCTGAAGCAATTCATACTACTGGAACTCATTTGATACACATTTATGCCACTGCTGGGGGTCCCTCCACCACAAACATCCATCCTTAATGAAGAAATGTCCTGCCTCATGAATAAATCACCCGAACTCCTTCTCCAATAGCCCCTGTGGCCGTTACAGATCCTTCAGAAACTTCTGTATGCCCCTTAACCTCATGTCAGCCTTCCTCACCTTCACACCCTCAGAATCTTCTGTTACTCAGCCTTTCTTGGTGAGAACACTGACACCACCTCACCTGATCCCATTCTACCCATCATGTACCTTCCTTCGCCTTTCTGATCCATTCCCAGATTGTGTCACAGGTTTTCACGTTTTCAACCTTCACGTGACCAAAACAGTCTAGGTTCAGTCACGTGACACACTACATAATACAAACACATATGACAAGTGGCGCAGGTATTAGGTAAGCTAACTTATACAGTAATATCATCCCACCAAGAAGGCACGGTCAGACTCCGGAAGAATCCATCAAGGAATACACACGCCACTGGAGATATGTCCTTAGATAGATAGAAGTTCACATACTAAAATAGCACGGTGCCACACCACCAGCGATGTAGCCATTACAGGCCAGATAGTCCCATGGTCTTACTAAGTAGTTCAGATATTCAGCATGCACGACACATCCAGTCTAACAGGCAGTGGTAGTCAATCAAACCTCATCCATTAGATAGCGGTTCTGGGGTATCAGGGTCATTAGGGTCCCTCCACTCATGTATATAAGCCAGAGCTCTGAGACGGCTAAGTCCCCCAGACTTATTCTCATCTCTGCTATGCCTATTCATACAGTGTCACCAGTGCCCACTTGCAAGGCACTGCTTTACCTTTGATCATTTGTTTGCCCATTCCACTTCGACTATCGTCAGTAAGTGTTTGATCCATAGGTCATAGGCTTAGTCGGTGCTCTGCGCCCTAAGTTTGTGATAGAAGAATAAGTCTGACCTTACCTGCCTCGAGTGCTCACCCAGCATGCTCGCTGCAGTGTTGCATCTTTGCACATTCACCCGCACATTAGCGGTGTCATATCTTCACCTGCCTCTCCAGCAGATGCTGACTCTACCAGCGTAAGCTGCCCCAAGGCATTGCGCAGCACCGACGGTGTCATCTGTCATCCTCGAGCAAGAACTCCGATCGAGTTCTACGAGCAGTGGCCCATAAGACCCCTGCCAAGGCCAGGACACATCTCTACAGGAAGTTGGCCCCCGCACGACAACAG